TTTTATAATATACAACTTTATGAAAACAATAAACAAAGAAAATTTTATATCAAGAGAAACGTCTGAATAAATACGGGTACAAGGCAAATTTTTTAATTTTTGGGTTTCCATGTCTTAGGCGGTAATCTTACAATCTAGGTTTCCTTCAACTTCTGATCAATGTGTACAATATAGAGTAAAAAATGTCTTTGTACACTTTGCCATCACTTTAATATTTATTTTATAAATTTTCTCACATTTTTTATAGGCTGGACTAAGCCGATATTCAAAAGGCAAAAACACAAGTTTTATCCATGAACATCCAACAAGTGCTTACTGTCAAATTAATTTTTAAAAAATTCTCACAATCAAAGGGTATTTTCATAATTGATAAGAAAATAAAATAATACAAACGAAATGTTATTAAAAGTCATTCATCATTAAACTCAAGAACGTTAGCATTTCCGAACGTTTACCATGACAAGTCAACACAACTAGAAAGATAGATAGGTAAGTAGATAGGTAGATAAATAAATNGATGATGTAAGGAGGACGACGAGTGTGGATGGACTGGAAAAGAAAGCAACCTAGGAAATACTGTGCACGGAAGGAGGGGAATAGCCAGGAAAGTTGCGAATACAACCCCGACACCCGGGATCCCCGTGGGGTGCCGTACACAAATCTTACGCAACAATTCATAATTCGCTTCAATCGCGCGTTCTCCCCCTCCGAGAGACCACCGTATGCCAAACAGCTATAATCGAAGAAGGGAAGCATAAGGGAAGATACAAGGAGTTTGCGGGTGGAGAAAGGTAAGAGAAGCCAGGATCGACGAAACAGGCTGGGGAGGCAATGGAATGGCGGGAAATTTGGGAAATGTCAAGAAAGACTAGGTTTTTAACCGAAGAGCAGAAGGGGATGGGATGGTTATTTAGCATGAGAGGTGGGATGCTGGGGAGGGAATTGAGGAGTTGCCTGGACCCGATAATTATGGCGGTGGATTTGGACGGATTGAAGACAAGGGAATTTTTAAGGGCCCATTCGTTGATGGAGTTTAGGTCTTTTTGGATCTTGAGAGTGGTCGAGTGAAGATCGGAAGGGTGGAAGGATATGTATATTTGGGAGTCATCGGCATATAGATGATAGTTACAGGACTGGATGGAGTCGGGCAGATCATTGATATAAATGGAAAAAAGGATAGGAGAGATGCTAGAGCCTTGGGGCACCCCAGATTTTAGAGGGAGGAAGGAGGAGGTAAGGGAGACAGCTTGGTGGCGATTGGTAAGGTAGGAGTGGAACCAACGGATGGTGTTGGCGGAGAAGGAAAAAGATTCGAGTTTATATATATATATATATATATATATATCTACCTATATACGTACCTATCGAACTATCTATATAACTATCTATCTATATCTCTCTCTCTCTCTCTCTCTATATATATATATATATATATATATATATATATATAGACAGAGAGAGAGAGAGAGAGATAGATAGATAAACAAATAGACAGATCAATACATATATAGAGAGATAACGGTTAGATAGAGAGATAAGCAAGGTTGATAGTTAGATAGACAGCAGATTGATAGATAAATACATAGGCGGCTAGATAGATAGGTCGATACGTAGTTAGATAGATAAATAGGTATGTAAATCTATAATTTTATAATATTAATGTATATACTTAGGGAGAGCTAAACTCAGAGGAGTGATAAGTTCTTTAACCACTCACTGGCATCTAAGACATTTACACAACAAGGGTCTATCAACGATCCCATTTGTAGACAAAATGCAGTGAGGAAGAAACAGCCACCCGTTTCATCTTCGAATGTGATTCGATGGAGACATAACCTGGCAAACAAAGAAAACCCAGAAACAAGGAATTGCAACGACAGCCAATGACCTAGTACTTCTTAAGGAAGAATCGAGTCGACTGACTGAACTTAAGATACTAGGAAAGTACAATAAGCTGGACGGCTGCTTGAGGAACAAAAAAACGCCGTCTTCCTAGTATCCTCCATCATCACACGATATACTCACAAATAAAATAATATGTACGTATTAAGTACGCCTACGTTTTTGTCTAAAAAGTATTTTTGAGATAAACATCATAATGATGTTGACATGTTCACATGTACGCATGTAAAGTCACATAAACTGGCAGATGGAATAAAACTCTCGTTATCATGTTGCCGTTGACGGTTTTGGCAGAAGCCGTTTAATCAAATTTTTTTTATACCAAGAAGGCGAAAATATGTTGGCCGTTGTATGAAAGCTCGGCCGTTAAAACAGATGAGTTCTGCCAAACGGAAGTGCGGAAGTCTGCCTGTGTATCATCCTTGGGGAATCTTCTCTCGACCCACTCTCCTCTTCGTTATTAACGGGAGGGAATCAAGTTCGTTTTCGTTTTCGTCCAGTCGCGCTTAGCATTCAGGAGAGGTAAGGTGCCGTTTTCGTCGGATCCGTTGCTTCGTGTAACTTAATGGACATGTTTCCGAAGAAATTGGTATTCTTGGTGAGTTAAAATTGATCAATGCTGAGACTTTCAGGGTTTTTTTCGGTCATTTCTTTATATTCTTTTGGCCTGTGTGAATATATTAAATCGATGACTAATTCAGTCACTCTTTTTTTTAATTATCTGGGCTATATTGCCTGGGGATCATAAACCCCGCTTCCACATCTATCTAATTATCTTGAGACAGATAATTTGTGCCCAAAATCAAGTATCTCCTTTCTTTATTTTTAAATTATAAAAAATACTTTTAAAAATACGTTTAGGTTTAATATTGATGAATTATTAAACTTCTCAACCCACCTAAATGCAGATAGTAAATTTTCTTGTAAGGAAGCCACACTACATTGAATCGTTGTACAAGGAACCTACCTATTCCAAAATAGTTTTTAATGGTAATATTTTCTAGTTAAAACTAGAAAAAGTTTAAAAGTTACTTTAAAAAAGTTCAATCAGTTAAAATTATTTGATTCGCTGAAATAATGGTCGTATAAGGATGCAGTTAGTCGGTGGCCGCAACGGTTTAGGTTTATCACTGTAAGGTAAAGGTCCCAGGTTCGAATCCAGCTGCCCTACATTCGAACCCGATATACTAACAAATGGGCTTTTTTTTCAACAACAAAATTCAAAAATTCAAATTTCGAAAAACCTAAATAGGATGCAGTTAAGTCACCTGCAGCCACCCGAACTCCTAGCAGCCCATGAATTTTAGGAAGAATTTCATCCCATAAAAGATACTTGTATGTTTGGAATCTTTGAGAACGGATTCGACATTTTCTAATTGTCCAAAATTTGAATTGTGGAAGAATTTGATCGTGTGCAAGGTGTCATGGTAACTGTTTATTAATAGTTCTAATGGCTTCTTCTAATTACAATGTTACATAATAATGTGCGAAATCTAAAAAAATCTTTAAAAAAATAGGAACTATTTTTCAGTTTGTTGTCCAAAACCTCTCCAGGTGAGCGTTACCTTGAATAATTCATAAACGGTATGAATTTAATTAAAGCTATATTTAACTAAATATTTTGACGAAATGCCTCATATACCAAGGTTAAAATAACCATAACAATGGGAATTCCCATGTCAGCAGTGTGGAGTTAATTGACCTAAAAATTAAACAATCAACTCAAAATACTCATTTCATTTTGATTTTTTCCCATAGTTCTAATATTTTTCTAAAACAGATTTTGTTGGGTTATGTTTTTTAGCACAATATATAACAAAATAAATTTGCACATTTAGATAAAATCCAGTCGGCATTTCGAAATATTAACACAAACGTTTCGACCCGAACGGCAGACTGGTTATGTTAATGCCCCATAAACATTTCTTTTATTTAGATCCTGAGGTTTTGAAAAATCATAACTATCCGTGAAATATGAAAGTTTGGTTAAGAAATATTACACGATGAAAAGATATACGTGATAGTAAGAGTACCGCGACATACGTGCAGTACCATGACGGCGGGGGCATCTAGTTATGATTCGAAAGTGAGTAGGCTAATTAATACAAGTACAATACTGAAAGTACAAACAACAAAAGAAATCATGATTCGGAAAAGTGAACAATTGGCTAATTTGGAAATAAGAAGATCGTAATTATAGTGGTATTTAGAGTTGTAACAAGTCAAGAACAGCTAATGTTGAACAAAACCACTAAGTTAATAATCAAATAATGGTTTGCACCAGCGAGGAAATATTGCAGTTTTATTCTTAATTGATAACATTGGACAAAGGAAAGAAAAAAGTATGAGATAAATATCTCCAAATGAAATTAAAAAATCTATTAAATATTGGAAGAAAACACGTTTCCGCCGTATCAAAAGTACGTTATATTGTCTGAAGTAAGTAAACTATCGTAACAGCTATACACATAAACTGTAAAGAAAACAATACAAAATGGCTTAATAAATTGATATGAAAACAGCTTCCTTTAAAATTTAAAATAAAAATTATTATGTTGACGGGTTTTGCCGATTGGTTAAAGGCAAATTTTATTTCCTAAATTGGAGATCTTTTGATGTCAGACCATGCCAAACTTTATACAATCGAGAAAACATCAAAGCTTTAACTTTAAAAAATTATTCTTTGTTAGGGAGCTTTGACTTCATTTAACTTTCGTGTTGAACATTAAAGTTTTGTTGATGCTTGGTGTTAGTCTGCGAGCCGGTGAATTAACTGAACTGGCTTGAGTCACTTGTCGGTATGTTCAACTACTCTACCATGCTAGTGAAGACGGACCCAATGCCGGTTCAGCTTGACATCAACGTTTTATCTTATTATCTTCCTGTGCTATCGACGTTTTGCGTAATATATCTTACTCTAACGAAATTTTGTCGGTAAATCAAATTTACTTAATAGTTTTCCTAATTACTTCAGCTCACAAGCCCAGCTTATTTTTATGTTTTCCACTGGATGTTTTACTAATTTTTAGAACAAAGTATTCTATTTTTTATTACGTCTATCTATTATTATCTATTATTATTTGCATTATCCATTTCAGCTTGTCTGGACGGCGCTCGCGCTGGGATTAGTGATCAGAGGAGATGTCATAAGAGGGTCGCCCTGCATTAAAAAGCATCATCAGCTCTTTTGCCCGACTGCCGGCAACACTTATCCGATGTACGTACAAATTTTTAAAAATATATTTTTTTAAAGGCGATTAAAAATCAAAGCTACCGGAAATCGCCCCCGCAATTTGCCCACAGTCACTTCCACATCTATTCATCTTCCCACTCGTCATACCCACCCTAAAGACAATATTTAATCAAAGTACTGTTAAATTTTTATTCCCTTCCGGCTTAAAAAATATATATTGATAAGGTTTAAACATATGTAACATATTCACAGATAGGGATTACATCTTTAACATAATTTTTCCATAATTAAATAATGCGTGTGTGTGGTGATTTTGGTTGATAAGCTATTATTTTACAATGTACCAGACAATTAAAAAAAATCTATTCCATTTTTTTCTTCAAATTTCCACTTTTGAACTCAATATGAGGTTTGCGGCAGGAACTTAAAAATGTATATGTGTACATATCTTTCGACTGAGCAGTACTTTTCTTGTTGAGAGATTTCCTCTTGTGGTCTGCAAGATGATGAACCTGTAATTTGGTCCTTACCATTCATCTTGGTGTCCATATCCTCACTGGGTTGGTCTGCCATCTACAGTGTCTGGGTGAAATGCTGACTCATCTGGCACGACCAAGGCTATATTTAGGCTGTGGCTCCAACCTGATTGATCATTGCATATGTCTTAAGTCTGTACATGTCAAGTACAGTCTGGCTCAATGAGAATGAAGCCCCTGCAAGCCAAGGTGCAGTGGCTGCCCCAGCTTGGAAAGAATGGACCCCATATATCTCTTTTAAACTTTTCATTGTACACAGAGCTTTTGTTGAGGAGGGGTCAGTGTTCAATCACCATTGACACCTTCTCCAAGCTCACTTTTTTCCTTGATCTCAAAGTCCAGGGAGGATCCCTTCAATCCAGCCCAAGACTAACCAGCACTCGCGGCAAACAGCCCTGTGACACTGGCAACATGAGGCGCCAGCAGAGAAAACAAGAGTTGAGCAGATATGAAATTACATTTTATCTTTTAATTGGATTTCGGTTGACAAGTTAAAAACTTAACATCATAAGGACAATCGATCATGATGTGACATATAGTAACAGGAGATTTTAAAGACTTTCTCCTTCAATCGGGAGAAAAGGATTCCCATTATTTTTACATATTTTTTTATTGTTAGGAGCTTGTTTCCTGTGTAGGTACCCCATTCATACCTCCCAGAAAAGCTGCAGCAGAGGGCACTTTAGGGAACACCATTACGAGGAATACCATTTGATTTTCAATGTTAAAAGTATCGACCACTTTTTCACTCATGGAAACTGATCAAAGTAGGTCTTAAAGAAAAAAGAAAATTCTGTTGAGTCCATACAGCCCTCTCAAATAGAGAGACAGAGAGAGTGGGAGGGAGGGAGAGGGGGAGAGGGAGAGGGAGAGAGAGAGAGAGAGAGAGAGAGAGAGAGAGAGAGAGAGAGAGAGATAGAGAAAGTTTTTTTTTTTCAATTGCTTGCTAATGTTACTTGGTAAATGGTGATAAAACCAATTACTAAAGGTAGCCAAAAGAAAAGTTTCTTAGACTAAACCAGTAGGAATAGGCAGGTCAGGGTGATTGGACACAATCAGTCTACAAAAATTAATCATTATTTAATAATTATTTTTTTAAGTGAGCGAATAGAATCATTTATCGATGACAACAAGGCACTTGTGAAAAGAATGTACGGAGATTTTCAAGTGAGCACAGAATATGGCCTTCCTGGACAAGAAGTATATGAGAGTGAGAGATTTCGAAGTAAAAGACAAAGCTTTCCTAACAAAACAAACACATCAGATACTGGCAGGTGAATCAATCAGTCTTATTTATCAAAATTGGTACAAAATAAATGCTGAATGTATTCTAGAATTAACTTATCATTTATATATGATTTAGAGTTGACGCTTGCCAATCTAAAATAGAAATCGTTACGCCATACTGGGCAGCAAACAGTGCTGGGAAAATCCGTGCAGTAGTTAACACACAACACTTCGAACAAGCTGTCCACCAGGAGGTCTGCTCGTAAGTAAATCGATAAAATTCATAATAAATAAAATGAACATATTCAACTTTGTTTTAGGAAAGTGCAAACGAACAGATGCAGTGGTGACTGCGGATGCGAACAAAAGTATAAGTGGCACCGACTACTCGCTTACGACCCTGACAACGACTGTAAAGGTATTTTTATGGATTGGTTCTTGTTCCCAAGCTGCTGTGTTTGCAGGTGCGACCCCGATGCAAAAACCGCAGGGGTGTTTGGAAACTCTGATGTATCAAGGGAACCATCAAGAATGCCTCAGCAGCCAAGAATGCAACAGTCTCCTCAACGACATCGATCGGGAAAATAATCCACTCCCTTTTGAAAATGACTGACTTTATCTTATTTCTTAATTTTACCATTTTTCATTGCTGTTTTATGTATTTTACAGTAGAGAACATTATTGATGGATATAAACTATATTTATTTTTTAAAAATTGTGATATCAATACTTTTTTTGAATAAAGTCAGTTTAGCTTAATTGGCACAAGATGCCCTGACAAAAAAAAAAAAGGATTATACCATACATGGCAGTCTTTACCTTACCTTAAAGGAAAAGGATTAAACAGCCATTTCTTGTATTTCATCTCACAAAAGTTAAAACAGTATTTTCTCTCTAATTCCTGAATTGTTTTTTTTTATTATAGAGTATGTTAAAATGGTGATGTTTTAGATTAAGTGCCATTATAAATTATATTTAGATAAGGACTTTTTTTGCTTTTATTTTAATGTAATCGAGTGCCAAGGCTAGAGTATTACTGATAATTGTCAATTTGTAAACACTTTTCAAATTTTGCTGCAAGGCCATAAGTGTGTTCAAGCATTTCTACGACAAAAACTTAAAAATTGAAACTATAGGGGGGGGGATCAGTTAAGGCGTTCACAAGCACTCATCAATGTAAGATCAAGGCCCCGGGTTCAAATCCAGCAGCTCTGCATTGGAAATCGACATACCTACAAATGGGCTTTTTTTTCAAAAAACACCGACACTTGAGGGTTGCTATGACCCCCAACTGTCATGAACCCTCATAAAAAAAATGAAACTTATGTGTTCTTTTGTTTATATATTATTAAAAACAATTTTGAATTAAGTTCCAAGTACACCATTGAGATAAATTTTCTAAAACCCACCACTCTAGAAAATATTATTATTAAAGTTATAGTTTGTATGTTAAATTGTAAATATATTTTAAATGTTACCGACTTAGTCAGTCTATTCAATATTAACAGTGTAAAGTATTCAGGGTATTAAATTAAGATTTTGATCATAATTTAAATGTCCTTTTCAAGTAATGCAGTTAAGTACCTGCCCACATTTTGCATCATACAATCAATCTTGTTAGATCTAAGTTCAATCCAGATTTTATAAGAATGACTGAAAATTGGTTAATAGTCAAACTGTATATATATTTTTTATTGTAAGTAAAATTATTATATAGAAATTTAGTTATGTAAAGTAATTTTTGTGCATTTATTAGTGTAAAGTATGATATAGTGGGAGATATAAATAGCTTTATTTCATGTTGTAAACAAAATTTAATTATATAAAATACATTTGTTCTACATATTTGTTAATAGTATCTACTTTAAAAATAAGAGAAAAAAAAAATTAAAAATGTATATCTTACAATAAGCTCACAACAATAAGTAATATTTTTTATATCACTATAAATCAAAACCAAACAGTGGTAACACTTATTTATAGAACTATATACATATTTAATATTTCTTGCATGTATACCATAAATACACATAATTTAATATTTATTTGTATGAATAGGTATAGAATTTTCATTTCTTCGCTTGTAAAAACATTTTTTCCTTTCTTTCCTCCTATACTTACATAAAGGTTATTCTGTTTCTAATTGTAAACAGAGAAAATTTAAAAAATTAAACGGGGAATGTTAATTTATATATCCTTAATTGAAATTAAGATATGATACAAATGACTAGAATTTATTTGTTATTTCAAAACCTTCAAACAACAGTCGTTAAACAATTTTGAAGAAAAAGTAAATTGCCTTTTTTGCATCCACTTTAAAACTATGAAATACAGAAGTGTAGGTGTGAATTTTAATTAAAATATACTGAGTGTCAAACTATGAAAATAATTTGGGTTTAAATAGTGCTCTAAAAAAATAATAATGTTGCTTTAGAACTAAAATGTCCAAAATATAAGACAAAGTGACAAAAGACACTAAACGCTGCTGAAGTTGAAACGCAAATAAAATTTTGTAAAATTGAGGAATTACTTTTTAGTGGTTTTATCAGGTTTTTACTGAAAGTCTAAATCAAAAATTTATAGTTTGTAACTTAAAAGTGAGGAAACATTAAAAAGGAAAAAATAAGATGAAATTTACAAATATAAAACCAAAATACAAATAACAATAATGCTGTTACGTCATTATTAAATTATTAATAAATACATGTAATAAAAATAAAATTTATAGCTACATAAAACTTACCTAACCGATGTAATTGCAGCCAAATATTTCTAGCCATCATACATAAACCTTTTCTAAATATCAAAGATTTAGTGGTTAACATGATACAGAAGCGCATTAAAAGCGATCACAGTGAAAACAATAGGTACAAACTGACAGTCAGTAAACTTGATGAGATCAAGGTGGAGGAGGAAGAGGGGCATTTCGGAAATTGGGAGAAGAATTCCTAAAAGGTGGAGATCCATTTCCCATGAATTGGAACTGGACAGGGAATTGTTGTCGTGGCGGGAAAGAAGAAAATGGCGGAGGTGGAGGGGAAGTTACATTAAAAGAACCACTGTTTGGCCGGAATTGCAATGGCGGAGGAGGAGGACTTGAAACAAATCCAGGAATAAAAGGGATTCTCGGTTGGTAATGTTGTACGCTGCTCCCTTGATTTTGAATTGGTGGTGGTCTGTGATTAGATTGGAAACATTTGCAGTGAGGAGGAACCTGCTGTGACTGATTCTGGGTAAAGTTCGAGGCGTTGTTATTCGGATGGGAAGGAGGTTGAAAAGATGCTTGACCCTGATTATCGGTTGATTGAAGTAAACTTGATTGATAAGCTTGAGTAGGGTGTCCGTTAGGCCCCATGTTTTGAAAACTTGGCACTTTTGGACTTTGGTTAGTCGATTGGAAAGATTGAACAGATGTATTTTGAAACTGTGGTGGTTGGTAATTTTGTTGTGGGAAAGGTGGGAACTGTTGCGGTCTTATAGAGGAAGTGGGCCCACCACCTCTAAATACAGGCTGTGAAGGTAAAACTTGGCTCATAGGCGAGAACCCTTGGCTGGAATGGGAAGCTTGAAAATTCTGCTGATGGGTTTGTGACCCGGGGTTTAATGGATAAGTATTTACCGGTCCGTAACTTTGAGACGCAAGCGCCTGCGGAAACATTTGCGGAGGAGATTGCCTAGATTGGAAACCTTGAGGAGGGGGGCCCAGTGAGCAAGTTCCTTGAAGCCCCTGTGACCTGTATCCGACTCTAGGGAAATTCTGACCCATTGGTGGCTGGGTGAATGAAGGATTTCCTCCAAATTGGAATAACGGCTGAGATCTCATTCTCGGCTGGTTCGGCTGTTGGGAAAACTGTTGGTTAAGCCACTGATGATTTCCAGGAGGTGAGGCTCTATATGTTGCTCCTCTTACAAAAGAATATTCCCTATTTCTATCAGGTAAAGGCGCTGTCCCGCTACCAAAATTTCTTTTGTAATTGTGCCATCCACCATCCCAAGTTTTTTCATTTGAAGATGCCTGAGACAAATAATTCATTATGAACTATACTTTAATATGAAAAGATGCCTCATTAAGATGAACTGTAATTTTTTTTAAATTTTAAATAAAGTAATTTAAAAAAAAAAATGCTTACTGCTCTCTTGTAGGCTTTGGTCCTTAAAGTATTATTTCTATTCATCTGTTCTTCAAAAGAGAGATACCTCTTCCTAGCTGGTGAATCACCTTGCTCAACTTTTACCAATATTACTTCATCATCATCATCATCATTTTTCTGAAATAAAAAAACAATTTATTCAAATATTAATATCTTTGTTATAAATCATTAATACTGAGAAAAATGTTTTGATTATACCTTTTTATTGTTGAATTTTTGTTTAGCCTTTCTTTCCTGTTCATCATCAGAATAATCTAGGCATTGTGGAGGAGGCTCCTCATTGTTAATCCACGAAGCGTCACTACCCTTTTCCCTTTATTAAAAAAATAAAACCTAATTTTAACTTCATTCTAAAATTTTAGATTTATAAATAATTTTACTTTAAAAGCTGGCTGGTGAAAATATATTTTGTATGTTCTGTTTTTGGCGCACAATAAATAACCTTTTCGACTTCAAGGCCGGCGTTCACAATATCTTCATTTTTGTTGAATCTTACGCTGTAAAAAGGCTTTTTGATATGGCCGAAGACGTCATAAATTTGACCTAACGGTTGACCGTCACGATTGAACAAAATTGTATCAAGCATCAGTGCTGGCGTGTCCGCAAATGATTCAATAACCACTATAAAACAAAACAAAAAATAATTAAATGAAGGTTTGAAAAAAGAAAAAAATCACATAAATTCATTTGTAATCCGTACACAATCTGTCGACGATAGAAAAGACCTTTCCGATTGGCATACATTCTTCCTCTTTAACAGAAATTTGAAGGTTTTCTATAGGCGGTAAATTGTCCAATTCCAAAGGATCTTTTTTCATTGGAGGTTTTTTATTAGGTCCCAAGCGATTTTGAGTTATTACTTCAGAGTCAGAGCTTGAAAAAAAAAAAAAAAATGTATAAGCTTATTATATTATGTTATTTAACTTTTAATGAGAATGGGAAGAATAAGGTATATTTTCAGGTAATATTTTCCTTTTATTAAGCATTAAATAAAATTGTAAAACTTTGTGGTGGGTTCTGAATGTCAGGAAGTATACAGGTGATGAAAACTGTAGCTTAATGATTCCCGGTCATATTGGTCTGTCTTACAGACTGAAGATGGCCTTCGCCCAAATTCATGTCATTTCAACAAGAATAGTCTGACCAGTGATCAGAGAATTTTCAAGTGTTTATTAATAACAAAAATAAAATCTTGAGGTTTTATGATATGGATTTTAATCCAAATCTTATCAAAATGATTCCAATTTTCCCACAAACAACTATTTTTTCAAACTAAATATAATACACCAGTTTTTTTTTTTTTTTAGTTTTTTCTTTTATTTATTTATAAATTGTAAATATTTCGAAGCAGCCTTGCTTCCACTTCAGCATACAAAAATCTTTATTACAGAGGCATACGTTATTTATTATAAAGAATTTTGTATAATGAAGAGAAAGGCGGCTTTGAAATATATAAAATTTATTAAAATAAATAAATAAAGTTATAACTGTTCTTCAAACAAAAAAGAAACCAACAAAATCATTAAAAGGAAGCAACCTTTTTAATTAAAAGAAAAGTTTATTTAATCAATTAAACTTACAAATCACACGATGTATTTTCATCATCCGAACTAGATGAATCTTCAGAAGTTTCTGATGAGGAAGAAGAGGAAGACTGGGGTTTGGAAAATCCAGATTTTTGACTTTTAACAATTGGAACTTTGTCACTAACGACTGGATCACTGATGTCACCAATAGGCTTTGTCATAACTGTTTCAGTTCTATTGTCATCGCTCTCAGTATCTTCATCTCCACTGTAGGTTGAGATGACAGACAAAGATTCATTTTTTGGCAATTCCACTTCAGACGAGACATTCCTACACAACAAAATTAAAATAATAATAATGATAATAATAATAATATGTTTTAAAAGTTAAATATAAATTACATTAGAATCTACGTACTTTACTTCTTCGGTTATCATCTGCTCACTGTTTTTAACACTTTCTGAAACACCAATGGATTCTTTTTCTTTGTCAATTTCTACTTCTAAATGGTTTTCTATTGCCTTTTCTTCAACTTTATCTTTGGTGATAATGTTTTCTTCTTCAATAGATTTTTCTTTGTGCTCATTTTCACTCTCTTGATTCTCTCCTTCCATAATTCAGTGTCGTCTGCAGTATATGAAGTTATACAGCTGATTAAACAATCAGTTTACAATGCAATAAATTTAGTATTAGGCCCAAAACACAGAGGATTAGTTTTTGTTTGAAGCAAACTGGAATAAAATGTATGTTGTGAAGACTGGAACAATAACAAACAATACGAAGGCAAAACTTGTTTAATTGTTTAATCATTTGTGAACAATGGTAGTGAAGATTCCTGTTCTGTGTACAGCCTGATTATGTGACAAAAAGGCAATATTATTTATTTGTGTACCCAAAATATTGTGATGTACATGGTTCATAATTAATTGGCACCATGGTTTCTGATGAACTGGTGTCTCTCTTGCTCTTCCAATTGCCTAAAAAGTTAATTTTGTTTCCATGCCTTTGACAATTTATCTTTTGCTGGAATTCAACTTTTAAAAATGGTCAATATGGGGTTTTCTGACTCATTTGGCTTTGTTCTGGACCGCAGAAAATCAATAATTGGGTCTGTAACATTGTCAATAGCAAGAGCCAAGCATTTCTTGAAAAACTGAGGTATAGGGCTTAGACCAATGTGTAGTATTTGCTACTTATGTTTGGTAATGTTTTAAGCAAACTCGGTCTCATGAAACACCAGGGCATGACTGATTTGGTCTGGAGCAAATACGTTTTACGTGGTCAGTGTAGTTTATCCCCACTAGAACCTACACTACAATGGTCATCTGGTTTGCTTCAAATGGTCAAATGGCCTGTAGCGGCCCAGGTTATGTGGACTAATCCAGTGTGTTTTAGGCATCAAAATCTTTCATAATTTGCTGTACAATTTAGTATAAAGGTTAACATCAATAAATTAGTAATTAAGTAAAATTTAACATTAATGTGAGACTGGGAAAAACTGTGGTCACGCCCACAAGGAAATAATGAAGATTAATCGTCTCTGATTATACTGATGTCTATTCTCACTGCCTTTTCCCAGCAGAGATGTTTTAGCAATTTAATAGGCCATTCATTTCTCACGCAGTTCTGTATAAGTAAATCTTAGTTTATAGACACATGTTATTTACTTAGAGATAGAAGATGACAGATTCTTCGTCAATACTCTCATTGGAAAGATATCATGAACTGGTATCTCGGCATACCCTGAGTACCCAGACACCCAGGTCGGGAGGGTAATATAAAGGTGGTCGAGGTGGCTAAGGCCAGAACATCTAAACTCCAGACTTAACTACAGTGATCCAACCCTCTGACTCTAAAAATACATTTAAAAAAAAGGGGCAGCGCCAGTTGGCTGAATCAGCAAAGAAACTCAGATATACAAAACAATATTAGAAATAACTAGCTATCAAGGAAGGCTTAAATGATGGTTCATTTGTGCAGAAAAAGCAATAAAGCAATTGTCTCTAGTCATCATACATTGCATTCAACCACTCCACCTCTCCAATCAAGACTTCTGTTGACCCTTCTAGCACATCACGGATGGTAAAACATGGGGCCTAGGACTTGGATCATGTAATTGACGCTATGTCCATCAGCCACGTAAAAAAGTAATAACTAAATTTTAACACACATTTGGCTCTGATAAAGCTGAAATTGAAGTGATTTTTTTCTTTATACCTTTTTAATCTAAAGGGTGTACAAATGATTAATGACACTAAAAGGGGGCGTTGGTGGCCTCAACAGTTTAAGCATTGACACGACACTTATCAATGTAAGGAAAAGTTACCGGGTTCGAATCCAGCAGCCCTGCATTCAAACCCGTCATACTTACAAAGGGCTTTTTTTTCAAAAACACCGGCACCTCAAGGGTTGATATAACCTCTGCTGTTGTGAACCCTCATTTAATTTACAAAAAATAAAAAAATGAAACTGTACTTAAATATAATAATAAAAATGAAAACTTATATGTTCTTTTGTTTATATAGAATTAAAAACACAATTTTCAATTAAGTTCCAATACACCATAGAGATTAAAAAGGGAAAAACATTCAACTTTCAACTTCTCTGTTTCATAATCTTCAACATATTCGGTTTTGTCTTCATCGGGCAAATCCCACCATGTCTGACCAATTATTTTTCCTGTTTCCCATAAATTAAGCTCGGGATTTTGAACTTTAACATGATCCCAGACTTTTCTCGAATACCTCAAGTAAGGCATTAAAGGTTTTTCTGGTGGTTTCAATGGTTCAGGTGCTCTTGAGTCACCAGCGGAACCTATGCCCACATTTTGCAGATTGAATCCTAGATGGCCATGAGGCGTTGAGACAAAATTAGAATTTAGAAAAAATTAAAGAATTAATTTAATTTAATAAAAAATCTTAAAATTAGAAGAAAAAGACAATTAGAGCACTGTTGACTTGTACTATTTCCTCTAGAATTTAAAGCTCTAAACCTTTCTTTAAGTATGTTGAAGGCCATTAGCGATCCGGATGAAAGCAATTGATTTGGCCCAGGCAAAACAGGAAGAATTTATAAGACTGGTAAGGAAAGCTTTCAGGCAAATGTTTTTGCAAGTCTGGTCCCAAGGCAGGAGCACTTTTAAGAGTTGAGCCAAAAAAAACACCTTTACGGTCAACGGTGATGACATTGTGTGTCAATCAGAAGTGGACGGGCCTGGAGTCACACTGGCACCCCTTATCTAAGCACTGGCCTTTTTTTTTTTTTTTTTTTTTTGGCTTTGAGTGTATAACTATAATTAGCGTAAATACTTGATGTAAGAGGATAGAAAAATGAAAGAGACGAACTGCTAAAAAATCTGAGCAAAGTCCCAAACATTTCAACATAAACTTAGAATCTGTCCTAATAAGCAACAATCCATCAGCTTTCAACATAATCTCGATAAACGTTTCTTTTTGATTATCTTCAACCATGAAAATTTAGAAGATGAGAAAATGATGGAGCTGAATGAGTGGATGCGGGCGCATGGCGGGGACCTGGTCCTGGTCGACCGATCCTGCTCGACAGTAAAATGAAAATAAAAAACTTCATGGGTAATATGCCAGCGTAACCCCCCCCCCCCATAAAAAAAGAGGATAGTTGGTGGATGAGTATCCTATCAACCCTCAATTAGATCAGTTATATAATATGTGTGAAGGGTGATGGAGAAATACCAAGTATGCTACCTCCCTGAGTAAATAGGAAAAAACGTATTTAAGACCAAGGGAGAGTATGAGTAGTTTTTGATCTAGAAAGTGATTGCGTCTAGGGGTTGAAATGACCTGATAGAGCCCAACCTCAGTGGCTGGACAGATAAGACCGAAGTCTGACCCTCTGACCCCGGACTGCTGACACCTGGGGTGGGTTATTCTCAAAGCCTTCCGGTAATTTATTGTAAATTACAAAACCTGCAATTGCCGGTAGATTACATGCATGCACAGATTTGAGCTTATATAAATCTGATAGATGGCAAGTTGGGTATAATTAAATACAGCAGTTTATTGAATTAGCAGCAAAATGTTGAAACACAGTGAGTTGACTATACAAAGAAAAATCAAGAGGCGCTAACGCAGAAAGTCGATGTGAAGAGGGCAGACAACTGGTCTGCTGAGTTATAACCAACTACAGAAACTATGTCCGACATATAAAACCAGCGAGAATAGGCGGACCACGAGTATCGTAGATCAAGCTATGTAATGTAAAATCATATGGAACAAATGGCAGGTGGTTAATTAATGTCGGGAAGACAATTATAAGAAATTACGAACAATAAACCTTGAAACTTTTTTTTACATCTCTATCGACTGTCTGTTTAAGTTTAAACAATAGGTAAAAATCATACATCCCACTGAAGACGTATTTGAATAGTGCTTAGTAAATTATTAAGTCAAGTCCATTTCCAAACGATTTATTCTTCAGTACTGAAATACTCACGGAGATTCTTAAATGCCTCTATTTAGTCCTGTTGAATTGAATTTGTATTTACGTGATAAATAAAATCACCAGGGTTAACACCACCGAGTTCAACATTAAAACCACGTGATTACAATAATAGATTTTTTTTATATATCTGGGATAACATGGTCTTACATGTCCGATCAGATTGTAACTAACTGTATTTCATAAATAATAAACTTGCCCAGTTGTCGAATATTGCTTAAAAGACTTCCTACCGTTTTATTCAATTCTTGTTGAAACTACTAACTTTGTAACATTACCTGATCTCAAAGGCACGGAAGAGGACGGTGGTTGGAAATATGAATTGGTTATGTTTTGGTGAAATCGATTGTGGTCGACAACCACTCCCATCCCGTCCAACTTTGACTTTAACAATTATTTTATTCACGTTCTTTGAATTTATTTTTTTATCATGTGTAAATTCGTAAATATACCATTGTTTTTATTCTTTATTTCCGTCTTCGTCCCATCGGGTAAGTTTGTAAATGTTTAATTGATAATTACGCATAACAGTTGGTTTGTTTACATTATAAATTTGAGGAATATAAACTGGTCAGACAAAATAGAATATTAATCTACCATTTATTTTGTCTAATAATGATTTTTTTAAAATAAACTAACTATATTAATTTTAATGTTTAATACATACACATATACACTGATGGATAAAATTTACACACCACCCATAAATTTTTATTCTTTTGCATACCAAAAACAGGTTTGGTTGTAAAAACAATACGTTTAAAAAGAAAATATTCAATACCTAATTCTAAAAAAAACAATTTTCAGTAAAGAAAGATAAAGTAAAAAAACATTTTGTCCCCTTTATTTTTCTTATAATTCGACCTCCACAGTTTAATTTATGATTTTTCCTTCTTGAAGGTGGGATAATAGGTCATCTCAAAAAAACCACAACCAGTTTTTATCCACAACGTTTCGGATTTATTTTAATCCTTCCTTAACACAATGGTTAAAAGAGTGGTCGTCTATCATCAATATTTTATAACAGTTTATTTTAAAACAGAGCCAGTGTGGTACATATTTAAGTCTTTCAGACTCCGAACTGAATTCCCAAGGAATTCTATCTCATTCATCAAGGACAACCGTTTCTAACTCTTCTAGGTTTTTAAGACCTGGGTTTCGACTTTGTAGTCGTCGGTTAAGTTGGTCCCAAATGCGTTCGATTGGATCAAATTTGGACTTAAAGCACTCAGTTCCAACTTCATTCGGGTAGATCACAATACGTACTCTAAGCGGCTTGGCATTATCCTGCGTTAGCAAGAATCTCTCCAATGTGGGGGGGGGACAAATTGTACTGCATGTTCTTCGATTATTTCTCGTAAGTACCTCTGTCAAGTTAGTGATCTTCCTCGCACAACAAATCGGTGCAAGCGTACAAGGAAAAGCCACCCCAGACATTAATAAATGCCTCCTAACGAATCAGACAGCTTGGGGTGTATTCTGGGGTTTCTGCTGAACATCCGCATATGAAATTATACGTGTAGATTTGAGATCAACTCTCACCTCATCTGTAAAGATAACTTGTCTCTAATCTTCCATTCTAAGCCACATGCGAATTGAAGCGACTTTTTTTTTTTTTTTTTTTTTTTTTTTTTCATAGAGCCTGATGACAGATAAATCTATCGCCTCTCTTCTGTAGACCTAAGGTGTACCTTGCCCTGGCCTTATAGTGTGAAGCCCTGTTTCTCTAAAGAAGGACCCTTCCAATTATAGAGTGAATGCACTTCACGCTGGATGCATTTTTACTCTAATAATGTTATGACCCTGACACTATCATTCTCACTCAAATGCCCGACTGGAGTCATTGAAAAAGGTTTAAGAGTAATAATATTAAATGAAATCAATGACAGAAAAAGATTAACTGAAAGTTATTAGGTATAACAGAAGAGAATACTGTTATTTTTTGTACAAACGGGATTAATCTCCAGAAAGATTTTGATTCTTACTGCAGACATGCAAAATACGCTGATAAATATGTGTTTAATGTAAAATGTGCGTCAAATAAAAGTTCTTACAACAATACTGGAGTCCTCACTTTTTCACTGTTCAAGATCCCCTACTTCATGTTTTTTTAGTTTACATGTAGTTAAGGAGAATTTGGAGAATTATTTCACAAATTATCATATTGACTCAGTTTTCTATAACCATGTTGGTTGCCAGTACTGAATAATAGGATTTTGGTATAAATATCTTTATAGTCTGTTACAGGGGAAACCCTCCTATGTACTGACAAAAGTTAAAAATTTTGTTTAAGGCTACACGATCAAGTGTTACCAGTGTGCATCATCAGAAACCAATGAAGACAACTGTGGCGCTTATGAAAAATTCGACACCGACAGACACATTGCTGTAGAATGCAACAGCGACGAATCAAACGTACCTGGCACGTTTTGTATGAAAGTAACCGAACAAGGTCAAAAAGGTTTTATCTGTAAGTATGATTTTTTTGTATGATCAAAGAGATGAGCACAATAATTTTTTAACCTTTTGTTAAAAGGGGATGGAAGGTGGAGACAGGTGATACGACGTTGTGCTTCAGTAGCGGACACAGGGGTTTCAGGCGTTTGTAACTGGGGAGTACGGGAAAACGGCGTCTACTGGGAGGAATGCTATTGCTCGACAGATAGTTGTAACGGTTCAGCTACTGTCAGTATTAATAAAATGTTTTTAATAACATCAATCTTTGTTGCAATTTATTATACATTCTGTTGATATGACAAAATAATTATTTCTATTTCAAAAATTTTCAATAACATGAAATTTTTCAAAGAATTAACATTATCTAATTTTGGAATCTCTTTATTTTTATTTTTTTAATTTTACTCTCACTTTATAATAATGATAGTTCCAAGAAATAAGTATAATTTTAATCAAATGGGACACATCTACAAATCCGATATTTTTCCCAATGTAAAATTATAAAAATGTTTTTATCCATTATATTTAAAAAGCCATCCATATAAATGTGTAATTTAAGTTAATTACATTAGTATTACATTGCCTTGTCTATTTTTATACCGTGAATAAAATTAATTTATGTGTGTTAATGTGCAAGTCCAAAGCAAAATAAATATATTTATATTTAAAAAAACCGTCCATATAAATGTGTAATTTAAGTTAATTACATACAAAACTTTGTATATTTTTATACTGTTAATAAATAATTTGTACTTGTGTTATATGTCTAATGCTTTGTCATCCTATGCTTATGGTATAGCTAAATCAATAGCATTTAATCCTTTCTTTTAATAGCGGATAACTGAATGACTGGAAATATTGAAACATCCTGGATGACCGTCTGTAGTGAATAGCAGGGCAATCGTACAAAAACTCAACTGATAAACTTGGGATCCTTATGATAGCTATGGAAGACGAAGGGCTATAAATGAACGTAAACAATTTGTCGGAGGAAAGAAGAGAGAACAATGGTGAACCTTACTATGGCCATCATTTATCATGGGTAGGCAGAGGCCATAAGCAAAATGATCATCGTTAATTTTCAACTTGGCTAATAGGCAATTTGATAAGATAAGAAAAATAATCACTGGCAATGAATCTAAAAATAAGTCTTATCTAAAAATAAACGTTCTATAAATAATGAAAAGAAAACATATTTTAGCACATTATTAAACCTGAAATTATTTTTGTTTTAATTCAGTAGTTTGTTTGGTACATACCTCGAAATTTTGTAATAGGAGGGAAAATTCAAAAGGTGTGGTTGAGATGGGAGGTTGGTGTCCGAGTGGATCGAGGTCACGATAGCTCAAGTGGTAGAGCAGCGGCGTATCAAGCGGAAGATCGTGGGTTCGAATCTCGTGCCATTGACTTTTTAATCTCTACTAAAAACCTTAATTAATTGTATGATAATAAAAAATGTTTATTATTTTCATTTCGGCCACTCATTCCCAGAAGTCTTAATTACTCTGCATTCAAACCCATAATACAAATGGGCCTTAAAAAAATTAATTAATCCTAATTCCTTAATGAAGGGCTGCTGGATTCTGGAATTTTACCTTACAGTGATGAGCACCGTGTCAATGCCTAAACTGATGCCCCCCCCATAGTACTTACAAATGGGCTTCTAAACAAACACTGTAATTCTAATTGCTGTGGGTTAAGTATAAACCCAAAGTATTTAAAAAAGGGCATAAAAAAAGTATCCTAATTCTGAGTGGGTTAAGTACAATCCCATAGTACTTACAAATGGGCTTTTCTTTAAAATCAGGAATCCTAATTTCTGGAGGGTTAAGTCCGAACCCATAGTACAAACAAGTGTGGGTTCTTAAAAAAATTGGATTCCTAATTCCTAGGGATCAAGACTGAATAAAAAATGAGCTTTAAAGAAAAAAAAAGTAATCCCATTTCCTGGGGGTTAAATCCTTTGCTCTGTTGTGAACCACTATTTGCAGAAAAATAAATAAAATAATATAATGGAAGTATATAAATAAATAAAACGAATTTGAACATAATGAACGAGAAAGAAGTAAATTAGCCATTTTTGAAAATAACGGCATGGTTTCTTTATTGTACTTCATTTTACACATTAAATATAACTTCATAGATACAAAAATGCCCTCACTCATAAAATAAAAAAGACGAGAATGAAATGAGACATTTTGAAAATATAAGATCAAGGAATGTACACATCACTCGTCCAAAGGAGTGAAGATTTCCACAAAGTCAGTCTTAGTGAGTTCAATTGTGACAAAAACTGTATTTGTTGGAATATTAGTGTTAGATATTAAATTTAACAAAGATGTTAATAGAGAACCATTTTTTTTTTTTTTGACAACATCGACGCTAAAAAAAGAGAAAATATACAAAACAATAGTTTTGAAAACATATCTGTTTTCTCCTTACAAAATTAATATGAAATTGAAACATGTATATGAACAGGTAAAGTACACTGTGGGATGATAATGGTGTTAGCAGGTTTATGGAACTATCCAAACTTTGACTGGCTGATCACAGTTCATCCTTGGGCAAATCATCGAGTTCCACATCAGAAAGGTCAACATCGTCATCTTGCGGAGGTTCACCGTCTTTCCCATCCCAAGGTTCAGTCTCAACAACTTTAGGAAGCGAAGCGCCTTTCAACGGGGCTGTAGTACCTCGCCCGTAAGATAAATCCCTAAAAAGTCGCTTATGTAAATTTATAATTCATGAGATGTATTGTCAAATTGGTACCTTAAAAATTCATTAATCCCGTCTTTAGAAAACGACCCCCTCAATATAGAATATTTCATTTTTTTAGCATTCAAGACAGCCATGGCTGGATAGCCAAAACCGCCGATTTCCAACGCATTTTCAAGTTCAGGTTGTGCACCAGCCTCAGACCAGACCCATCTGTTACATCATTGAAATAAATTAAGACAAAATTTATTAAAATTTTTCTCTAATTCTCTTACCCCCATAATTTCTTTCTGAATTTATCTCCCAAATTCTGAAGGGTTTCAACATATGAAGACCTGCACTTGGCTTGACAATCGAGTATGTGTGGAAGAACAGCAATTACACAAAGCGGTTTATCGCATGCTTCTTTTAATGTATTTTCTGAAGTTATCTAAAACAAATAGTTAATTTTATGTTAAAGAAATATCAGAAATAACCTTTAAAAAAATAAGTTATAAAAATGTTGAACACTGAATGTATGTATTTTTATTTTTGTTAATAAATTATAAAAAAAGACCTGTGTTTTTACAAAGCTACCTTCTATCAACAAAGCACAATTTTAAAAATTTAATTGAACTTGGCCACCATTATTGTTCTAAAGGAGTTCTGCGAGAAAGACAAGAATGTTTAAAAACATAAAATAGAGGAAAACACCTTTAGTTCCAGCAAACTTTGCTGATGGAGTTCCACTGCAAAAATACTTCAACCTTGATAAAAGCATAATTTAATGATTCTTAACTCACTTGTTGTACTTCTGGTGCAGGCAAGCTTTCCATGAGTTTGTCCATAGCAAAAGCAACAATGTCACTCGATGTCCTACCTCCTTGGTAGTCCTCTGCTGAATGTTTGTCTTTTTTGCCTCCAGGGAAGAATTTTATGGTAGGATATCCTTGAACACCGTACTCGTTTGCCTTTACTGTGTGAGTAGTACAGTCAAGAGCTCCAAGTTTGACTTTTCCCCTCAACTCGTTTGCAGCTTTTGCCCAATGAGGCGCAAGATTTTTACAATGACCACACCAAGGGGCAAAAAACTCGACCAGCCAGATATCATCAGACTGGAGAACTAGCCGGTCAAAGTTGGAATCTGTCAGCTCAACCACTTCATTAGAAGTACTCTCCTAAAAAACACATTAATTTTCGTATTTGAATAAAAAAATTAAATTATGGAAATGACAATTTTCCTACCTTGCGCTTTCCACCGAATCGATCATCGACAACTTTCTTAGCTAGTTTAAAAACTTCACTGACTAAATCATCGGCTGTCCTCGCCTGATTGTAAGTAACTGGACTATCAGTTCCAGGGACGAAAATTTTAACAGTAGGGAAGCCTTTGATCCCAAACCGTGCTGAAAGGCTCTTTTCATTATCAACATTCACAGCTCCTACTTTTACAATTCCCTAAAGGAAAAAGAATAATCCTCAAAACAAAGAAGTGATTTAAAACAATTTTTGAAATACCTGTAACATTTGCGCTGTCTTCTGGTATTCTGCTACAAAGGATTTCGAGTGTCCGCACCATGTTGCATAAAACTGGACGACCCAAAGCTCCTTTGGTTCGACGACAAGTCTATCAAAGTTGCTTTCTGTTAACTTAACAACAGCTGAATCGGACGAGTAAAAGCACAAACTATTTGAGAAACAGGTACCAAATACAACTGAAAAAGAAAAGAAAAAATCAGTAAAATGACACGCATTCAGAAAAGCAATATGGTTTGAAGTGTGACAAGAACACTAGAACAGAACTAGTATGCTCGTTTATGATATTATAACAGAATGATAAAATAGGGCATCTATTCAACACAAAATATAATAAAAAATTAAAGCGTTATGAGAAAAACAAATGTATGTACTGTACAAGTAAAGAATATCTTCGTAGTAGTAATTATAGAATTTAATAATTTTTTAATTTAATAATAGCAAGAGCTTTATAGATTTATTACAAAAACCGTAGATAGAAGGAAAAAAATAGTTGAATATCTGTGTTGAGAATCGGACCTTTGTTCATATGAACTTGTTTTGACACTCTGGAAGTGTGAAATTCACTGGCAAAGTTTGTATCGTGAGTAGCCTGACACCCTGTGTAATAAAAACTATTGCATTCTCTGAACTTGTACTCTGGCTAACACTGAAAGTTAAGGCCAAAAAAATTAAAAAATACAATAAAAATTCATTTCAAGCTACTGTGTTAAATTAATTTTTAGATCAATTATCTCCTACCATGCATTAAAACGCATGATAACAAGAAAGTGGCAGCATTGGTGGGCCAAATCGGCAGAGAAGCTTTTATGTATCAAGAGGAATACATATTTGGAGGCATATCAAAAACTCCACGACCCGGAATGTAAATAGGAAAGAATGCATTTAAGGATGAGTGAGAGTTGAGAGGGTTTGGATCTAGAAAGTGAATGCGTCGGGGGCTTTAATGACCTAGCTGTTAACAGCTGCTTGAGCTTAACTTCAGCAGCGGGATGGATAAGATCGAGGTCTCATCCCGGACTGCCAAAACTGAGGTAAATGATTCTCAAAGCCTGCCGATAATTTATTGTAAATTTTAAAAAACCAACTAACAATCTAGAATTGCCGGCAAACTGAGACAAGTGATACGCTCAACTACATGCATGTAGTCGGGATATATAAATCAGTTATCATTCATATCCTAGCACAGAATAAAATCTGTATGTATAAAACAGTCCCGTGACTGACAGACAATGTACAGACCAAACCGTCAGATCTAAAGGGCTGAAATTTCGACAGTGCAAACAATGACACGGATAGCCACTAAGAAAGTATTTTTTGAAATTACAATTGATTCCCTAAGATCATATGGACAATTTTTTTACCAAGTATAGACCGAAGTGAACTGAAGAAAAAAAGAATTTCAGAATTGAGACATTATACTACGAAGCCATTCTTGCACTCTGCATCACATTAGAAAGTTACATTAAAACAGAGTCCTGCATGTACAAAATTGCAGGTAAAAGTTATTTTTAAAAAGTTTCTATTCTATATTAATATTTGACTTCATTTATAACGATCCATTCTGTAGTTTTATTAATGTATTTTTTGAATGGCTTCTAATAACAATAATATTCTTCATTGCAAGAATTATTCTGTGTCATTATATCAACATCACACTTTATTTCCATGAACCTTCTACACTAAGCTAATATCATTTATTTCAAGACTGCTTGTAAAAAATACTTCTACCCAACATTAAAACTATATTTTCTTTCCTGGATACAGAAAATTTTAATTTATTGATAAAAGAACACAAAATCTACAAGGGAAATGAGTCTTCTGTCAAAACTGACAAGAAATTTTTATTTTAATATTGACGATTTCTTTTGTCAAATCTTATCTTTGATGAAACTGAGTTCTTTTGATAACAACTTTATTGAATTCTTGGCAAAAGTGCTTCATCATGATTGAAGCAAAATGGAGGGCAAGTCTAAGGCCCTACTCACACGGGATACTCAAGTTTTTGAGATTCGCTGGAGACTAAGAGACACATCATTAAGTGATGCCCCTCAGATGGAGATACTACAATGTACTAGGAGACCCGATATTGGTCTATAAGCCTTACAGTTGCTTTCATTCGCTCAATGAATGAACAAGTGTTCAATTTGAAAATTTTGTTAATTCGGGCCAACTACACTCCCACTCCTGTAATGAAAGTCAATTATTATAGAGCTATCGGGCAATCGCACACTCACAGGAGAGAAAGAAAAATAGGAAAAGAGGGAGAGAAAAAAGATGACATCATACAAAGGGGTAGAAAAACAGAAGGAAAGGAAAAAGAAAAGAGAGACCAAAGAGAGGGTAATAATAATGGTAATAGGGAGGGTAAAAATTGGAGAGTACGAGTAAAAAGTAAAAAGAGATGAGTCATTATTACAAAAATAGGTAACGTACTCATTATCAACATTTATTCATTATACTATCGATGGAGTTCCACAGTTAGATAATTGCTATTACTTATTATTAAGGGTATTTGAAGAAGGATTTGTGTGACAAACTTCTCAACTTTCTCACTTGTGTCATTCCGTACAAACAGCAATAATAATATCGGGTTGTCCGGAAAATAATGCAGGATTTTAAGTTTTCATTAAAAAAAATCTATATAAAATATTCTGTTTACGTTTACAGGATTNAGTATGGGAAATTATTTTGATTAAAGAACATTGCTTTAAAGTAACTAGTTTCTTTTTTTTTTGTTTAATACCAAAATCCTGCATTATTTTCCGGACAACCCAATAATAATGGATTATGATACCATCATCACTTCTAGAATCACTAGATGTTACATAGGGGGTTGAGTACACAATGAAGTGCATGAGTTACAGTGCTCTGTTCACAGCTAATACAAAACTGATCGATTTTCTATCCAAACCGCAAGTGACTTAGCAAAGGAGGCTATTTGAGTCATCCAGTCACCCAATCTCCAGGTTGTCAGGCAGCTCGTGACTAAATCTGTGTGAGAACACCCAGGGGAATAATTTTCCAGTCAGTTTTATATACTTTTGACAAGAATGTTTAAAAAAACGACAGTAGTTCTTTGCAAAATTTGAAATTTTTGGTGTGAAATCCTTCAACTTTGTAATATGTATACTGTTCCACAAAAAAGTGATATACAGGTGTTTTTTAAATTTATGGTTTTGTTCCTTTTTGCAAACATTTTCAATTTAATGCATTTATAAAGTGTTATTTTTCATTATATTTATATCCTTCTTTAATTGTTTTGCTTACAAAAAGGCTTATGTTAAATCATTTATTATCTCTTTTGCACAAAGGCAAGATTATGTTCATTATTTCCAAATAAACATATCCCAGTTTAGTTTTGATTTCTTGAGTGAAAAGTCATTAGTTTTAAACTTTATTTTTTACTTTTTGCTTTAAAATGGTAATTTCTCAAGAGCAAGTTGTAACGTTGTGCTGCATGTTATTGGACTGCCTAAAGCAACTATATAAAGAGCTATCAATCAGTAACGGGAGGCTGCTTCCTGTCACAGGAGGCCTTGACCGAGGACAGAAACCTGACATGATTGATTTTTGCTGAAGCATACTCTTCGAAACCATAAATCTACAGCTTCTGAGACGTCCAGCTTCGAATTGCTCATAATGTCAATGGTAGTGCTGAAACTGTTCGAAGAAGACTTGCTGAGTTAAATTTACATCAGGCAGCCAAACAGACACCCCACTACTCACTTCATGTCATCATAGAACCTACCTAGAGTTTGCTAGTGAATATCAGAATTGGATAGAGGACGATTGGAGAAATGTATTGCTCTCCAGTGAGTCCCGTTTTGCTCTGCTATCTCCAAACAGTCAATAACAAGTATATCGAAGAACGCTATGCACTGTGATGGTTTGAGGTGCGATACCTCTTGAAGCCAAAATGAATAGAAATATTTTCAGCAGGCCAACACTTAATGCACATTCGTTCATAACTGACATCATTTAAGGCTATGTGGTACCTTTTGCCCCCTTTATTGGTGATAATTTCATTTTGATACACGACAAATACTGCCAATTGTGTTGTGCAATATCTTTGGGATGTCGGCATTCACACGTTAACATGGCCAGCTTGCAGCCCCGATTGATCTCAGCCCCATAGAACATGGGATGAACTCGAAAGAAGAGTTCAACAGCAAAGAAACCCTCTTACAACCTTGCCAAAATTAAAAATTGCAATAATTAAAGCATGGGAGGAAATCCCAGTTGTTTTGTGATGTTATCCGTAAGAAGTATTCTACAGAGGTTGTAATTCGCATGGGAGGATGATTTATGATTTTTTAACCATTCCAAGTGTTTTATAATAATATTACTTTTGACCATTTAGAGATCGTGAGATGCCGTCTGGTGTGATGTAGGTTTAGAAAAACATTTTCTTTATCGTGTCAACGTTTCAATCTTTATTGTGATCATCTTCAGGGCCTGGGATTTACAAACATTATTTAGATTATAATCATACATGAAAGATGCGAAAATGAATTTTTTACAATAATGTACACAATATAGAAATTTCAAGTTTAATCAAAGTATTTGTACTCACTCAAAGTATGTTTCCTGTATAGATGTGTCACGATTGTGTGTTAGTGAGATATTTTTATTTTTTTCTCCGAAAAAAAGTTTATAAGTTAAATGGGTGATGGTTAGTGACCATTAATCGATAATTATTCAGAAATCGTGAGACACACCAGACCGCATCTCACGATTTCTGAATAATTTATAAGTCAAGTTAACTGGACTTTAACACGGAAACTTTTTGTACTCACCCACTATTCCAGATTTATATAAATGATATTAGTATAATAAAAAAATATGTCCTGGGGTAAAAAATCGCAGCCCAGCAAAATAGTGAATATTTTAATGAACATTACTCACTTTTTTGGGGGGAGCAGTGTATTTTATTTTACAATCAGACAGTGCAACTTAAATGAAGAAAAGAAGCTTATAATTTAGTTTCTAGAAGAGTGTGAAATACAATTCAAAACTTAAAAATACATATTGTTATTATTAGTATGATTGGTTCTTTTTAACCTTTTTAAAAAGATAGTTCCTACTCACAGTTAGATGTTTTCAACGTACTGATTTCAAGCTTATAGCTCATCATCAGGTTGTATTACTCCTCCAGTTGAAAACAGCTAACGTAAAAGTTATTAACTTTTTAAAAAGATTGAACAACACACTGACTCCATTATTTATCATTTCTATTGATTAGTATTATGATTAGTATCAATACAAGAATACAATTGATAATTTGTATATTTGAAAACAAAAAATGTGATGATATGAACTTACGTAAAAAAGAAATAAGTCTCATTTTCCTTTTAAGTCCCAACGGATGAACTTAGCAAAGTGGATTATTAAAAATGTTAATGGTGTAACGTTGTAAGTTGTGCTTCGAGAAGCCGGCTCTCGGCTTTACGGCAGCAGAGTAGTCCGACCCGTCCGGCAAAGATCAGTAATGGATAAACAAACGACGACACGGACGGAGTTGGCCCGTCAACTTTTCGTGTTTAATTCTTATTGGCTGGCCCGATAAACAGATGTCGCCTCCGGACAAAGGCGGAAATACATTCCGAGACGGATATTTCTAAAATACACACACAAAATATTTAAAATTTTATTTCTACGCAGAGTGGGTTTCGCCTTGGATTAAAAAATATATAAAAAACGGTGAAAATTTCCAATAAAGCCGGTTAAAGTTTTCCACCGGTCGGCCGATATTAACGGCTTTGAGTTTACCGACCGCCGGCAAATTTTAGTTTAAATTAGAGCCCAGTTCGATTAACAAATTTTACCGTACACACAACGCTACAATGAGAGGTGGGACGATACCTTGGTTTTCAGAAATTCAGGACAAGGTAAAACTCTCTTATATTAAATTTAGATTATAATTTTAAAATTGAAAACAAGAAACTTTCAAAATCTGAGCTTATTGTACAAAATTAAACCATTTAGTAACTTGAAAATGGAGTAATAATGGAATTTAGGGGGCCGTCGGTGGCCGCAGCGGTTTAGGCGTTGACACGGCGCTCAACACTGTAAGGTAAAGGTCTCGGGTTCGAATCCAGCGGTCCTCAATTCGATCTCTCTCTCTCTCTCTCTCACACACACACACACACACACACACACACACACACACACATACACACATGACAGGCTTAAACAAAGTAAATAGGCAGAAAAAAATCGATTGAAAACAATCAATCTGTAAAATTTATTGAACTTTTGTGGTGGAACTCCATTATCCAAGGTTGAATATCAATAAAGCCTTTAGTTCCAACTGTTTATTATTTATATCCTAATCCTCCCCTTATCCTAATCTTATACTTTACATCTATATCTAATGAATTAAATGAAATAATTATATTTCATGAAAAAAAAAAAATAAACGAGAACATGAGGATGTATACTGTTTCTTATTTTGAGTTTATCATCCTGCAGTCCTCATACAAATCATGTAAAATATGTTATTACAGATTATTTTTAGTCTGGTGTGATGTATGTTAGAAAAACATTTTCTTTATAGTCTTAACGTTTCGATCTTTATTGAGATCACCTTCAGGGCCTGGAAATTATAAACATTGTTTAAATTATACAAATACGTATAACATCTGAATATGAATTTATAAAATGATGTACACAATATAGAAAGTGTTAGGTTTAATTATTTTTAGGTAGTTTAGGTATTTGTGCTGTAATGCTGTATGTTGTGTTGAGAGTGTTAGTGAGATTTTAATGTTTTTTGTGTATATATGTTTGAGTTCGAAGGAATGGGGAAGGGGGTAGGGATATGTAGCATCTTGTGATCTTCAAATAATCAGTAATTAACAGTCACTAAATATTACAAATATGTTATAACAGTTAATGAATGATTGTTTGTTTTATACATAACCTCACATTCTTAATGCACTTTACACATTGGTTACATGCGTGTGGTGATTAGTGACCGTTAGTTGATGGTTATTCAGAAATCATGAGATGCGGTCTGGTGTGATGTAGGTTTCAGAAAAACATTTTCTTTATCGTGCCAACGTTTCAATCTTTATTGAGATCATCTTCAGGGCTCAAAGTGTTTGTTTTCTGTATTGTGCCATTCTTGTGTGTCGTGTTTCAATTACACAAAAACAAACAATTTGAGCCCTGAAGTTGATCTCAATAAAGATCAAAACGTTGGCACGATAGAGAAAATGTTTTTCTGAAACCTACATTACACCAGACCGCACCTCACAATTTCTGAATAATCATTGGTTACATAATTGGTTTCTAAATTTTCAGATTCCTAATTTTTCTATTACTCTTCTTCCCAAACATCCAGGCAAAATCAGGCACTGGTAAATTTATATAAAAGAGATTCGTTTCTTTTATTTCTGATCCATTCCACTTTCCTGGAAAGCTTTTACACATAACAAATAGGCTCAGAGTCAATAATAGTATATCGTTTTCATTCTACTACAAAAATTATTAAACTTAAATATTTTATTCATTATAAATATAATTTTTGCTGTATTTGATTTGAATTACATCAAACATTGTTTCTTTAACAAAATATATATATATCAATATTATTGTGATATTAGAAATTCGCACAGTTTATATCGATCAGAATAATATATCATTCCAGTTAGAGTTGATTCTAATGGAACAGTTTCTTGTAGGATCTCAGTACAATTCCTCTTGCTTTTTACGATTAATGGCCTATAAATTTTTTTAAATTTCACATTACATATAACATTGTATAATAATAATAGTTATTATTTAACTGCATCTCTGTTACTATTTAAGTTCATGTTAAAATTATCCCATTGACCAGGAAATTACATTCTGATATGTGATTCACTTGTATTACAGAGACAGGTCTTTCTTGTTTGTGCATTCATCTATACTGAAAGAAAACCTTTTTATTTTTTGAGGCATTTTCCTTCTTATTTTAACTGTAGACTTTGTTTACTTTTTTCTCTGAAAAGTTATTTTTTTCTCCTTTCAGTAACCCTGTAAGAATATTCATCAGTGGTTCCACCTTTGTATTGAAAATCCCAATTTTCTATACAAAATAATTTTGTTGAGCAACACCAAAAATATCAGTGTACCAATGAGGATTTTTTTCTGCAATTTCACAGCTATATTTTAAGACACAAACACTTTCTTTTTTGGGTATGGTGAGAAGTTTGTGCTTTGAAATTTCCAATTAAACAACATAATTTTGCACAAACTAAGTGGAAGACATTCAAAAATTTTATTAAGATAATATTGAAATTTTTTAATTATTTGGTAGTAAATTATTTATATTTTTCTATGTCTTCTAAGCTTTCTTTTATCACAGTTTGATCTTGGGGAAACACATCCATTATAATGTCCACAATTTGTGATTGAAAAAGAAAGAAGTATCATAATGCGTAATAATGATACATTTAAAAATAAAGTTGGTAATATAATTCAAATGTTTTCATTTGATGTTTTCATTTCATCAACTTCCACAAAATAGATAATTTTTGTAAATCAATCTTCTCCTCATGTTTTAATTTTGTTAAATTTATTCCATGTGTTTTTTTATCATTTGAAACTTCATTATTTTTGAGTTTTCTTGACATTCTTCTTTGTCAAATTCATTACAGTTTGTAGTATGATTGAAAAAATAACGTTTTTCAATTAATTAATCTTTATATAAGGTATTTGTTGAGATAAATTCTTCTTTGTCTTCTCGGACTGACTTTTATTGTTTGTTCTTTGGGAAAGCATTATGCAATATCTATTATAATGTACAGAGTATCGTCTAATCCTTTTGTAAAATCTCATCTGCTTTTCTAAGAAGCAGCTATCAACTTCCCAAATGCTGTAGCAAAATCTTTATCAATTAAGATTTAAGTACAAAACTTTCTGAATGACAGAAAATGGGAAAACTAGCATATTTAGTAAAACGATACCTTTACAAATAAAGTTGGCAGCAAAATTTCAACTGGTTTTATTTAATTAATGTAAATAAAATAGGGAATAATTTAGTGGTTTTGGCTTAATAATATTGAGCTTTTTATTTAATAGGTATGAAGTATAATTCATATTGTTATTTTTTAAAATTAATTTTAAGTTAATATGGCTAAGTTTTTGTCACAGTTGTATAAATAGTAGCAAGTACAATATGAAGTTAAAGGGATGCATTTTGCACTGTACAATCTGACTCATTTAGACTCTTTCTCACCCATTTTCTCCCTCTCTCCTCCCCCTCTCGCTCTTTCCCACCCACCCGCTCAGTCAAATCTATTATAATTCTAACTGATATGCTTAAAAAATATCACTGTGGCTAGACTTGACAAAATAGTGACTAGAAATTGACACCAAATATATTTGTATTTCTCTGACAAATTTCATTAAAACTATTGGACATATAAGTCTCAAAGACTAGATAAAATAAATGTTTCAATGAAAGGAAGTATTACGAATTGCTCAATTATTTATAATTATTAATAGGCGACTTAATGGTTTGTTTTTAAGTAATAGCCCTTGTTGTACAAAGTAGAAGCATAGGCTAAGCCCGGACGACTTCCAGGCATTGAGAAAAGGTTGGCTTTCGGCGCCGTGAAGGCAGACAAATATCAAATAAATCCTTACCTTTATCATTTCTAACAAAACTCTTGCAATCTTTTTAAAGAATAGAGTATAACCTAAAATGTAAAAATTCAAGGGTCGCAAAAAGAGTGATGCTTTTGACTCCATACAATCTGGACATTAATCTCATCTAGTCTCTTTCTCTCCCATTCTTCCTCTTTCTTTCGCTCTCACACTTTCTCTCTATCTCTCCCTCTCACTCTGTCAAATGTATTGTCATTATGACTGATACACTTAAAAAATATCACTATGGTTAGACGACAAAATAGTGACTAGAAATTGACATCATATATATTTGGAGAATACCAAATATATTTGTATTTATCGACAATTTCCATTTTAAAAAAAAATAGACATATTAAGACTCAATGCCTAGATAAAATAAGTGTCTCAATGAAAGAAAGTATTACGAATTACTCAATTATTTATAATTATTCATAGAAAATATGGTTTGTTTTAAACAATAGCCCGTTGTACAAATTAGAAACATAGGCTAAACCCTCACGACTTCTGGGCATTGAGAAAAGGTTGGCCTTTAGCGCCGTGAAGTAGACTATTAGTTTAAAAAATGTGCAATAATTAACATAATAGCTTTTTTAATCATTGTTTTTTAATAATAATAATAATAAATCAATTTTAACGATTAAAAATTTACTTTTATAAATTTGAATATTATTTCATTATTAAATATTACATCTGTTAAATTTAGTGGACCAAATTACTTTTTTAAAATAATTAATCTTTTTATGTAAGGACTTGGTTGAAATGAAAATGTTAGTGTCATGAGTGGGATTCAACCCAACCGAAAGTGGGAAGGGAGGGAGAGAGAGAGAAATGGGGGTGAGAGGGAGAGAGAGGGAGTGAGAGGGGGAGAGAGTGAGAGAGAGAGGGTGTGAGAGGGGAGAGAGAGAGAGAGAGAGAGAGAGAGAGAGAGAGAGAGAGAGAGAGAGAGAGAGAATGAATGGGGGAGAAAGAGACTAGATGAGATTAAATTAATGTACAGGTCATATGGTGCGGAAACCATCACTTTTTTGTGACCCTTGAATTTTTACGTTTTAGGTTATGGTGAGTAGAACACCTCCTGAAATTTTTGACACTTATCACCAGTCACCCTGTAAAAACATAATACAAAATAAATGTTTAATTGTTTAAAATTTATTAGTTGACTTGGGATTGCCATAACACTCGGCTCCCACATTTGACCAAGCAGAGAGCCCATTGAGGCTTAGTTGTCCCCACATGGAGACTGGACGGTTCAGTCCCACTACGCTACCGATTATCATGAGAGTTGTACTGATTTGTTAATTATATTACCTTATTCTATGTTATTTTCTATTTCCCTTGCTGATACACGAACCTTACCTTACCTACGCTGGCTGGTAATGATTAATTCTTATCTTACTAAGGTGAGTCTTTTGCCCAAGTTTGGTCAAATTAATTTAGTTTCCTTTTTAAATTTATTCCTTGTTCCTTTTCGGTTCGTCATTATATATATATNAGATATCACGATTTTCCGACGCCAGGACGTGATATCTTTCAAAATCGATAAAAAGCGAAATTACTCTGAAATGGTTGAGAATCGGACCATGGACAATATGAACTTTTTTGTTCATTTTAGGGTGAAGAATCTACTGGAGAAGTTTGTAGCACGAGTAGCAATTCACCCTGTATATACATACATCGCTAACCATATATATAAAACAGCCCTAGCTGTACAAATTAGCACCATAGGCTAAACCCGCACGACTTCTGGGCATTGAGAAAAGGTAGGTTAGGGCCTTGAAGGCAGACATAAATATCATTTTAAAAAATGTACAATAATTAACATATTAGCATTTTTAACAATTGTTTGTATGTCAACTAATAAATTTTAAACAATTAAAAATTTATTTTATATTATGATTATACAGGGTGACTGGTGATAAGTGCCGAAAAGTTCAGGAGGTGATTATTCAGAAATCTACATAAATTCGTTGATTGTAGCAGTAACCGTAAATTAAATGTATATCAGCAAAGATATTCATTAGAAAACACAATTTAAATCACCAACCTGAGGACGTTATTAGCTGATAACATAAAGCAAACTGATTGAATTGAACAATAAAGAACTGACAAGAAATTCAAGAGCCAGATGGATTTCTTGGAAAAATTAAGCATGGCCCACCTTCATCTATTCGTTTTTTTCTTGCCCATTCTCTCTCTTTCCTTCGTTCCCACTGTTTTTCAACAAAATGCTCAATTTTTGGGCCTTTGGGAAAGGAAAGGCCAAAAAGGAAAGCTTTGGGGGAATTTGCAAAGCTCCGGGAGTTTGTAGTTATTAACAGTTACCAATCCAACATTTTCAAAAAATTCCAAATTTTAACATTTTTTTACTGAATTTTTTAATCAATTCTGCAATGTAAATAAGTTTTCTTACAGCAAATTTAATGTTCTTTCAGTAACAGACAGTAATTCTGAAGATTACAAGGAATTAAGTACACCTAAATTTAAAAAAACCAAAAACCAAAAACCTAAAATTACTTTGAGATTTGGACAGGGGTTTATAGGAAGTTTTTTGTTGTATATGGTGAGTAGAAACACCTTCAATTCTCAACACTTATCACTAGTCACCCTGTATATAATGTTAGTAGGCAGATCTTACCTCAGTGGATTTTTTTGATTACCCAGAACAAAATAGAGCTAAAAAGGAAACTTTTTTACTTCTGAACTGAATATATTCTTAATCAAAAAGGTAAAGCATTAATGCTTAGTGATGGTTTCTTGTGCCAACTTGTACATTAATTTATTCTCTTCTAGTTTTTTCTTGCCCATTCTCTCTCTTTCATTCCCATTCTCCCCCATCTAAACTTTCTACAATTTAGTACATAATATTTACAAATAATATGTACTTTTATAAGTAAATGGAAAAGGAGAGAGAAAATGTGGAACAGAAATAGCCATGCACAAACTAGTTATTCACACATAGTGTTATACTTAGATACACACAGTGGAGCTACAACAATTTGTTTTTTATGTATATGATTTTTTTTAAACTCAGAAATCACATATTCCTTATAAGATTTTATTAGGCCAGGAAATATATCATCTGTAACATATTGGTGATTATTTTTTGTATAAATTATTTAGAAAGAAAACATGACCGAGATTCACGATGCTTTGGTATGGGAAGAGAATGAGATATCTAAGAGCCCCATTTCTGGGAAGAGGCTTGTACTTTCAAATAATGGGACAAGTAAAGTACCTTATAAAAACCCCAATACTCAGTTCATGCATTTTTTTTTTTTTCCATTTCAGATATAATACCATCATGGGATTCACAAATAACAAAAACCGTTGAAATAACACCAGAAGAAAATGTGGTTGGCAACGGTTCTCCAGTATTTGACAAGCCTTGGTGTCGCTACGAGACTCCTTACACCTACAACGTCAATATTTCTGAAGATTTGAGCAATACAGAGTTCATATTCCAGAAATTTTTCCCTTAGAAAGAAAGAAAAAGTCCATGTCCAAGTGTAATGAGCTAAGGTGTCAGAGCTAAGCTTGTAAAAATGAGAAATGAATAAATTTGTAAAACTTAATAAGTTCTAGTTATTTGGAATGTTGAAAAACTTTTTTGTTAATAAAATTATAACTTTATTACAAATAAAATTTCAAACAACCATGTCAGAAGGTTTGATCCTTAGTATCACTGGCACACTCGTGCAAGGCAAGATGGCGATTTCTGTGACAACTGCTGTCACAAGATCAGGAGGAGTGATATCATACAAAAGACTTAAGGGTGTTAAGTAGGGATTGCTTTCCCATGATTTCAATCTCTGGTCTGTCCGAACAAAGTCAAGTGGATTTCCTATTTAAAAAAATAAATTAATTAATTAAAATTAAAAAATCAAACATTAAGTTGTATCCATTATCTTACCTAATTCATTATAAACGAAGACATCAGTTTGCACTCTTTCGCAAAATTTATAAGTCTCACAGCATACAAGCACAGGCACATTGAAGGATTTGGCAGAAAGTGCTACCAGGGAACTACCAGTTCTCGACATGACATAACCATTCGCAAGGAGTGCATGCGCTCCGAGTAGAACTTTTGTAGTCTTCAACAATAATAATTATTTAATTAAGGTTTTAAGTTGAGATAAAAAAGTCAGTGTCACGAGTGGGATTCGAACCCACGGCCTTCGGCTAGACACGCCGCTACTCTACCACCGACTTCGATCCACTCGGACACTAACTTCCCATCACAACCCCACCTTTTGAATTTTTCCTCCTTTTTGCCATTTTTCAAATGTCGTGTAATCTATTTGATTCTCGATGAAAGTGAAATGGCCACGGAGAGCTTTAGTGAAGTATACTTCATTTTAACTTATTAAATTCACTAGTTTTCGTGGTCCGCTTGACCAATTAATTAAGGTTTTAAGTTGAGATAAAAAAGTCAGTGTCACGAGCGAGAATCGAACACACGACCTTCGGCTTGATACGCCGTTACTCTACCACCTGAGCTATCGTGACTTCGAACCTTAATTAATTAAATTATATTAATTTGTCAAGCAGACCATGAAAAATAGTGAATTTAATAATAATTATATTGTATGATAAGTTTCAATAATACTTATAAAAAATATGACATACTTGTCCCATTATAAAAGAGAGTGCAGAAATCAGTACATATGTACACTTAATTCCAAGCGTAACGAGCCTTCGGAGCATTTCACGCCCTTCAAACCATGGACCACCATCTACAACGACTACTGTGAATGTTTTTCCTTCCCTGTGACTTTCTTTTAAAATTCTATATAAAAGAGATGAGCTAGAAGAATTTGTTTATTTTAATTAAAGATCTTTACTACAAATACCTGTTACAATTATTTTTCATACCAGGCAAAAATTAAAATAACATCTCCATTGGCTATTTTCTTTTGTACAGCTAAGCATATTGCATCTCCTGCTACATCGATCTGCTCTCTAATATATGTGTCAATGACATCACAGAGTTTCTTTTTAGCCTTTAAAGAAAAAAAAATTACACCATATTATTTAAATTAAATTAGTTATAACAGCCAAATGTCATAAACATTTACAAAAAATGTAATGACTTTTATATTAAAATCAACATAAAGGGTATGTTGATGTCTTTGAACGTACTCTCACCATAAAATGTTGTGAAAAAATAGACTTTTTTATAACAACACATATATATGTTTACAACTTTAAATATTGACATACTCAGATTTTAAACTTACGTCTTCCTCTGACACATTATGTAGTTGAGTGAGATGAGATTTTATATGTTTAAGAGCATTAGTCATGCTGACAGAAGAAGGTCTACATTGGTTGAGGTAGGCGACCGATTGTCCCAGACATTTTTCCAAAGCTCTGGAAAACTCTTTTTCCACAGGAGTCACAAAATCTGTTATCAGCTGGAAAGTAGATTATAATAATTTCATAATAATCTATACAGACAGTTTAAGAATACTTACATCTTTCAAAGCTTTCAAAAGAGCGACACATCTCGCATTTGACCCACTTGTCAGCCTCGCTGAATACTTAGCGCCAAGCTCCAGAATAGCAGGATGGATGGTACTACATCAGAATTTAATTTATGTTATTATAGTTTTTTCTTTAACTAAGTGGGTCAAATCATATTGTCATACTCAGTAATGAGCGATGGGAATGACAGTTGATCGAAGTGCAAATGGCTGAACAACTTGACCCTCTGCTGGTGTCTTAGCTCGACTTGATTCTTTGAAGTTGATTTATCAATTTGCTTTAAAAAGAAAAAAAAAGTGCTCTTGTAAATAAATTTAGTTTCTCTCATAAATAGATGAGCTTCTTTCATACTGCAGGTTGAGGCTGAGTTGGGGGTTTGGTTTCTTGCGGTTTTAATTTATTTTCTTTTTCTTGAGGCTGGTTTGCTTTCTTACTTTCTTCTTTTGCAGCTCTTTGTGCCTCCTGAAAATAAAACCATAAAACACAATGTAAAATTAGTGGAATAAATTTTTATTACCTGCTTTTCCCGCCTCTCAGCCCTTAATTCTGCTTTTGACTTTTGCTTTGCTATGTTAGTGACATCTTTTGGCGGGACCTTAGTCTCATCCTTTTGAGACACTTTTTCATTTTTGTTCTTGGCAGACTGTTTTATGAGCTTCTTCCTCTCGCGTTCAGCCATTACCTCTTCACGACTTTTTTCATTTTTTTCCAGTTTTTCTTGGGCCGCTTCTGTTTTAGAGCCATTTTTAAGTATATTTGTATCATTTGCATTACTGTGAATATGATCACCTACAATATTATCTATTTTTTCAGATAAATTTACCTAAAAATGTTACAGTAAAAATTTTTAAAAATTTGATTTGAAAAATAAATTTAACTACTATAAAATAATAACTACTTTTTCTAGATTAGTTTGGCCATCTTTGTTTTCAGCTGCTATAACGTTGGGCCGGGTACCTTGAACGGCCTTTTCCTTGTTCTTCTGTTTAGCGGCTAATTTCATTTGTTTCTTCTTCTCTCTTTCTGCAAGCACTTCTTCTCGTGATTTTTCCATTTTAGCATTTATGGAACAATCTTAAATGTTAAACTCAAAAAAATCGACCTTTTAAGAATCTATAACAAATAACCAACAATTTTATTTTACAAAGAACCTGTTTAAGTGAATATCCATTTTTCATGTTAAAAGTAATTAAATTTATTTAAATAAATATTTAGGCAGTTCCACACTAGCTATATGAAGTAATTTCCGTAACTGGGCAGGGTCATACACGCATTTTCTTCATTTTAAAAGAATGACACCTGATGGTTAAGGTGAAGCACACAAGGCCTCAGGGTTTTCTACAGTTGAAATTCGTGGCTGCATGGTAATTTGAAGCATACAGTTATGTTTGCTGTGACTTTTAATTAGGCAAATCTAGACTATGAAAAGATGAAATAATAAGGAGAATGTGGCTCTGAAACTGCTTTATTAGACGAGATGTTAATCTGGAACATGAGGCAATCTGATGCTTAATCTTTTTCGACAATTTTGGCTTTCCTCAACTTCAGTGGTGGCAAAAAGCGGAAAATGTCTAACAGAACAAAACAGTTAGGATAGGATCAGAAATTACCTATAAAACTCAAAAAGAATCTCACAGTCTGAACATTTTATTGCTGAGCTGAAACCGTCTTCTGACACATGTGAACCGCATATGATTGCGCATGTTTGAGCATGGCCATCTGCACGTATAGTTATGCTTGCTGTGACATATAAATTAGCAAAGTTTAGACTTTGAGAATACGAAACAATAAAGAGACTGGCTCTGTTTGTCATGACAACTTTATTATAAAAGGTATCAATGTGCAACATGAAGGAATCTGATGTTGTATCTTAATCTTTTTCACCATTTTGGCTTTCCTCAACTTCAATGGTGGCAAAAAGCAGAAAATGTCTAACAGAACAAAATAGGATAGGATTAGAAATTACCTATAAAACTCAAAAAGAATCTCACATTCTGAACACTTTATTGGCTGAGCTGAAACCGTCTTCTGACATATGTGAACCGCATACGAATTCGCATGTTTGAGCATGGTCATCGGCACATATAGTTATGCTTGCTGTGACATATAAATTAGCAAAGACTAGACAGCGAGAATATGAAACAATAAAGAGACTGTGGCTCTTTTTGCTATGACAACTTTATTACAAAAGATATCAATGTGCAACATGAAGGAATCTGATGTTGTAGCTTAATCTTTTTCACCATTTTGGCTTTTCTCAACATCAGAGGTGACAAAAAGCAGAAAATGTCTAACAGAACAAAATAGTTAGGATAGGATCGGAAACGACCTATAGAAATCAAAAATAAATCTTACATTCTGAAGCAAGTTAATTTGTTTGCTGAGATGATAGTCTTCTGACGCAGGTGAATTGCATACAAATCCGTATGTTTGAACACGTTTATCTGTTTGTATAGTTATGCTTTTGTGATAACAAAATTAGTCAAGTCTAGACTGCGAGAATATGAAACATTGAAGAGACTGTGGCTTTGTTTGCCATGACAACTTTATTATAAAAGGTGTCAATGTGTAACATGAGGCAATCTGATGTCGTGCTTATTCTTTTTCAATCATTTCGGCTTTCCTCAACTTCAATGGTGGCAAAAAGCGGAAAATGTCCAACAGAACAAAACAGTTCTAATGGACGCGTGCTCATTCGTTTCTTCGCTTTTGGATCATCCGGCCCTATTCGGCCGAATGGTTACTTCGACTTCAACTGTCAACCACGTGACGCTCACCATTGTTTAACGCCGTTCTTTGCTTTTTGCTTACCTTTTCGTTTCGTTTTCATTTCGATGGATTGCGAAAAATTGATAAGTGCGGTTGAGGAGCAGGCTCTTGGGACATGCGTGATCCACTCAATCATCGGAGAGATGTCCAGCGTAAGCTGTGATCAAGGATAGCTTTAGAAATGGAATTTCCAATATTTTTGTTTATTTCTTTCATTTCATTTGTACGTAAACTAAGAATTTTCTAGCAGCAACAAATCTTCTACATCCATTTGGGCTGTGTCGTAAACTGATGAAAATCAGCTACAGTGGACGACGGCGTTCGGCTATATTGCCGGTCGTCCGTTTGGTCAAATACGTCGGCTGTTGAACGGCCGTCGTAGTTCGGTTCCAATGGACGAGCAGCCTTAGGATAGGATCACAATCAACCTATACAACATTCTGCCAGAGCTGACACTGTTCTAGCACAGATGAACTACATTCAGATACCTATGTTTGGACATGTCCATCTGTACTTTCTGTTTGATCAAAGTACATGCAATTTCTAAATAGTTGACCCGGCTATTTTTCTGTTTTAAGTTACCTCTGCCACTTATTTAACAGAGAATCGGTTATGCAAAGTAAATAAAGCTTTACAGAATTATGTAAAATTAGAATGGAAAATCATTTTTCTCTTTAAATATTAACACATTCAAGGTTCACAAATGATGGAATGCAAGGCGCTCAATGGATCGTAACCAATTAAGGAAAATTCATCAAAATAACTCTATTAAAAAAAAACTATAATTATTTTGAGACTTCACTTAAATGAAATACTGAATAACAAATCCCAATGAAGACTTACTGATTAATTAAGCGAGATTCTTTACTTCCAAGGCAAAAATAAAGTAACGAGTGACATATTGTACCAATAAAAAATACGATCACAAACGAACTGGTTTCACAAACGAAAAACTCACAGACTGTTATAGCACTTAACTTGTCCAAGTTATATTTTCATTTTCAAAAATTAATAACTGAAAATTTTCTAGTAACGGTAATTAAAATGTGAAGTAGTAAAGAAAATGCACGCAATAAAAAATAATGAGTGTTAAAAATTATTCTCTTTGTACAAAGGAATGTATCTATGAATCCAAAACACATTTGTTATGTTTACAAAATGAAATGGAAAAATTTAAAAAGTATAATTAAAATAATTATAACGTTTTAGAAAAGAAATTGTTTAATTTTGATAATAAACTATTAAAATTATTATGATTTTTTTAAAGTTGTTGAAGTTCTCCGTCACATGACCGATTTAGAAAACCGTGATATTGACTCCGTTTTATTTCTTCAGTCGTGTGAGTTTCTTTAGCCGACATGAGGTAAATAAATTGTCCCAAATTTATAAATTTTAAATAGAAACTTTTTAAATTTGAAAGCTTGTCTTATAAACGAGACGCCGACTGCTTTGAGAACAGTTCTAATTAATTCTTCTCAGAGGGTTTGAATTAAATTAAATCGAAAGTTTTAAGGTTTAACCTCACGTGTACATGCGGTTTCCCCCATGCCTTCTGCTTTGTTGGAACATGCATATTTTTAAAACTTGCAAAATGATCGTGATTTTAATAAATAATCCCATTTCAGTTATGGCTTTCTTAATTTTTCAGTTCTCTAAAGTTACAAAAGAGGCTCGCCGCCTCTGTTATGAGATGCGGGAAGAAAAAGGTTTGGTTGGATCCAAACGAAATCACCGAGATCGCCAACACAAATTCAAGTAATTTTTTTTGTTTGTTATTTTTAAACATTTATGATTTATTTAATTATGCACTAACACTCAAAGGGATTTTATGGTCGACCTTCTAGGATAGGAATGCAGGATAGCAAATGGAATCATGCATGGCGATTTAAAATCTAAATATTAAAGCTTTTTTTCTCTTTCAACTGTACATTCTTTAACAACAAAAATGTTTAATATCTACATCACTTACTCACTGCATGCTTGTCAAATTAGTTCAAAATTTTGAGTTTGTTTATGGCATCCATATATCACATAACCAAGGATCCTTTACCTTTTTACACTTAGGATTTTTCCATGTTTGATCTTAGCTAGCCGATATTACATCAAGTAAGGCCTGATGCACATATGTGGGTTTTTGCGGTCCTATTGTGGTCCATTAGGAATTGAATTTCTACAAAAACTACTGGTAGACATACAATTACCATTATGGTCTACCATAGAAAATGGCATTTTTATTCACCATTAAAAAAACAAAATAGACGTTATTGGGCACATCCATAGATATGAGACTTTCAAGAGGGAGATTTATACTTTTTTGCAGATTTACGGAAAAACTAGTCATTGCAAGCAGTTTGGACAGTAATAAGAACAGCAGAATTGGAATTGGAAGCATGAAGAATACAAACATAGTGTTGAAAGTTGTACCAAAAAATAAAAGTGCTGCCATTTTGTCACAGGGCTGCTGGAAACTAGAGGGAAATACTAGCCAATCTGATGATCTGTACTTCAGACTGCAACTGTGGCGCTGGACAGCAAAAACCAACATGTATATCTGACCTAAGAGTCAATGTTTAACTTCCTAAGCCAATTTCACTTCTATAAAAACCCATACGGTTGAACATCCCCAAATGAACGTTTATTACCTGACGTGCGAGTATCTTTCAATCTGAAATCTACTTAAAAACAAGGACTATCTTTTGGAGCCAAAATAGTCAGCCATCAGAGCATTAAACTCAAACATGATTAGCTTAAGGATGCGATTTGAAAAATTAAATTACCTATACAAAACAAGGTACACTACTGGATGCCTAGGACATTACAGAGGAGTAGAGGGGATGGAGGAAGCAGATGCCCTTGCTAAGAAAGAGACTGTTATACCGCTGATCGGTCCTGAGCCTTTTGGTAACTTAGCATGTTGAAAGTGAGGAAACAATGGAATTCACTGAATGGACATAGCAATCCATCCTGACAAGATTAGGCAACAAAAGAATTAAAGGAATATTGATATAAATCAACCCGGTACATGTAGATTCTTCAAAGAAACAGAGGAGAAACCAACGTTGGCACCTAATAAACTGTGGTGGTAGAAACCTCAGGAAGAAATGCTGCGGGATGTAACAGTAGAAGAAATACAACTACTAAATAATTTTATAATAATATTTACAAATCCCAGGCCCTGAAGATGATCGAAGATAAAGATCGAAACATTGGCACGATAAAGAAAATGTTTTTCTAAACCTACATCACACCAGACCGCATCTCACAATTTCTCAATTATCATTGTGCTAGACTCTTCATACATCCCAGTTGAGAGAAAACATATATGTGGTGATCATAGGTTTAAGGCTTTGCCTTCTCGTCATATTTATTCTCTGAAATCAGATAATCATTTCTAACATAATTATACATTAGCTCCAGGGATTATGGTATAGCCAGCACTGTGTTAAAAAAAAGTTACCTGCAATAAACCTCTCCATTGTCCATGAGCAATTTTTTTCTGTTGGCGAACCTAATCCATCATCTTTTGGAGAAACCTCTTGAGAGTTTCATCCTTAAATTATATTACTTGTGAACTAGACTTTACTTAATAATAATTGTTAGTTTAAATGACAATTAAGGCTTTTAGTTGAGATGAAAAAAAGCTAATGGCACGAGTGGGATTCGAACCCACGATCTTCGGCTGGATACGCCACTGCTCTACCACTTGAGCTATCGTGACCTCGATCCACTTGGACATCAACTTCCTATCTCAACCTCACCTTATGAGTTTTCCCTCCTTTTCCCATTTTTCAATTTTTTCTGAATCCCGTTCATGCCATTAACTTTTTTTCATCTCAACTAAAAGCATTAATTAATTGTCATGTATTAATTGGTCAAGTGGACCACGAAAGTAGTGAATTAGTTTAAATGTAAAATTCTGGTACTGCTGCACATATAGTCAATGAATATGTGATTCCAGCTTGTCCTACTACTCTTAAGTATTTTCATTGGTTTGTATAAATTATTTATTTTTTCCTTTTTTTTATTTAAGGGCAAAACATTAGAAAGTTGATTAAAGATGGTCTCATCATTAAGAAGCCTGTTGCTGTGCATTCAAGAGCAAGAGTCCGCAAAAACACAGAAGCCAGGAGGAAAGGACGGCATTGTGGTTTTGGTAAGAGGAAAGGTACAGCCAATGCCAGAATGCCTCAGAAGGTTTGTATTTGTTTCATGCCCAATTATTTTATTAATATGAAAAAGTATTATTCCTTTATAATTATACAAATAAATTTTAGGTCCTTTGGGTAAATAGAATGAGAGTTCTAAGGCGTCTTCTCAAAAAATACAGGGAAGCTAAAAAGATTGATAGGCAAATGTACCATGATTTGTACATGAAAGCTAAAGGTAAATTATTACAACACTATATATTTCTTAACTTTTTTGATATCGATGACCTCTTTTTCTAGGTAACGTCTTCAAGAACAAAAGAGTTTTGATGGAATTTATCCATAAGAAGAAAGCTGAAAAGGCTAGGACGAAAATGCTTAAGTACGGAATGCTGTAATATGCTTTAATCAGGTGAACATATGTTTAATATTGGAATTGTTTAGGGATCAAGCTGAAGCAAGAAGATCGAAGGTGAAAGAGGCGAAAAAGAGGAGGGAAGATAGGATAGCTCAAAAGAAAGAAGAAATCTTAGCAGCTTATCAACGTGAGGATGAAGCGGCTGCAGCTGCGGCAGCGGCAACCAAATAGGGCCCTGCACCCTTACTGTATATCTTCTCCGTTTATATTTTATAAAAATTGTAAAAAAAGTGTTAGTTTTATTTTTTTAAATCACCTTTCCAATCTGTCAAAAAGCATACATAAAAACTGGTAAACATGGTAAAGTAAAAAACTGACCATGTTTAATAGTTTCAAGACTGCTTGTTATATATTTAAAAAAAAATAAAACTAAATACATGACTTTAATTGGTAGCATTATCAAAGAAGTCAATAAAATTAACTGATTGCACATTCTGAGCAAATGATTTGCTACAACAGGCAGTGCAAAATGATAGGTAATGACTGAATATAAAATAAAATGGTCATAAAAAAATGGTGTAATTATATAGAGCAATGATGGACTTATTACTGAATCTATCTTCTTAGGATGCATTTCTCCATTGTTTAACACGACTGCTTTTAGTTGTCTTAATTTATTTTAATGTCACGTGTGAAACGATCCATAGGTAGGTCCATTAGGTTCCAAAAAAAAAAAAAAGGTGGAAAAATTGATTAGTGAGTTTGAAACATCACAATATGTGAATTTAATACTTATACTAATAACTAAGTTCAAATTTATTTCGTACATAGTTCTCTTGTACTTTCTCTTTGGGAACTATACAGAAATTTCTTGCAATTACCAATCATGCTCAACTGACACGATAAACACTTAAACTGCCATGTGTGCCATAAGCTTGGAAAACCTGACAGGACAAATTAAGCCAAAACTTGCATGTATCATTGGCTTTCCTAAGGTGATTTAAGTCTAAAATTCAGCCTTATAAATTGACAATTTTTTTGACATGGAAGTAAAATATTTTTCAGCAGATAAGTATCTATTCTAGTACACAGCATTTTGGCAATTTATATCACACTTTTAATTAAGGTTTTTATTTGAGATAAAAAGTCAGTTGTCACGAGTGGGATTCGAACCCGCGACCTTCGGCAAAATACGGAGCTACTCTACCACTTGAGCTATCGTGACTTCGATCCATTCGAACGCCAATTTCCCATCTCAACCCCCCCACCTTTTGAATTTTACCTCTTTTTTGACATTTAAAAAAATAAATCAAAAGGTGAGGCTGAGATGGGAAGTTAGTGTTCGCGTGGATTGAAGTCACAATAGCTCAAGTGGTAGAGTAATGGCGCATCTAGCCTAGGTCGTGGGTTCGAATCCCGCTCGTGACACTGACTCTCAACTAAAAACCTTAATTAATTGAAAGATATCAATTGGTCGACGAAAATTAGTGAATTTAATAAGATAAAATGAAGTATATCTTCACTAAAGCTCTCTGTGGCCATTTCATTCATTTGTCGCTGAGAATCAAATAGATTTTTTTCTTTTTTACGAGGTTTCGTAACAGCAGAGGTCATATAAACTCTCAGGGTGCCGGTGTTTTTGAAAAAAAGCCCATTTGTAAGTATGTCGGGTTCGAATTCAGGGCCGCTGTATTCGAACCCGGGACTTTTACTTTACAGTGATGAGTGCCGTGTCAACGCCTAAACCTTGCGGCCACCGATGCCCCCAATCAAATAGATTACACGACATTTGAAAAATGGCAAAAAGGAGGGAAAATTCAAAAGGTGGGGATGAGATGGGAAATTAGTGTCTGAGTGGATCGAAGTCACGATAGCCCAAGTGGTAGAGAAGCGGCGTATCTTGCCGAAGATCGTGGGTTCGAATCCCACTCATGCCATTGACTTTTTTATCTCAACTAAAAACGTTAATTAATTGAAAGATATCAATTGGTAAAGCGGGCCACAAAAACTAGTGAATCTATATCACACTGTTGGTTACAGATAAATCTTCATAATAATAGTTTCAAAATGATAAATTAGAGAATTTTTTATTTATTTATTGGAGGAAGTGTAACATAAAGCAAGGATTGATCGGTATTAGTCCACAAATTCTGAATATCTAACACAAAAGTTAATTAAGTTAAAGAGAAATGGAAGACCACTCATGTGAAAGTGGTATCCCAGTGTGATCTGATAGGAATCGTGCATGCAAATGTTACATTCAAACCATTAATTAGTTAACTATATAAAATAAATCATTTTTGAAAACGAGATTTGAGATATATATGAAATAAATAAATCTTACTTTCAAAGTGTATATTGGTTAAATACATATAGTATCATATAAATATATATACAGTGTTCAACGTCTATAATATATAAATAAAACTTTTTTTAATTACATGACTTTATGACTTTTTGATAGGTAACCTTCTTCCATCTTGGCCATGGCTTGTCGGCAAATGCAACATGGCCATATCTTTTAAAATATAATACGGATAATAATCAATTATAAATTTAATACAATATAAGATGCTGATTATGGGTGTAAATACCCGAAACGCCTAAATAAATGTAAATAAGTAATGCATTTACTTTTTTATTAAAATAAAACACATGGAAATGTTTTCTAGTAATAAACCAACAAATATAAATAAATAGCATTTACATTATTAAGTTTTCAGCAAACTGGACGAATATCCTTTTACCCCCGAGTATATGATGGTGCAGCCTCTGTTTTAATATATTAGCATCATCGTGCGACGTTACAAAAACTTTTGCATACGGGCTGAAATAGTAATGCGATGAAATATGAAAAATGTCACTTAAACAGAAATATTTTTACACAATTTGTACCTGTAATTATGACCTCGTTCAACCATTACGACGTTAATAACATCAACAAAAGTGGATGTAAGGGCGTAAATCTTCTGCATATTACTCAATAAGGGAAGATTACCTAGAATCACTTCAACAGCATTTCTAATACCGAACTCTCCTGGGGGAAAAAGAGTTTTCATTAGATATTTCCTATTTTACAGATATTTCCTTCATAAAAAGGAGTGTTTTTTGGTATTAAGGTACCAAAAGTTATAAAAGTAACAATAAATTACACATTTAAAAAATCAGTTACAAATGTATATGTACATAGTTTAGTTACAAAAGCATGAGTTCCTTTGCTATAAAATTAGCTTGCTGGTAATAATAAATGAAAAGTAAAATATTTATGTGAAATACTTACTCAATATGAAATCCATCCACAGATCCATACAGTGAATGAGATGTGGCGGTCCATTATCACTATTTCTTTGAAATTCTTTAAAAAAATATATATTATGTAAAAATTATATATATTAGCAAAAAATACAAGTTAAAAATAATGTTACAAATTGTTTTAGAATTGAAATATGAAATGTCTATTTAGACAAGGCAAAATAATTCCAAAAGATGTATTTGTATGTGTGAATATGTATTATACATATTTTTACCGACGATTAATTGGAAAATATATATACCATTTTTATTTATTTTCCTAAGTAACAAAACTTTAATTTATTATTATATGTTTAGCAGTCATAATTGACCTATTTAATTATTTCAATCAATTTATATTTTTAATCTAAGGTCTTGGTTGAGATGAAAAAATAATTAAATAGGTCAATTATGACCTCTAAACATATAAGAATTAATATATTAATTAAAAAGAAGTAATTACTTTGCTAATAGCCCCCTGTGGCCACTTTGTAAGTCGCCGAGAATCAAATCGTGATTACACGACATTTGCAAGTATGGCAAAAAGAGGGAAAATTAGAAAGGTTGTAGGTTGAAATGAGGAGTTGGAGCCTGGGTGAATCGAAGACATGATAGCTCAAAGGGTTAGAGCAGAGGTGTATTGAGCCGAAGGTTCTGTGTTCAAATCCCCCTTATGGCACAAGCTGTTTCCTCTCAACCAAGACCTTAGATTAAAAATATAATTAATTGAAATAATTTAATTTATAATACTCAGTGTATCAAAAATACTTTGTTGGTATGATGTTTGGGTAAATAAATAACAGAATCTCTATGCAAAATAACTTAATTACTACAGCGTTTATTGTATTGCTATGCCTATTTTGATTAGGATGAAGGGGGTCGTAGTGCAATAAATAATAACTAAATTCAAATACTTATAGGCAATTCATGACACAAATTAAGGTTTTAAGTTGAGATAAAAAAAGTCAGTGTCACGAGTGGGATTCGAACCCACGACCTTCAGCTAGATGCGCCGCTACTCTCCCACTTGAGCTATCGTAACTTCGATCCTCTTGGACACTAACTTCCCATCTCAACAGCACCTTTTGAATTTTCCCTCCTTTTTTGCCATTTTTCAAATGTCGTGTAATCTATTTGATTCTCGGCGACAAATGGCCACGGAGAGCTTTAGTGAAGTGTACTTCATTTTAATCAATTAAATTCACTATTGTTCGTGGTCCGCTTGACCTATTAATAACATTCAATTAATCAAAGTTTTAGTAGAGTAGCGGCGTATCAAGCTGAAGGTCATGGGTTCGAATCCCGCTCGTGACACTGACTTTTTTATCTCAACTTAAAACCTTAATTAATTGAATATTATTAATTGGTCAAGCGGACCACGAAAAATAGTGAATTTAAGACAAAAAGTTGCATTTCAGTCACCCTAGTACATATCTTAAAAAAAAGATAAAAAAATTGGCGCAAGAATGAATGAAAATGAAAGTTAAAGGTTTGCAAGTTGATGAATATATGAAAGGTCTATGGGAAAACTGACTGTCATTTTTTTATTGATACCAAGATTAAAGTGTCATCCAGTTGCTCTACAGAAAACAAACTGCTAAGAGGGAAGAAAACAGTTTGTCCAGGTAAAAATGAATGGTCAACATTTGCAGTATGGAATAAAAGAAGCTTATCCAAGTGTTAGTGTACTTCAGGAGGACATACAACAGATTCGTGCGGGAGTCAAAATAAGAATAAGAACTTAATATGAATGTATGTATACCTCCTAGAACACTAGAATGTTTTGAGCCTGTGAAAGTTTTATTCACACATTCCTACCTGGAGTGCGATAAAAATATTTGACTAATCAAACTCGAAACAAAAATGAGGTCTTCATTAACTGGTACGACCTGCTAAGAGTGTCAAGAGTAAAACCTCGACTATTTGAAGAAGGCAACAAAAAACAAGATCAGAGACTGGAAAATGAATCCTAGCTTGCCATTTCCATTAACATCCCTTCAAGTTTCAGCCTATAAACAAATTACAGTGTGATGACCATGCAGGATTGATTTTTTCACCTATCAAGTTACAACAGATCTTGAGTGTCCTACAACAGGAAACTTAATATCTGCAAGCAACACAATCTGTAAGTCCTTTAAAACTTTTACTCTCCTAGAACGCAACAATGGCTCAAATTTGATCTTCATAGTGGATTTCCTAACATCTGTGCGATAATTGAAGATGTGTTAACAGAAGTTGTTCCTTACAAGCCACTAATTGGCGATGGTTTTATTTTTACGCTTAACAATGCAAGGCCCCACACAACTAGGATGATTGGAACAGGCTTCAATTCAATGTTTCAGGTGGCCAGCATGTATCGAACACCTTTGGGATGAGTTGTCAAAGAGGGTAAAAAGTCGCCAAGTGATGCCGGAGTATTTGCAGTTATTAAGAATAACACTGATGGAGGAGTATTTTAAAACTATTTCGAAGCACTATATTCAAACCTCATAAAATTGAGGCCAAATCGAATGAACACAGTGATCAATGCAAGAGGAGGAAATTCTGTGTTTTGAATTGAATATTTTTTTCAGTTTCCATAGAAATATTTTTGATACAATTTTTTTATTCAGTTTAATTTTTTTTTGTTTAGCTATCGTATATTTTTCTTTAAAAGTATTCAGTAAACAACAAAAAATAAAAATTGTAATTGTAAACGATTGTAAGTATTTACTTTTAAAAAAATTATATATAACTGTTAACATATTAAATTTGAGTAAGTACCTTTGCTTGTTCGACTGTTAGAAAATCGCTGACTTTTATTAAGCCTATCACCTGTATCAGTTGTAGTACTCTTCCTATTTTCCTGTAATATTAGCGAAATAAAGTCGAGACTATGAAATTCATAATGAAATTACAAACCGTTCTCCTGTATACGTCTATGCAATCAGGGGCAAAGGTCAAATGTCTCTCTTTCTCAATTTTTGTACGTTCAGTATTGAAAGTGATCCTGTCGAAGTCCTCTTTCCTAATTTCACTCTTTGATCTTAGTTTTCTGCTCGGGTCTCGTCTCATCGGCCTGAATATCACGATCTTTGAATTTATTGTAAAATTAAACATGAAATGCTGAAACTTACCTCGTTTCTCTAACATCACTTTTCTCTTTGGTTTCCCTGGGCTTGGCCGGTCGTGCTTGAAATTTGGGATCAGAGGCCAAAGCGTCGATGCATCCTCTGGCCTCTTCATATTCTTTGAAGTACACAAAACAATTAGGACCACCTCTTTGTATTTCATGAACTTTGCCATAAGTTTGGAGCATTTTTTTAATCTAGATTTTTTAAGAAAAATATATAAAATTTGTTATAAAATTAAGTAGATTTCTTGGGTAGTTTTTTTTTTTTAGACATTAATAGCTAAATCAAATATGACAAACATATTCAATACCAAACTTGATGCACCAAGGAATATTGGTTTAAATTAATTTCTAAAATGTTGGCACTGCAAATGATTTCCAAATAAGTAAAATAAAATAATTCTTGTCATACAGGCTGTCACAGGCAAGAGGTCAAACCACTTTACAATACATTTATTATACTATCAATTAAAAAGCCATGGGCTCTGCCAGGATTCAAACCCAGAACCACTACTGTGGCATATACGAGTCGGTCACCCTAACCACTCAGCCCCTGCGATCCCCCAATTTTCCAAATAAACTACATTATATATTCATGAAGAGTGGGTATACTGCTTCTCGCATTAATACAATTTTATCCAGGGTGAAAAAGAATTGTTGGGTCTGTGCAACTGAAGGGGCAAAGTTTTGGCTGTGAGTGATGACGAGCTAAAAAATTGTGGTTTGCAGGATCTCGTCATTGCTTGCTGAGACGGACTGAAAAGCTTTCCTGACGCCATAGAAGCCATTTACCCTCAGACAAGAGTACAGCTTTGTACTGTTCATCAAGTGCATCATTCCTTGCGTTATGTTGACTGGAAAGACCGCAAGGCTGTTGCAGCTGACCTGCGTAGCATTTACAATGCAGCCACTATCGATGCTGCAGGATTATGGGTTTTAACTACTCGCTATACAAAGAATACTGTATTACAAACATATAATGATTCAAGTATAAATAAGCTTAAATTGTAAAACAATTTTACAGCAGTGTGCAATGGTTTTGAAGATGTAGAAACGTCTTTTTTAGCTGCATCAGTTTTTTTTTTCTGTAGATGTATAAAACCTACAAAATGATCATTATATAAATGCAATATAGGAACTTAATATCTTACAAATCCACAACAATCGATTAATTATTAAGGTTATTCATTTCATTTACGAGTATGAAAAATAAACAAACTCTAAATAAACATAATATCTAAAGGCAAATTATGTTGGGAAAAATGAAGGCTCACCTCTGCATCTTCCAATTCTGTTCCTCCATGAAGCATAACTCCGTAACAGCCATTTGAAGCAAGGTGAAGGACGTTAGCCATTTTTCTAAGAACGAATTGAGATAAAACTTGCCTAATATGAAGTTAAAACGTTTAAAATTTGCTTATAAATGAGCAACAACGAATCTCCAATCTATCTTTTAATTGGCGGGGTCAAAATTAAGAGAAAGTGTTAAAAAAGTCACTCTACCATACGACAACAAAGTGGTGCGAAAATGAAAGAGAATCAGAAAATAGAGTATCAAAATAACAACCATGAACTGACTTGAAATTTGGAAGGCGGTCGCCGTAGCTGCCGACAAACAACGATTTATTATATTATCATCATAACTTTAATTAATTTTTAATTAATTTGACTTCAAAATTATAATTTTCCTTAAAAATTCTAACATTTATTTAAAGAAGCGATTATTTATTTACATATACTGATGCCACAAACCCTCTCCCATCTTATAAAAGACAATCGATTTTCGAATTTTTATGAAAAGAACGATGACAAAAATCTTACAATTTGTATTGTTATAATTTGTCTTAGATCATATTCTGTTTTAATAATAAGGTAAGTCGTTTTAAATGATTATAAATGAAAATAATAAAATAAAAAATTTAGGTGCATTTTCAAAATGGACTTCAAATTATTCAAAATGTCGATTTTTTTTTTTTACTTTATTTAAACCCAAATTCAATTTCGTTGATAAGTAAATAAAAACAAGAGATAAACAAAATTAGCCGTTCACAGTTTACACACAAGCTCCTCATCTTGGGTCAAAGATAATCAAAAAAGGCAAACTTGGCTCCATATAGAGAGCAAGTAGGCCAGCCAACGTATCTATTTTAATCAACAGCAGCAAGTTTCTAAACCCACTGTTCTAATTTTTGGAAGAAATCCTGTTTTATATAACTATTTTAGTTAAAGAAGGTTTTTATGATAGATGTATTCTACAAGACAATTTATTTATTGGAATGAATCTATGTTAGAAATGATGAAGGTGAAGCCTGAAGATTCACTTTTTCTACAACTTTAAAAGACTTTTTGCAAAATCACTTACAAAAAATCTATAATATTAGATGATGGTGAAATATTGAGTACCCAACAGGAATGAATTCCTCATTTGTTAGATAGATGTTCTAAACTGAAGCATCAGCAAAACAATGGTAGTTGTCTAAGTCCCTGGACATAGGTTTGGAGGGTGATGAAGAGTGCGAAGAGGCAGCTAAGGCCAGAACTTTAAAGTTTCAGATCTAACCATCTGAATCTATAAATGCGGTTAAAAAAATGATTAAAATGAAATTGAATTGTCGATGGGCTTGAACTAAAGAGAAGCTCTTATATGTCAAGAGGTCAGTTGATAGGTGGTCTATGGAGGGTCTGAATAGAAGGGGGTTCACCTAACTCATGCAAAATTGATACATGGGCACTTACTTTTGGGCTAAAGCATGTGCTAGCATGTTGAGAAAGGATGTGCCCCACCTAGTTGAGGGTGCAATTCCTTGGTGCTATAAAAAGAGCAAGTAGAAATTCAACCTAATATGCGAATTGTGCTAGTACATGGGAGAAAATATTTGAGTTCTGATTTCTGGAGGAAGCAGGGCTGCTTTGCAAGTACTAAAAGATATGTTGTTTCGTGTTCCCTTTTGTGTAAATTGGGACTGAATGTATTTATAAATGTGAGAAAGTTAATGGTTAATGGTTAAGTTAATGGACCTGACTAGAGAAGACTGAGAAAAAGGTGGGACTGATAAGACAGAAGTCATAAGTCCATAATTCTTCAATAATGAGAAAATAATGTATGAAAGGAGTAAGGGTGTGATTGCTAATAAAATGCATTGTGTCCAGTAATAATGTAGACATCAATAACTTCAGAACAAAACTTTGTCAGGGCAGACAAGAATGAGATCTAATGCTAATCTGCTAATACTACTAAGATATATTCGCAGAGAGCTGAGGAAAAAATTAAAATATGGCTAATTGACCTGTACATTTTGCAGGCCAATGAAAAAGAAGAAAAGTGTAATTTTTACAGTGATTTTGTGAAAATTTTAGAAACCCTTCTTTCGTATTTATGTCAATTAATAAAGGTACAGTACAGTCAATTTACATGACTAAATACATATTTACATAGCTAATAATTACCATTTTTTTTTAGTAGAGGTGGACAAAATAATTGTACCATATTGGGGTGAAATTAATTGTCTATTTATCAATAATATTGTAATTTTGCCCTCTTGTATTGTCTGTTTATTTGTCAATTGTACCTTAAAAGTAGTAAATATTTAATCATTAAATTGTGGTACAGAGTTCCTTTCACAATGCTGTTAAATTATTGACATTTTTCAAATTATTTTAACATAAAAAAACATCAGATGTAGGAATATATATAAGCAATTAGGAAGCACGAGCAGCATCAACTTATATTTTATTTCAATAACAACAATACATATATAAAAAGTTTAATTTCTAATGACTAGTTTATTGATTAACACTTTTATATAGTTTTGAAATATTGTGCTAAATATAATGAAGTAGGAGTTAGGTTATTTATATAAAAATTATATTATTTGAGTAAATATAATTTTTTATATTTTTCTTTGTTTGGTCCTATCACAAAATATAATATTTAATAAATTATAATAACAATAACAGACATACTAAGCGAATAGAAGATTATATAAAACACTGAATCAATGGTTCGTTGCTTTTCTTATTAAAACTCTCAAAATATTCAACTGTCTTATTTCTAATTTTAAATACTAAATGATAAGTACAGGTCACTATATTAAATTTCAATGATCAATCGTCTCTTAAAAGGATTATTAATAATAAAAAAATTAAATCTTTAAAAAAAACATGGCCATTAAAAAAATTACTTTGTAGATGCAAATGAATTGAAATTATTTATTTTCATTGCATTATTCACCACACTGAACATTTCTTCTTTGGATTCATTGGAGATCCAAGAGGGCAATTGAATTCCTTTGCAAAATCTTCATTGTTTGATAATGTACCGATTACCCTACAAAATAGTTTAGTAATATTAATTGCCTTCAACTTATGTCAGTAATTTACAAAATATGTTATAATTATTATCATCCATAACATGCAGGACATATGGAAGATGTTATTGACACATGCACATTTAAATATTGATGTCTCCAGTGATGTTACTGATCCACCAAACCTAGAACTGATTTGTGAGAAATCAGCAATTGATGGAAACACAAATACTGAGGAGACCTGTTTCAAATTTAAAATGCACGTACATAAAGGAGGGAGGGGAAACCAATAGCACTAAAAATAATTTGAAACAACAGTTAAATTACCTGAATTTTCCTGGAGAATGAACTGCTGTTTTCAGTTTGTTCCTAGACGCTGCAGGTCTTGTCGCACCACACCAAATTTGGGCAAAGTTCATAAAAAACAATTGCCCTGCTGTATAATTCATGCCAGGAAGTTTTTCATTGGAGTCTCCATGTTTTTCCAACCATTTTTGATATGCCTGTCACAAAAACTGCTTAGTTGTTTTATTAATACATTTAACATATTGTTTTACCTACCCAAAAAGCTTGTTTAATCCCGCCATTATCAGCAATATTTTCGCCCTGAGTGTTGATCCCGTCAACTTGTAAGCCTGCCTCTTCCACCATAAATTTTCCATATTGTTCTATAATATTTAATAAATTTAGTTGCCAGTTTTTAAATAATGTAGGACTTTTAAATTGAAATTACCAATTATGCATTGAGCCCTTTCATGGAAATTTGTGACTGCTATTTCACGCCACCATGTTTTTAAGTTCCCAGTTTTGTCAAAAAGTCTACCTTTATCATCAAAACCATGTGTCATCTCATGACCTATCACTACTCCAATTCCACCATAGTTCAAACATTTTGGAAAATATTTATGATAAAATGGAGGCTGGAGAATCCCAGCTGGGAACACTGCAATATTAATTCAACACTCAATAAAATTTTTATATAATTAAACTATTACAAACTAGCAAAACTTACTCATTTGATTTTTATTTCTTGAGTAATAAGCATTTACTTGTGCAGGTGCTGTATCCCAAACCGACTTGTTTACAGGGGAGCCAAGCTGAGCTTGTTCCATTCGGACAAAATGTCGTAAAATACTTAGGGTGTTTTCAAAGTAAAACCCTGGATCAACATCTACCTATAAAAAAGTTTTATAATTAATTTTTACATTACAAAACGTGTTTTTAATTGATCATGGACGCATTTTGATAATGGAAAAAATTATAATTTTTAATCCATTGTATTTCAGCATGTTGTCAGCACATACTATTTAAGTATATAAGTTTGTAATAACATGTTCTAGGGGGGCATCGGTGGCCGCAATGGTTTAGGCATTGTCATGGCGCTCATCACTGTAAGGTAAAGGTCCTGGGTTCGAATCCAGCGGCCCTGCATTCGAACCTGACATACTTACAAATGGGCTTTTTTTTCAAAAACACCGGCACCCCGAGGGTATATGATCTCTGCTCTTGCAAACCCTCGTAAAAGAAAAAAAATGTTCTATGTGGCTGAACTTTAGGTGAGCGAAATTATTCCATCCAGCAGGGCATTTGCATGGTCATAATGCAATATGAAGAAAATTAAAAAAAATACAGAAAATTGAAAGATTGCATTGAATTATGCAAGCTTATGCGCTAAAAGAGTTACAGTGCTTTGAAGTTTACAGTGTACACATGAACTTGTGTTTGATCATGGTCTGCGCATTCTTCTTGGTTTTGCCTGTTAAAAACATTTCAACTATTCATTTATCTTCAATATTGTGTGTATGTGTGTGCCTTTTTGTAAAATCGTGAAGATCAACCACTGGAGATGAACCAATACTGAAATGCTCAGTTAAACCAAAAGAGAATAGCCTGACCAGGATAATCGTGAAATACCAGTTATTTAATATTTAATGGTTAAACAATTATCAATATGAATCATATTTCAACTATTTACATTCCCGTAATGAGTTTAAAAATTAATTACATTTCTGGTAATGAAATTGCTGGGTAAATAGTCTATGTATGCATTATTCTATGCAAAAGTTAATTAGATTTCAATGTGAGGTCACGATAGCTCAAGTGGTAGAGCAGCAGCGTATCTAGCCGAGGATCGTGGGTTTGAATCCCGCTCGTGCCATTGACTTTTTTTATCTCAACTAAAAACCTTAATTAATTGTAATATATTAATTGGTCAAGCAGACCATGAAATTAGTGAATTTAATGTGAGCAAGTTTTTGTTAAAATCTGATATAAAAACCCACATCTTTGAAGCGTTCATCAAGCTCTTCTTTCACTAATACAGAATCAGGATATCCAATGCGGAGAGTTATCGCATCTATTTTTTCTTCAGCTAAATGTTTCGTCTCCTCATCAATCCAATTAATTTTAGAAAGTATCTCTCTAAATGCTTGTTGTATATCCCTTGTCATTATCATGGTCTGTGAAAAACAATCGTAAGTTATTGTTAAACAGTCAGGCGGAATTAATAAATCAACATTGTAAAACTAACATCATTTTTACTGGATTCGTCGAAATATTTTTGGACAAACATTGCACCCACGGCCATTCCCATGTTGCTGTTTACTTGGTTGACGCAATTCTTCCACCTAGGAGGAGACTCCTCTCTCCCGAAGAGTATATAATAAAATTTTTGTTTTGCTTCTTGAAACCTATCATCTAAGTTATTCACCCGGTGTCTTACAAACCTCCATAACAAATAGTTTGCTATTGTTCTGTAGGTGAAATTTACATAATTATATCCTTTTTTTTAATTAATTAATTTTTTTTCACTTACCTAGTGTCCGTTTTGCCCATTAAAGCTACTAGGTTTTCAATATACCGGACGGCAAATACTACAACATGCTCAGTCGAATTGCATGGTCTGTTGAATACAATTGAAAGATATCTTTGCCAATCAACTTGAGGTATAAAGTTTCTAAGTTCACCGACAGTCATTCTTTGATAAAGTTCACTCAAGTTTCTTCGTTCATCGGGAGCAATAGTAATCTATAATGTTGACAAGTTAAAAATATAGTAAATCAATACTATTATTTACTTTATTTTACTTTTGCTAAATCGATTTCAAATTGAATAACTTCTTCTGCAGCTTGTGTTACTTTGTTATAATCAGCTCCCAAAAGTGTTGCTATTTTCACAAAGTAGTTCTTATAAGCTTCCAAGTAAACTGCGTTTGCTGGCTGTAGGTAATAATCTCTAGTTGGTAAACCTAATGTAGTTTGATCTATCTGAAATCAAAAGGGGGTCTCATTGAAAAATAATTAAGAAAAACTACTTATAAATAACTAACATGTATTATATATTCGTTTGAGTTTTTTATATCTGGTCCAACCCACTGGGCAATGAGTAAATCATTATTGTATCGTCTAAGTTGTCCTGTTAACCAAATCCAATCAAAATTACTACTTTTCCAATCTTTGTTAAGCAGTGGCCAACCGCCCAGTGAATCAATAAGATCAAGAAGTGGTTGTGCCCCTCTTTCTTCTAAAATTTCTGTAAACAAAAACAAAATTAGCAAATGACATTAAACACATTCTGTGCATCATTACCATAATTAATGCAGGATTTATAAAGGTTTTTAGCTTTGGTATATGCTGCGGGTTCATTAGGTGAAATCGGCTGTTCAAGAAGATTTTTTAGATAGTTGTCTAGTGACTCCCTGAGGATTTCAAAAGTGTCGTAAGTTCCTTTGTCCTTTGGAATAGGATTGAGCTTGGGCCATCTGCCACATGCGAACTGATAGAAATCTTCACAAGGGTCGACTGTTGTATCCATGTACATTTGCATCAATTTTGCTGAAAGGTATATTATCAAAAATTAACCAAATTAATGATAAATTATTATTGTCTATGCAGTATACCACCATGCTTGCTAGCTTTTTTCCCTCATTCAATATATAACTCATCTCGTTAAACAAAATTTAAAAATGTGTCGTGATTAGTGACCGTTAATTGATAATTATTCAAGAATCATGAGATGCGGTCTGGTGTGATGCAGGTACAATAAAAAGCAAAATCTCACTGGCACTCTCAACACGACGCGCAAGAATGGCACAATTACACAGAAGACAAACACTTTCAGTGAGTACAAATACTTTGATTGAATAAAAAAAAATATACTTTGCATTGTATAAATTCACTTTTCCACATCCTAAATGTATTTGTTAAATGTAAACAATGTTTGTAAATCCCAGGCCCTGAAGATGATCTCAATAAAGATCGAAACGTTGGCACGATAAAGAAAATGTTTTTCTGAAACCTACATCACACCAGACCGCATCTCATGATTTCTGAATTTAAAAAAAAATTATGATTCCTATAAAACTGGCAAAAAGGAGAAAAATTTGAAAGGCAGGTTGAGATGGGAAGTTGATGTCCAAATGGATCAAAGTCAAGCTCAAGTGGTAGAACAGCGGCGTATTTATCAAAGGTCAACCAATACCTTACGCAAAGATTAATTAATTGAAAGAAGTTATTTGGTTAATCAGACCATGAAATGTAATGGATATAATAATAATGTTCAACTTTGACAGTTTTATTTCATATATCTTCCTTGTAACTTGCTTTACAATTATTACTCTTACCTTGGTTATGTCGAACTATTTCTTTATCTTCTTCCTCTTTTGACACAATTTCTGAATATTTAAGTTTAGTTAGGTAGTTAAGCAATATTTTGGATTGGTTTGATGCTTCAATTGATTCTCTTTCTTTTCCCAATGAATGTCTACTTAATAAAGTTTTATTAAAAAGGCAAGATAAGTTTATTTATTATATAAGTTTCAAGAGATTATACTTACTTTAATTCTCTATTTGTTGTTTCTTGATTCAAAATTCTTTCCTGAAAAAAAAAGAAGTTTTATTTAAAGAATATGTGCTGATATTCACTGCTCACATACATTTTGGAAAACGTTTGTCGTCTCGGATGGTACAAAATCATTCGGTACATTCCTTTTTTCTCTGATAACTTGGTAATATGGTGATGAAGGTGGAAAGCAGTCGGTCTCAAAATTAGTGAATAGCTTCCATCGTGGGTCATCGTACGGTTCTAAGTCTTCTAAAATATCATATTGCTTTTTGTACATTTGTCAACATTTTATTTTATGGCAAAAATTACCAGGTTTCTTTACTCGATATTCACTTAATTCATCGTCAGCGCAATTTGCTCCTGTTCGACATAAATCCCCAAGCAGGAGAACTATCCCCAGAGTAGCCAACGATAATGCCTTCATCTGTTTGAAGTTACTTTTAGGATAGCTGCAAAATATCAAACACCCTAAAACATATAATATATATTTTGGGAGAAAAAATTGTTTATTTGTTAAAAGATGCCCAACAACATTTCAAATTCATAGATAATTGGTAAATTGGCAATTTAATTACTGGAGGAAAAACTAATCAAAACATTAATGAATGGACACCTCACTACAAGTGCCACACTGTATTAAATTTATTGCATAACTAAATGTCCTTTTTTATATCATAAGTTTTTCCATGTTTTAATAATAAAAAATTATTTTTTGTAATATAATTATCCATTTTTTTAAAATTATTTTATTTAACTCTTGTGTACATACACATTACGTTTTGCTAATACATACTAATATATAATTATCCATAACTATAAAATATTTTTTTCCTTTTAAATAAGAAATAAAGATAAGAAATTTATTTCCGTTTAATTGAATAATTTGCATTAATAAAATATAAGTTAACCTAATTTCAAAATGGTCATTGTATTTCTTACAATAAATAGATACTTGAACAATGAAATCTTGGTTGTTCCCAATCATTTTTGTTTTGCCTACCTTCACTAATTTGGTTTGTCGAACTCGGTTTGGCTTTTTGCCATAGTGTATTTTTGTGCTATTTTTAATATAACTTTAACTTTGTAAAAAAGAGACAACTCTCCCATATACAGTTTGCATTTGATATAGGTTAAATGTTCAACATGGAAATATCCGTTTTTTTGCCTAACCCTACTTATTACACAGAGCGATGATGGCGAAAAGTTGATGATCTAAAAGAACCAAACTACAGGGGATGAAATCTCACAATTCACTTGGATGGACAATTCTTGGTCGTAGACTTGGACAAAATGTTTGATTTGGAAATATACTATTGCAAAAGAATTTTATCAAAATTGTAATTAAATTGTATTTAATTTTATAAAAGCCATAAAAATAAAATGTAAAAAATGCAATTTCTTTATATAACTTCACTAACTTTTTGGTCCGTATGCTTTTAAGATAACAAAAGCATGGGTAAATAAAGTAATTTAAACTACTAGTTGGAAACCTTCATGAAATATTTTACATTTTTTGTGTATAATAAATGCAATGATTAATTATTTGTACATATTAAAAAAAATTGACAACTCATGAAATATTTCTTCTGCCTCACTTATCCACAACATGATACATAAAATAACAAATTAACTATTTGCCAACATTAAGTGAACACACAAACATAAATATAAAAATAAAAGGATGCAATTGAGAAAATACTAATTAAAAAGATTGAATACTGATTACTGATTTATATAAGCCAAAATCTTACAAACCCATGTGTATAGAGTCTGTCACTTTTCACAGTCCACCAGATTTTGTTAGTTACAATAAATTTCTGGCAGCCCATAAAAATCATCTGCTCCAAGTGTTGGCAGTCAAGGGCCAGACCCATCTTACCTGTCCAGCTACTGAAGTTGGACTCTTGGGACTCTCAGATCATTTCAGCTCACAACGAAATCACTTTCTAAATCCCACCCAATTCACATACTCACTCTTAGATATATTCTTTATTATTTATATACCATTCACTCAGTTAGGGTGGTGGAGTACTCGATAGTCCTCCATCTACTTTACACCTATTGCATAAGTAACCTAATTAAGAGCCTATGGGCAGTCATTCAGTCGTTAGCCCTCTTACACTAAGCATTCATGCAAATAAATACATTCACTCTCAACCCATGCTAGGGACCCAAAACTATCAATATTATGTACAATAAAACAGCCCTGTTTTCTTAACAAATCAAAACAGATGACCGTTGCTCTCAAAACACAATTCTCATGTTAGGTGGAATTCCTACATGCTTTCTATATGGAGCCAAGGAATTGCACCCTTCAATTAATTGAGCAACCTTTCTTTGCACGCCTGTCACAAACAAGGGCTTTGACCCAAAACATGTTCAACCTTTCATGGCCATTTCTTAATCTGATGAGGATGACCCTTCTACTACAATCAAGAAAATAATACACAGCCCAACCACTTATTATTATTATTATTATAAGGCCAGATTATTTTTGATGTTTCTTTAAAATATATTTAAAAATAAAATCTAGTAATTTATTTTTAAAAAAATTTAATTTATTTTAATATTTTCTCAAACATAAAAACAAGCTTTGTTTGTTACTTTTTACTGTTAGTAATATATCAGTTTCACATCAAATACACTAAAGAATAAGAAATATTGTAAAATATTAACTTTATCCAGCAAAGTTTGGTAACATTATACAGAGTGAATATTTTTATTTCAGTTAATTTAATAAAGTAAGTTTATTGAAGTTTTCAATGATATGACTAAATGCAAATTGAGATGATTTGTTCTTTCTATATACATAAAAATTAAGACTTTCAACTGAAAAAAAAAGCACCATTGTATAGAAGATAATTCCTTATAATAGATATCTTACCACATTGTACACACTGCTGGGCTCTCGGCAACAGTAGATTCTTCAATTGTTTCAGTTCGGAACACCTCTTAAATTAACACTATTTTAGCATTTTGTATTGATGCAAGTAGGAAATAAAAGAGAATAATTCAAACTAAAGAGGGGTGATTATCCGAAAAGGGAAGAGGAGGGAGATATTTGCGATCTTACTTCACGGGAGCTAGATGTAAACCTCAGTGACCCATTAATTTAAATGTGAATAAATTTAACCTTGACAGCTAGAGTGAAGCTAAGACTAATGTCCTTTCAGTTTCCATTTCAGAGTACTTAAACGAATCTGAAAAATTATCTTTACCCCCGACTTTTGTATTAATTTCCTTAATCCTCGATCTCATGACATGGTTTAATTATTTTATATTATCAATTAAACAATTTAAACACATTTACAAAATAGAACAAGCAGTTATCTTTTTTTATTCCGTAAATTATCAAAAACTGACTCAACTTACTTTAAAATATCTCTTTAATAATTAATTTAACAACACTTAAGAGATGCTAGTTAAGAAACTTAATATATTCAACACTTTGTTTTAAAGCTGCCCCTTCATAGAATTTCATTACAAAGTAGATAAAACTATTATCTTTTAATTTAAATAAATTAAAAGTAAATATCATAACTAAAATGCATGCGTATAAAAAAGTGATAATATTAAAATACTGTATTTTTCCAAATAAACAAAATTGCATTTAATGTGTTACTTATGTGCTAAAAGTTCAGTTGATAATTAATATATGTTATAATTATAAACTATCAGAGACATAACAAATAGCGCATAATAAATAAAGTGTATTACTTTATTTTTTGCACTCTCTCCTCCTCCAGAAGAATACAGTGTTCCATTCTCTCTTGAACCCACCTATTGTATTATGTTACAGCTATAATCGAGTGCATATCGACAATAGTTGTAATTAATTATAAATAAAAACTATATTATCTTATCGTGATAATATTGTTGTTGTTATTCTATTCTATGGGTTGTTATTACATTTTATTTTTTATCTTGAACCACTCTATTCCACAGATGGAGAGAACCAACAACCTTAGACAATAGAGTGGTTCAAGATAAAAAAAAAAGAATTATAAATAAACTTTTAAAAATGCCAATATTGGTTATTTATTTATAATTTATATACACATATATAAAACACTCACCATTGTCCCACTAAAAAAGGCATCAAATCTACTGCATAAAAAATATGTAATTTCAAAAATAATACCATAGAAACAACAATTGTGTAATGTCAAATGAAAACAAGCGGTTTATAATTTGTACTTCTCTTTCTATTTTTGTACTATTTTGTTTTCCTGTGAGTTATTATTATGTTTAAACTTGTTACAACAACCATATCAAAATCACCTTTAAGGGTTGTGTATCATTTAAAAATAAAACTGTTTGAATTTTTTTAATTATAAACAATTTTCTGAAATTCCTTTTTTATTATTCTTTCTCATAGTTATTATTTCTTTAAAGTATCTGTTAATTAATTGTTCAATTAATTGTTCCATAACCATAATTTGTAATTTTGTTAAATGTGTTATGTCAAATTTTTAGTTAATGAAACAAATTCAATTTTTAATTATTTTTAATCAGAGGTTTTAATAGCTAATCGGGGAAAAGATTGTTCAGTAATTTGTACTTACTTGTATAATTTCATAATTTTTTGTAGAAGTTTTCTTGAACCAATTTTACCATTAACAAAGTTATTTTCTCTTATCTTACTACTTTTAACTGCTTAAGTTTCAATAAATTTTATCTTGGAAATTGTAGGATAAAACACTGGATATCAATACTAGAAACTAATCCTTTATTACTTTACCTCATATATTTGCTACAAATATTAAATATCAGTTGACTCATGGTTTTTTGCACACAGATTTAATGTTCTGTTTCAATTTTTATAAATGCATGTATGCCTTTCCTATGTGTGAGAACAGGCACAATTATATACTAATATATTTAATAAATAATTTTACTCAACAAAACAAATCTCTGTTGCTTTTCCGAACTTTGCCCCCTTCTTTTGACAAGATGAATCAGTACTGTCCAGATTAAAAGTTTCACAAACAGAGCAAAGTGCATATAAATAGAACAATGTAAGGCATTTATGTGCACCCATTTAAAATACTGTTTTATTTGTTTGATTAATTTTTTTTGCCAAATAGGCTGTTTGATAATTAAAATAAATTCTTCACCTAGTTGAGTAATATGGATTCATTGGAGATCCAAGAAGCCATTTGTATCCTTTTGCAAAATTTTCAATGTTCGTGTTATTTTGGATGTTGTACATATTATTATTATTAGTGAAAACATTTAAGTTTGCAGTTATTCTATACAAATATTGATTGCATTTTATAAATATGAACTTTAATTAAATAATAATTTTGTACAACTGCCAAAACCCTAACTCAAATATGCATGGAGATTTCAAAATTAATGAACTATTTTTGTATTTTAGTGAAATTGTGACCCATTAGCAACATTCTTTTATTTAAAATATATAATTTTTAGATATAATTGTTGACCTACATTACTCATGGTGATTATCAATTTCCTAAATTTCAAAGATTTTTGTAAATTACATTTCTGGCATAGAAACCTGGATTTTATAGAAGATAAAATTAACTGTTTTAAAACAAAGTGAATTATTATGGATTTTAATAGAGACAAAATCTATCACACTGGCATCAAAGTGGTACAAATTTCAAAAGAAAAATTCATTTCAAGACATGTAGCGTAACTACTGTATTAATAATAATAAATTTAACAAAAAAGTAATTTTAAAAAAGAAACAGGATTACAAAATATTTTTGAATTAGCATATAGCCGTCTGCCAGATTTTGAGCAAACAGGACGAAGAGAGAAAATACAAGGCAAGAGATATACTTTTCAAATAAACACAAAAGCACATTAAAAAAATTAAACTCTTTAAACCAATTCAAGTCTGTATTTGAAGCAATTAATTAATGATTGGTGCATACATGGTACTTTCATCTAGAAACATGAATCCCTAATATTTCAGTTGAAATTTTGGCATTTAAATGACACTGAAAAGATAACAGGTGTCAACATTATTCCTAAATATATTTGTTTACTACATTTATTTGGGCACTTTTATAAACCACTTTTTTGCTATCCTGGACTAGTCATCCACCCTTCCTAAAATTCATTATTTTAGATTTATCCATATTTAAGAATAAATGCCATTGCACACAGAACTTTTCCAAGATATATATGTTCCATTACAAGTCATTTTATATATTTATTTTAAAGGCACAAATAGGGCTTTAAGCCCCTCTAACATACATGTTTTAGCATTACCAATGTGGACACCACTCTTGAGAGAAGACATCAGGTCGTCAAAAAGAAGGAAACCAATGCAGGGCTCAAGAGACACCTTTGCCTCATTCCATTTCCTACTGGGAAAAAGTCATACATAATTATCCCAAATCAAGGAACTATGGATTATTGACAATTGTTGTCTTTCTCTGGTTCATAGATTTTATGGTTAATTTATAAAAACAAAGAAATTTAACCATATTGGTCTGTCTGATCTCACTGGTGTTGGTTCATCAACTATACACACCAGACCACATCTCACGATTTCCAAATAATTGGAACAAAATTGCCTAACAGTCTCTAAACACCACTCAATTAAGAGTATTTAAAAATTAATTAAATGTTTTGTTTAGTACTGATGTAAAATTATTTAAGGTAAAACTTTCTGTAACAAATAACCTTTATTCTTTAACATGTTTGCAATAAAATATAAACATTTAAATAGGTAAGTGAAAGAAAACAATAAAAATGATTTTTCAATAATGATGATCGTGAGAACATTTTTTATTAGTTTCGTTGTACATAGTCAATTACAAGGAAAACCGATTACTTCTCTCACCAGAAGAAGCATTTCTTCTTTGGATTCATTGGTGATCCAGGAGGGCAATTGAACTCTTTTGAAAATTCTTCATTGTTTCTTAATGTTCCAATTACCCTAATAACAATTAATATACCTTAATTAATAAAAGCCTTAAATTACCGTAAAATATTATAAACAAGTGCTTAGATTGCTAGTTTTTTGTTTTGTATTAACATTATAAAAATTGTTACACCTTGCTTTCCTTAATGGCTGCAACCTATCAGAGGAACATGAGACTTGTGCATAGTTCAAAAAAAATAATTGACCCGATGTGTAATTCATCTCAGGAAGGGTTTCATCATAGTCACCATGTATATTTAGCCATTTTTTATAAGCCTGTAACAAATTAGATCCAATCAAATTAGATTAGTTAAAAGTGTTTAGTAACCTGGTAGATTTAACAGTTAAAGTTTTATTCCAGCAACTCACTGTAAGAATCCTGGATTCAACTCTCAATGACCCTGAATTTGAACCCAACGTATGTACTTGAAAACCAGTTTTATTTTATTTTTAAGTAGGCCTAAAAGGCTAAAAACTAAACTAATAATAATTTTATACTTACCACAAAGGCCTGCTTAATCCCCCCATCTTCTGCAATATAATCATTATGAAAGAAAAGTAAATCTTCACTTTGTATATTGGATTCTCCGCTGATAAGGTTATCATACTGTTCTAGAAAGGAAAAGTTCAGTTTTGATGTTATTCTATTATACATATTTAAATATTTATTACCAATTAAACATGCAGCTTTTTGAGAAAATTGCTCAAATGCTTTCTGCCAATCTTCATTCAATTTTGCCATTTGATCATACTTGATACCTAATTGATCAAAACTGTGTGACATCAAATGACCCATTTGTACACCAATTCCTCCATAGTTTAGGCTTTTTGGAAAATATTTGTGATAGAAGGGGGGTTGGAGAATTGCTGCTGATATTTCTGAAATACTTATATATTTTAGTATTAAAATTTTATTAAAATATCACGAAACTTACTTATATTGTTTTTTCTCATGTCGTAATAACTGCCCGATTCTGAAGGCGAAATGTACCAATCTAAATTGTTTTGTGGTAAACCAATCTTAGCTCTAAGCGCCGTGGCCATAAAAATATTTTTGTTATTCTCAAAGAAAAGGACTGGGTCAATATTAACCTGAAATTAGTGGGTCTTAGAAAACTATCAATATGTGTTTAAAAAAATTTTTTTGGTTATTTTTGGCTTTTCAGAATTACGTATCACTAATAATGCATATTGTATTAAAACAATTACCACTAGAGATGAATTCAATATTTGTTTTGTTGCTAAATTTAAACTGTTTATTTATTACAAAATTAATAGTATACCCATTCCACTATAGTATACTATAGTGCACCACCACTTCACATATACTAAAATTGGTTAGTTTACCAGACAAACTCACATCTTTAAAATAATCATCAAGCTTTTGTTCGATTAATACATCATCTGAATATCCAATACTGAACAGTATTGCATTTATCTTCTCTTCAGCTAAGTGTTTTGTCTTGTTGTTAATCCAGCAATTGTTAAAAAGTACCTCTCTAAATCCACTCCGAATATTTCTTGCCATCACGATTGTCTATAAAACAATTTATTTCTCTATCCATAATAAACCACTAAGATATATTATCAATTAAATACCAACATCATTTTTGTTAGATTTATCAAAATATTTTTGAACAAACATTGCACCAATTGCTAAACCCATATTATTAGTTGTTTGTCTAATGCAAAACTTCGACCTTTCAGGAAATTCTATAGTTCCATAAAGTGCATTTACATACTGAAACTGAGCCTGCATAAATCTAAAATCCAAAACCGTCATCCAGATGTTTATATGTTTCCATAACAAATAATTGGCTATTGTTCTGGAAAAAAATCAGGTTTAGTGATGTGATACATATTTATTGTTAATAGATTTTATTTACTTTGCCTCAGTTTTTCCCAATAATTCTCCAAGTTTTTCAAAATACTTAACAGAATGTACCACCACATGTTCAGTTGAGTTGCCCGAAAAGTTAAATGTCAATGAAATATAACGTTTTAAATCAATATCAGGGATGTACTCGTTAATTTTTGCTATAGTAAATTTCTTAACATCACTTGGGTCTGGATTTGCATTTCCTGGATAAGAAATCTGAAAGGTGGAGGTCAAAAGTAGTATGAATTTAAAATCAATCAAACACAAACTAATAATTTGTTACATTAGCTAAATGTGTCTCAAACGTTAGGATGTCTTCCACCGCTTCAGTAACATTTTCATCTCCACCCAACAATTTTGCAACTTTCAACATGTACTCTTTATACGCAAAGTACTTTGTATTTGATCTATTTAAAAAATCTTCTCTATCTATTACACCTAAACTTGTTTGGTCTAACTACGGACAAGGAAAAATTAAAAAATATATTTTACAAAAGTATCTCATGGCTGATTTACATTTATTACGTATCGACTTGGGATTACTTTGTCTTGTGAAACAAAATAAGTAATCAGTATATCAGTGTGATATTTACTAAGTTGCGCTGCTAACCAAATCCAATCGTAATTCGATGAATTATTAATCATTGGCCATGTACCTAATGAACTGAGATGGGAAAGAAGTGGTTTTGATCCTCTTGATTGTATAGTTTCTATGAACAGGATAGTTATGACAGTCAAAGAAGTTGATCTACATGAGATTCCACCTATCCATAAAAATATTACCATAGTTTAAACAAGACTTGTAATAATTTTTAGCTTTAGTAAATGCCAAAGGTTCATTATGTGATGTAGGCTGTTCTAGGAGGTCTTTTATGTAGTTAGCTGTAGATGTTGAAAGAATTTCAAAAATGCTATATAAATTGTTGTTTGTCGGCATAGGATTAAGCTTAGCCCAATTGCCACATGCAAATTGATAGAAATCATCGCATGGATCTACCTCCGAAGTCATGTATGCTTGCATCATTTGAGCTGAAAATTTATAAACAAAAATAAATTGCTGATGTATGTATGTATTGTTTTGTTGAGCCGACAAACATCAGATGGTTATTGCTGACCCTTTAAAATTAAAAAAATCAATCATGACCACTAAACAAATATGGAATAATAATAACCTTTATTTTGCTATAATAGAAGATACACAAAATAATATAGTTTTCTGGTTTCAAGAGAGAAAGAGAAAAAGAAATAGAATACATAATTATGAAAGCGATTTGTTGTTATTCATTACACCCTGCTTTCCATAAGTAAAAATAATTTTGCCAGAAAGCAGGAGTTGATAAATTAAGATTTATTTATTTTTTTATAAAACAAACAAGAAAAAATAATGTTAATTTAGAAATACAGATTAATAAATATATGTACTATGAAAAAAAAGATTAGTAGAATTAATATTCAAGAAAGGTAAGAAATGATATGTAAAATTAAGAAATAGAGGGCTGGCGATGAGCAGTGTAGTTTGATGACCGTTAAACTTAAAAATAAAAGAAAAAGAAAACATCACTTGGGTCAAGATGTATGAATATGTAAAACATTTTGTAACTTACTGAAGTACTGAAATTAGTGACAGGTAATTAAAGTTTTAAAATAAAAAATAATATTTTTGAGAAAGACTTACTTACTCAAAAGGCAGTTATTTTATTCTGTAGTTATCCAATAGATAACAGTTTATACCAAAAACACAAATGTTTAAAATTACAACGATATTTGACTGCATTCATGATATAATTAAGGTAAATACAATGTGTTTTGTTTAAATCCAAGTTTTTAACATAACAATGATGGTCCATTCATATATGTTCTATATGCAGATAAAATTTTCTTGGGGTGTTCTACTCCATAGATAGTTTTGGCACTATATGGAGAAAGAGGCAGGCATTAAGAATTCTACTTAACATTAATTTTTTGAAAATGCAGAACATAAACAGTCTGGTACTGTTAATTTATGATATACAAATCTGTGTATAAATACCACATGCACCATAGCCAGATCATAATAATTTTTATTTTTAAGTTGATCAATTTTGTTTTTATCTAACTGTTTTATTATTTTCCATTTTGTGCTTTTAATAAAATGTATTAAATAAATTAAAATCCCTTAAATTAAATCAAATTACCTTGTTTCTGGCGAACTGCTTGCTTTCCCTCATCATTCGTTGATTCAAATTTTTCGTATTCAACCCCTGTTTGATTGTTTGACCATGTCTCAAAACCATCAACTTCATTCAATTTATCATTCTTCGTAAGTAGGCCTGAAACAATATAAGCTCATTTTATTTTTACTTAATTGTAATTATTTTTACAATTTACCTGATCATTATAATTTTAATAATTGAATTGTGCATTAGTATGTATTTGTTAGATCTATATAACAAGTGGCAATCACAAACCTTTTATTATCTTAAAACCTTATCACCTTTTCTGTCTTTTGTAAACCAGAAGAAAAAAGATTTGAAATCTTTGCAATCTGCAATTACCTTGTTTCTCTGGAACTTCTTGCTTTTCTTCATCATTTGTTGATTCAAATTCTTCGTATTCAACCCCTGTTTGGTTGTTTGGCCATGTCTCAGAACCATTAACTTCAATCAATTTATCATTCTTCGTAAGTAGGTCTGAAACAATGTAAGCCCATTTTATGTGTACTTAATTATAATTATTTTTACAATTTAATTATTTTTACAATTTACCTGACCTTTATAATTTTAATAATTGAATTGTGCATTAGTATGTATTGGCCTATCACATACCTTTTATTATCTTAAAACCTCATCACCTTTTTTGTCTTTTATCAACCACAAGAAGAAAAGATTTGAACNTTTAATGGATATTTACCATTTGCATGTATATAACAAACATTTCCAAAAAGGGAAATTATTCCCAATAAAGATACAGCAACTTTCTTCATTTCATTAATCCTTCAGTTTAAACTGGAAAAGTATGACATAAGAAATAATCAAGTACATGCCAGTATATGGTTTGAAAGAATGATTTTTTAGGAAATACACTCTTACAGGAAACCTTCATAAACAATTATATTATATTTTTAAAATTTCTCAAATTAATCGAAGTATCACTTGTTTTTATATTTCATTTTAATTGATTTTCATATATAATTTTTGATGAGAACCCATTTTATATTGTTTTTAAATCTTAAATTGAAAGAAGAATCTTTTAATTTAATATTTAATTTTACATAGTCTTCTGCATCCTTACAGCTTCATCCACCTTTTCCATTACCCTCCAGACTTATGTGTCCACTGCCCAAACAACAACAGCCGAAACGCTCCAATTCATCCAACAATAGCCAAACAATCACAGACAGCAGTAACCGCACTGAGGGAGTCAGCTCGGACAAGCTTTATATTTTACTTTCCTAATTATAAATAATTATTAATTGTATTTATTCTAGGCCATTGTTGAAGTTGAGTAAAATAATTATTTTTACTAATCTGTTACAACGTTTCAACATCCTGTCCCAACTTGAAAGCAGTATATTTACTGAAACTATTTCATTTTACACCATTGTTTTTTTAATCAAATTAATTCATTTTTAGAATTATTTTATCCTTAATATTTCCCTAGAGTTTACATAAATGAATAAAGCAATGTGCATTATTACTTACTCAATTGTGCATTATAAAAATAATAAGTACTTAAATGTTGTGTGAAGTGTATTAAGTAATTATTTTATAATTATTTTATTACAAAATAATTACTTAAATAAAATAATTCATTGTTTGATTATCACTACTTCAATATAATGACTGATTAATGTACAATAATTTTTGAGGATAAAATTTAATCAATGCAGTTAGTCTATTTTATGTGAAAATGTAATGGATTGTTTAAAGTATAACAAAACTTTAGACTCTCAATTAAAAAAAAAAAAAAGTTTTGTTTAATGCCAGTTGGGAAAAGATTCAAGAAATCGTTTCTCATTTGTATTATTGTCAAACATTGAGGTGAGGTCAATGAGATCTAGAAATGTGTAGTTTGATGGTCGCTTATTATTATGGTCAGCCTATTTTCACTAATTTGAACTTTATTCTTGAACCAGCAAGAATAGATAAAACAGGACGATCGGTGAAGATTGAAATATTTATATTATTACTTATACATAGAATTGTGCATTAGTAAAATAATAAGTTTTGTAGGATCGTAATACATACTTACAATTAAGGGATTTTTTGTTGCTGATACTGTGATGATTGAAATTAATTATAATAGTAATCAAAACCAAATCTTGTTCTTATTTTTATTTCTGCCAATTAGATGAGGTTAAATTAATTTTCACCATATAACAAGCGTTACTGATAATATGCTAATTCAATTTAATATAAATATAAAGTGTAGTGTAATAAAGGCCGTTTTGAGATGTGAGGAAAAATGGATAAATCAACTAATTTAAAAATGATGTTATTTAAAATTAAAGAATAATTATTTATAACAATTTTGTTGTATTTACATCTGTGTTAATAAATTTTAGTTTTATACACCATACAGTAACACTAGAAGATGAAAGTAAAAGATTAAATTAAATAGTTTTCATGGGCCGCTTGGCCAATTAATCTCTTTTAATTAATTAAGGTTTTTAGTCGAGATAAAAAAGTTTGTGTCACAAGCTGGATTCGAACCCACGACCTTTGGCTAGATACACCGCTACTCTACCACTTGTGCTATCGTGACTTTGATCCAATCGGACACTAAGTTCCTATCTCAACCCCATCTTTTGAATTTTCTCTCCTTTTTGCCATTTTTCAAATGTCATGTATCAGGATTTGATTCTCAGCGACAAATGAAATGGCCACGGAGATCTTTAGTGAAGATATAATTCATTGTAACTTAACTATACGGATAATTACTAATCTGTTTACTACAGTTACTAATTTGTTATTGGCCATATTGTTCTAAATATTTAATAAGTTAGAATGATGACTTTGACGATGTCAATTGAGTTTCATTTACACCGACAGGTTGAGGTGCGTGTTGCCAGTTAGGTAATCAACGTTTTCGACTAGTTAAATTCACTAGTTTTTGTGATCCGCTTGACCAATTAATATTTTTCAATTAATTAGGGGTTGTTGCTAATTAAATTTTCTAAACTAAATAAATTTTCCTTTAATGGACAATTGACAGATTAGACCCTTTAATGTAGTTTGTTTTATATTTGCTATTTATATTCTAGACAAGAGCTACCATTTACCCTAATAAACCATTTAGATACATCTTTTTATATTGGGAACCATGATTGGTGTTAATTGACCAAGGTTGTCTTGAACAAACTATTTTAAGTAATTTCAGAAGAGATTCAAAATTATTGTAAATAACTTAATGCAGGACTGTTGAACATGCATCACAATATCGCTAAAAGTTATTGCAAGCCAAAAGTCATATAAAATATATCGAATTCTTAAATTTAAAAACAAAATTAATAAATTAGTTGAGTTCTGCCCACAAATATTTGACGTTTAGATTCACCACTCAGAAGAGAGGGAAAGAATGGAATTTATTAGGATCAGGAATAAAAAAAATTGTACATTCATTTCATTAGTTTATTTTTAAAAATCCAATGATATAAATGCATTGCTTAACATATAATTCATCAGATTGAACATTTTGTTGTTGGATTCATCCGTGATCCAGGGGGACAGTTGAATTCATTTGCAAAATCTTCACTGTTTTGTAATGTACTAGTTATCCTAGAAATCAAAAAATTAACCTTGCAATTTTCCAATTCTCGCATTTAGAAAACTTTACAACAAAATACAAATTTGTATTAATTTATAAACTTTATGTACATATAAAATATTTTTTATTAATATACATATAGAGAACCTGTATTTTGATGGAGCGTGTTTATTGTACAACAATTTTTTGGAGTATAAATCAGGGCTTATACTTTCACACTTCATTTGTGCAAAGGTCAAAAAAAATAATTGGCCAGGCGTATAACTCATTCCAGGTAGTGTTTCATCAGAATTGTTGTGTGATTTTGACCAATTTTTATATGCCTATCAAAAAAAAACAATTCATTGTTTATTCTTCTCACACATGTAGATAGTTTATATTACCAAAAAGGTTTTTTTAATCCCTCCACTATCTGCAATATTCTCAGTCAAAGAAACTACTTTCTCAATGTTAATACCCAATTCTGTAGTAAAATTTTTGTATTGTTCTAGAATAATGAAGGTAGTTATTATTTTATTTTACTAATTAACATTAACAATATACATTAGTTTTTTAAATTATAACTTTTAATTGTAATTACCTATAAAACATTGAGCCTTTTCATTAAATGCTTCAATTGTGGCAATATCCCACTCCCATTTCTTTTCAATGATTTTGTCAAACTCAAGTCCTTCTAGAGTAAATCCATGTGTTGCCTCATGTCCAATCAGGTTTCCAAGTCCACCAAAATTTATGCATTTTGGTAAATGTTTGTGATAGACTGGGGGCTGAAGTAGTCCAATGAGAATGACTGTATAGATAAAGAGTACATACATTACAATCTTAATTTCTTTTTTTTTTGCATAGATGGTAACATACTAATTTTATTTAAATCATAATTATAAAATGCATTAATTATTATAGGATTTGCTTCATAATTATCATCAGGCTCACGAAGCTGTTTTTTCATATTCCCAATTAAATATTTAATAATGTTCATACAGTTCTCAAAGTAAGTTCCTGTTTGAAAATCCACCTTAAAAAAAAAGTTGTTAGTTATTAATTTTAAATAAACAATATGGTTTGAAATTGTGAAAAGAGTTTTAATATTTAAGAAGTTTTGAATAATTTTTTATTGGCTTCTACATGTAAACTAAATAGAGAAAATGGTACCACAAAGATTCAGTTGAATGATTCAACTTGTAATTTCACTTATTTTTTCTCTGATCCAACCCAGAAAGACAATCCTCTTTTGTCTGCTGTCTGGCAGTCACCACTGAGGCTTATTTCGTTCCAGCGGCGACTATTTCAAAATGTTTAACACTAACAATTTACGTAAATTCATAAAAATTGTTTATATAAATTCCAATAAATAGATTTTTATTATTTGTTCATAGTGTTACAAATTAAGTTCTTTTTATAGAAAATGTTGGTTTTTTTCTAATCTTTTCTATTTTTTTTTTTTTTTTTATGTCACTCTCAGTTAAGAATGAAATTCTAATTATTCAATGCTTTACTAAAACTTAATAAATAATATTATTGATTTTAAAATTATTGCATCTGAATCTGAATAAAAATGACATACTCATATCTTTCAATAGCTTAAGATAGTATGAGTGACGACAGAGGAGTGAAGAGCAAATTGAGATGTGATCCGCTAAATTCCTTTCACTGAGTTTCATGTAGGATCTATGTAGTGTACTTGTGAACAAACTTAAGTCTTTGGAAGTGGATTCCTAATTGTTATATTGGACAACTTTAACATCTCTTCTAGTTCTCACCATCCAAAAAGAGATTTCATTCTAACCTATGCCACAATATGTCATCATCAACTTCAGAAGGACGTGTAATTGCATGCAACATCTTCAAGAACAAAATTTCCTTCTCTAACCATTCGACTTGACGAACATTTACAAAGTTAATACATTACACACTTTACACAAAGTTTCAATTGAAACAATTGCATTGTTCCCTTTTTGGAATTCATAAAGTAAACAATGATTTAAATGTGTTTCATCCAAAGACATGATTAGCTATTAAATTATTTGACACAACTAAAGAAGTTGAAAACTAGAACTGAGGAGTAATAAAGCCTTTTAATTTACTGATTGAACAAGTGTATTTTTAATCGAAAATAGTATAGGCAAAAAATAGAAATATTGAAATATAATTAATCCTACAATTGAAAAACAACATTACTTTTTTGCCAAACCAATAAAATGTTTCTTCCTTCAAATTATAAGGATACTATTGATATGCAAATGTATACTGAGGAAATAATGAGAATTTCCAACTCAATTGGAGGAACATTGATTGCCAGTTAATATCTCTTTAACTGAACTTATATTTAAGTCATATTTTAAACTGTAACATTATATTGAAACAATTTAAAAAATAATTGTTAAAATGTGCATTTTTTGTTAATGTAATAACAAAATCCAAACTCACATCTTTATATAAATTATCAAGTTGCTTTTCCCGAAATTGTTCATCAGCATACTCAATCGTCAGCTCCATTTCATAAATCTTATTGCGAGTTGATTGTCTGGTCTTCTCGCTCAGCCAGCTAGTCTTAGAAAGTTCCTCTATAAATGCTTGTTGAATATATTTTCCTAATAATGCTATCTTTAAAGAAAATATTAATTTGTCATAAATCTTTAACGAAAAATTTAAGTGCTAATACTGACATCATTTTCGGTATGATTGTCCAAATAAGCTCTGTACATAATATCAACTGTAGCAAATGGCATGTGAGAATTTACATCATTAAAACAACCGTACTCTCTTAATGCTGATGATAGCAGCACTTGTGTACCATAATGCCTATTAAATTCCAGAATAAATCTGTCATCCAACAATATTATCAGGTGAGGTACACTCTCCCATAACATATAATTTGCTACTATTCTGAATTTTAAAAAAATTGATTAGTTAATTAAAATATTCTTTAGGTAAATATGATATAATGATATGTATATAAACTACTAAAATTTACAGCATAATATATACTATATGCATATGTAGAACGGTTTGTCGAGTACATAAAATATATATGTATGTAGTATATATACCACCATTATGGTGTAAATTTGAGTAGACAGTATAGTTTTTAAATAGAATTTTTCTATTTTAATAATGATTCAACTTGTAATTTCACTTATTTTTTCTCTGATCCAACCCAGAAAGACAATCCTCTTTTGTCTGCTGTCTGGCAGTCACCACTGAGGCCTATATTGTTCCAGCGCCGACTATTTCAAAATATTTAACACTAACAATTTCTGTAAATTCATGAAAATTGTTTNATTTTTTAAAAAATGATCAAATTTATCAATTACATTAGCCATCTTTGTCTCAAAATTTACAATTTCTTCTGCAGACTTTCTAACATTGTCTTCGCTTCCACCCATAAGAGTTGCTATTTTAACAATAAAATTTCTATAATTTTTCAACTTATCAGTATTTTTTGAAGGTTCCAAATAAAGGTGTGGATCTAAAACTAAATTTGGTGTAGTCATCTAAAATAAAGAAATAGGTAAAAAAACTTCAAAAAAAAAAAAAATTAAATGTAAATTAGAAATGGCTTACATATATTTTTCTTTCCCTGGAGTTTTTATCATGAAGGACATTGAAACCAATAAATCCAAAAATAGTAGAGTATTTGCTAAGTTGTTCTGCTACTAAAATCCAATCAAAATTGGAACCATCCCAGGTATCGTTAATAATCGGCCACCCCCCTAACGTCTCAAGTAGTTCAACAAGTGGGGTTGCTCCTCTTGATTTTCTAGTTTCTATCAATGAAAGTGAATAATAGATATAATTAAATTAAGAAGTTATTTCATATTAAATAATCATTATTTACATATACTACCTTTATCAATACAAGCCTTATAATGGTTTTTAGCCTTGGTATGTGCCACATGTTCGTCATTTGATTTTGGTAGTGCTAAGAATCTTTTCAAATAATGTAACACTTCTCGTTCCATCTTCATATTCATATCTGATTTGCCATACCCCGGTGGTAGAGGATTGTTTTCAATCCATTTACCACATGCAAACTGATAGAAATCATCACAAGGATTTACATTTGTATTCATGTATTTTTTCATCTGTTCAGCTAAAAACGCATAGAAGCAACATTTAACAAATGTTATTTGGACATCAGTGATCATTTTAATCTTTCCTTGCTGTTTGGTATTATTGTCCGACATAACGATGGGAAGTTGAGTGCCTGAGCTTTAATACTATATATAAGATGCTGATGATATCAGGTCACAACACATATTTACTGAGGCCTGATATCATCAACCTACTAAACAGTATTAAATATTATAGTTTTGTTCAATATTTGTTATAGTGGATATATTTATTTTATGATATTTAAATGTATCAATGTATAAAATGCCATGTTGGCTATGTTGTTTATTTATAATCTGCAAATCAGTATATATAAACACAATAGGTTCGATATAACCAAACCATTACAAAAAAAATTATGGTTATTTAATCTATTTTGTTTTTATTTAACTCTGTTTTTATTTTGTATTTCGTGCTGTTAATAAAATATATTACATAAATTAAAAATGCCTTAAATTAAATCAATAATTACCTTGTAACTGTCGAATTGCTTGCTTTTCTTCATCATTCGTTGATTCAAATTCTTCGTGTTCAACCCCTGTTTGGTTGTTNTTAAAAAATGATCAAATTTATCAATTACATTAGCCATCTTTGTCTCAAAATTTACAATTTCTTCTGCAGACTTTCTAACATTGTCTTCGCTTCCACCCATAAGGGTTGCTATTTTAACAATAAAATTTCTATAATTTTTCAACTTATCAGCATTTTTTGAAGGTTCCAAATAAAGGTGTGGATCTAAAACTAAATTTGGTGTAGTCATCTAAAATAAAGAAATAGGTAAAAAAAAACTTTAAAAAAATTAAATGTAAATTAGAAATGGCTTACATATATTTTACTTTCCCTGGAGTTTTTATCATGAAAGACATGGAAACCAATAAATCCAAAGATATTAGAATATTTGCTAAGTTGTTCTGCTACTAAAACCCAATCAAAATTGGAACCATCCCAGGTATCGTTAATAATCGGCCACCCCCCTAACGTCTCAAGTAGTTCAACAAGTGGGGTTGCTCCTCTTGATTTTCTAGTTTCTATCAATGAAAGTGAATAATAGATATAATTAAATTAAGAAGTTATTTCATATTAAATAATCATTATTTACATATACTACCTTTATCAATACAAGCCTTATAATGGTTTTTAGCCTTGGTATGTGCCACATGTTCGTCATTTGATTTTGGTAGTGCTAAGAATCTTTTCAAATAGTGTAAGACTTTTCGTTCCATCTTCATAGACATATCTGATTTGCCATATCCCGGTGGTAGAGGATTGTATTCAATCCATTTACCACATGCAAACTGATAGAAATCATCACAAGGATTTACACTTGTATTCATGTATTTTTTCATCAGTTCAGCTAAAAACGCATAGAAGCAACATTTAAACAAATGTTATTTGGACATCAGTGATCATTTTAGTCTTTTCTTGCTGTTTGGTAAAATGGTGGGCAATGGATGGGAGGGTTCATCACCCCTAGGATTCTACTACTTATCAGAATTGTTTATGAATATGACATCAAATTTTCTCTTTTTCTCTTTTTTGAAGAAATATTATTGTCCGATATAACGGTGGGAAGTTGTGGGCCTCAGCTTTAATACTCTGTTTAGGATGTTGATGATATCAGGTCACAATAAATATTTAGTGTGGCCTGATATCATCAACCTCCTAAACAGTATTAAATATTATTGTTTTATTCAATATTTGTGATCGTGCATATTATTATAATTTATGATATTTAAATGTATCAATGTATAAAATACCATGTTGGCCATATAGTTTATTTATAATGTGCAAATCAGCATATATATATACACAATAGGTTCGGTATAGCTAAACCATTAGAAACAAAAATTATTTTTAGTCAGTCAGTTTTGTTTTTATTTAACTCTGTTTTTATTTTGTATTTTGTGCTTTTAATAAAACATACTAAATAAATTAAAAAAGCCTTAAATTAACGCAATAATTACCTTGTAACTGTCGAATTGCTTTCTTTTCTTCATCATTTGTTGATTCAAATTCTTCGTATTCAACCCCTGTTTGGTTGTTTGACCATGTCTCAGAACTATTAACTTCAATGAATTTATNATCTTGATTATTTAGTATGTCCATTAGAAACATATATGCGTTTTTTATAAAAATATTTATTGTTTTGCAAGATTCACATATAGATGAATTAAATTCCTTTGTTTCAGAAATGACTCTCATGTAATGACCAGAAGGGTTTAAATCTGAAATAATTGAAATTGTGTGAAATATATTTCTGCACTTTTATGACTTACCATTTTGATCGTTAATAATCAATTAATCGTTTGATTTAATGGATATTTACCATTTGCATGTATATAACAAACATTTCCAAAAAGGGAAATTATTCCCAATAAAGATACAGCAACTTTCTTCATTTCATTAATCCTTCTGTTTAAACTGGAAAAGTATAACATAAGAAATAATCAAGTACATGGCAGTATATGGTTTGAAAGAATGATTTTTTAGGAAATCCCATTTATAAATTCAGATAGTCATGCCCATTAATTGTATTTTTAAATTTAAAAAATTTTTATCTAATTTCTTTCAAAGACATCTGAATGATAGAAAATTTCCTTGTCTTCAGTGTAAGATTGTTTCATTTTTTTACTCTCTTAATTAAAATAGTTATTGACTTTATTTCTTCAATATTCTAGGCCATTCTTGAACTTGGGTGGAAATTCTCAATTACTATTTTATTGTACCATTTCGGTATTCTGTATCAGCTTCAAAACAGTTTATTTACAGAAAATATTTCAATTTTACTTCGTTGGTTTTTCTTAATTACATTAATGCATGTTTATTATTATTTTATCCTTTATATTTACCTCGTGATTGTATAAAAGAAACCAATTTAAAATCTTTTTTGTAAATTGTTTGATGTAATTGTACAATGTAATTTAGAAAAACAAAAATCAAAATTAAAATAGTTTTCAGAAATACTGCTCCGAAGATGGCTTTGTTGCTTTATTCATAATTCAACTTGAACCTATAATTCACTCAACAAGTAAATCAAAAATTAAAGTAGTACAAAGATTTTAAGCCTTGTGAAGTATTTCCCCCCCCAATTTATATCTATTTTGATAAATACACAAGTTAGAGGGGTTTTAAAGGGAGTCAGTGGCGACAATGGTTCAGGCACTTACACAGCGATTAGTCAGATGGTCTCGTGTTATACTTCAGTAGGCCTAAATTTGAATCTGTACTTCTAAATGGGTTCTTTTAAAGGAAATCTCGGTATATTTTATACTTATTAGAATGTCTACATTTATTAATATCAGTTTAATGGAAAATTAGACTGAAAACCTCTAAGAGGGCGATGGAAGCCGAGTGGCTAGGGTGTACGACTCGTATTGCCACTCTGGCTGTCCTGGGTTCAAACCTGGCATAGCCCATGGTTAGATGGACATAAAGCCATCCTGTATGATGGGAATTATTTTACTTCATTGTTTAATACAAATAAAGTCAAAAGCATATAATTTATTAATAATTGTTTATTATATTTATTTTATTTATTAATAATTTATTAATAACTTACCGTAGAGAGATTCTTCGTAACTGCCTCGTTAATCGGTTGTAATTGCTTCCAATTTCAACAATATTATATCATGAGATTGGAAACAATTCAGAAAATTAACGCATTTCACAGTATGACAAGCATTACAAGCATTAATTGGCAAATCTAATTTAATAAAATATAGGATTTTTATTTAATTTCCATGAATTGAAACCAAAACCACTATGAGTCATATTTAGTAAAGCAATTATTTAACTTATTTTTGAAAAGTATTCATCAGGGCATATGCGAAAGATTGATCTTTGAAAATTAGATTGTTTTGATTCCAATGACTTTTAGTAATTTCTCCATCAAAGCATAATAAGTACTGAGATTCTTCTATTTGCTAAAAATACATACAAAATTTTATTCTGCCCTGATGGAGCTAGATGGACTATCACTTTTTCTTACAACAAATCTCCTATTTTCCACTCTTATACCATTAATTACAACTTGTTAAACAGATTAACTTGTATTAGAGATCTTGGCGTCATCTTTGATAGTAATCTTACCTTTATGCTACATTTACAAGAAATCAAAAATCACTCCTCCTCATCTGAAGTACCTGTCATACCTATCAAAAATCCTTCTTGCTACGTCCATTTATACAATTCACTTGTTCCACCTATTCTTGAATATGCCTCTATCATCTGAAATCCTTACTACTTCACTGACACAAAACTTCTTCAAACTTTCAATTTCTTAAGGTTTTTAGTTGAGATAAAAAAGTCAGTGTCACGAGCGGGATTCGAACCCATGATCTTCGGCTTGATACGCTGCTGCTCTACCACTTGAGCTCTCGTGACTTCGATCCACTCAGACACTAACTTCCCAACTCAACCCCACCTTTTGTATTTTCCCTCCTTTTTGCCATTTTTCATAATGGAAGTTAGTGTCCGAGCGAATCAAAGTTTAACAGAATGTATCACAACTTGCTCATTTGAATCACCTGTTAAATTAAATACCGTTGAAATATAACGTTTTAAATCGTTTAGGAAAAGATTGATTTATTTTGACTAAAGACAATGATTTCGTCTTATCTAATAATCCATCTTTAGGAAGAATAATCTGGAAATTAGTTTAAATTTGAATATACTATTAATATTTTAAAATTTTGAATTACTCTTGATTGAGGTTCATCTCAAATTTTATAACGTCTTTCACAGATTCTGTAATTTTATCTTTATTTGCACCCAAAAGTGTTGATATTTCCTTAATGATATTCATATATGTCTACATGTCATTGGAATTGTGGTTCCAGATGTGATTGTATCTTGTTGGAAAACTTATTTTCGGTTTGACTATCTAAAAACAAGAAAGAGATGATTTAAAAAAAAATATACATAACTAATGACTTACTTTACTAATTAATTTAATTACTAACATTTATTTCAAGTTGACTTTCATTTACAGATGAAACAGAATAGACAATCAATATTTAATTAGTATATCTGCTAAGTTTCCTGCTAAAGAAATCCACTAAAAATTAGTACCATTCTGGTTATTGCTAATCAATGGCCAGCCTCCTAGTGAGTCAAGAGGGGTAAGAAGTGGCTTTGATCTTCTTGATTCTATAGTGTCTTTAAACAAATGAAAATAATTGAATTACCGATGTAGATAACATTTTATCAATAAATATTGCATGTTGATGCAAGATTTGTAATGATGTTTATCCTTGGTAAATTTGGTTCGTTATCTTTAATTGGCTGCTCTAGAAGTTTTTTCAACTATTGTGCCTTTAGCAAAGTCAAAAATATTGTAATGATAGGTATTCCAAGGAATGGGTTTGACCATTATTATTTATGGATCCATGATTTTGAATTTTCTTTGGAGAAAATATATTTGTTTCATTTATGAAAGTATTATTTCTGTTGCAATCTGTACATTCCTTATTAATAACTTGAGATTGTTCAGATGGAGTTTTGTTCCATAGTTGGTTTGAAGCTGGAATTATAGGAAATTAGTTTTGCCTACAATTTCCCAATTTGATAATTAATACTAAATTACTTTGTTCTGTTAATTGATATTCTTAATTTTCAGCTAAATATGCTTGTGTATGACAAACGTTCCAAAGGAGAGAAATGTTTCCCAAGTCAAACACAACTACTATGTTCTTCATATGTATATTATTTATTTATTTATTTACGGATCGAAATCCACTATAAAAAAGACATTTTACAATAACAAAAAATATAAATAATATATGTAAAAATACAAATAATATATATAAAAAGAATAAGGATGTATATCCATGGTAATAATATAAATGGTAAATATAAATGATAAATATAAAAATACAATTAAAGAGTAAAAACTGAACAACAAAAATGAAAGACATAATTACTAACCAAATAAGGCAGAGGAAACAAAATAAAGCTGAAAGACAATTGAAACTACAATAATTAGGTACATATTTAATGAAAATAATGCTCTTTGTAAATATATAATAAGACTAGAGTGCGAGAATTAGTTGAACCAGTAAATGAAATAAATTGTAATAATTTTGTACAGTATGAAATATAAAAGCATTCAACTAAGGTTGTAGGATAAGGTTTTTCACAGATTGCACAGAACTATTGAAGAAGTCAATGCTATTGCAGATGTTGTTACTCTTGATCATCATTCTGTGTAGAGGAGAAGAGAGCATGTAGTTAGAGCTTTGGAATTCAATATAAAATAATTTATAGGTTTTAAGAGAGTACGAAGGGACATGTAGCTGTAGTTGAGAGAGGAGATAAGGACTATCAATGAGATTGTTTAATAATTTAAATACAAAAACAATATCAAAGTAATCCCTTCTTAGTGCCAGTTCGAAAAGTTTAAATTCAGAGCGGATTCCAGGGTAGGCAGAATTCGGAGGAAGATTGAGTTTGTAGGAAAGTTTTTTTAAAAATTTGTTTTGTACAGATTGAAGAATTTTTTGATAATTTAGATAGAATGGGTTCCAAACAGGTGTAGCATATTCTAGTATGGGTTGTACAAAAGCTTTATAAAGATAGACAAAACATAAAGGATTTTTAAATTCATAGGTGTTCCGGATGATGAAACCTAGCATCTTCATAGATCTATTTTTTATTGAAGAAATATGTTCTTTAAACTTGAGCTTTTGATCAAAAAGTACACCAAGATCCTTTATGACCTCAACTCGCGTTAAAAGAGCATCATGGAGAGTATAGAGATAAATAAAAGGTTGTTTCTTATGAGAGAATGTAATTGTGTAGCATTTGGAAACATTAAGAGCAAGTTTGTTATTAGAGCACCAGGTTAGCACATTATTGATAGAAATTTATAATTGTAAGCAATCTGAAGGAGAAGTGATTATGGAATAGATTTTCAGATCATCAGCAAATAACAAAAATTGAGCAGAAGGAAGAGCAAGATGGATATCATTAATAAATAAAAGAAACAAAACTGGTCCAAGATGAGACCCTTGCGGGACTCCCGAGGAAGCCGCAAAGGGACATGATTTAAATGATTTTATTCTGACTATTCTATATTCTTCTGATTATTAGAAACACTATAACAAATGCATTCACTTTTATGTGGAGGTTAGTTATTATAATAATTATATAATAAAGTCATGTCACATACATTCTGCATCATAAAAAAAAGTTTATAAAAAAATGATAATTTAGGTAAAAACCTCAAACTAAAAGTTATTCTATAATTTTTTTTATTTAATAACTTTTTACAACCAACTCTTCACAAAATTTATTTTTATGATTTACATGAAGAGGTCACAATATAAGTAATATGATATGCTAAAAAAATGTCAAAATAAGTGATATAATTCTTATTGAATCTAATTGTTTACTTCATATGTAATTTAATTAGTTTTATTATTATTCTGTTTATTCAAATATTTAAAATTATTTTATGGTACATTAGGAAATAATGTAATTAACCCAATTAATATTTCTGAAAATTATATGTTTTAATATTTTACAAAGTGCCAGTGTAAATGAGGTTAAATAAATAAAAAAAGAGATGAACCTGAATTAATAAATTAATCATTCATAAATGTAATAAAGCGGTGTGCTTACCGATTTTTTTAATCTTTTATAATCACAGTGAGTTTTATTTTATTTATTTTTTTAATGGTAAAATGAAATGTAAAATTTGAATATTAACAGATTATCACAGTATATGAAGCGTTGCAAATGGTAATATGCAAATGAAATTGATAATTCTTAACTATACGGATAATTATTAAATAATTACCAATCGGGTCCAAAATTGGTCAAAATATGTTACAAAATTATAGAAGTTTCATCAGACCCAAAAACGATTAAAAAATATGTATTTTTCCCGGCTTTTTAATTTTCACTGACAGGTTGAGGGGCGAGTTGGGAGTTAGGGTATCTGCATTTTCGACTAGTTTAATTTGATTTCGTGTACCAATCGGGTCGAAAATTGGTCAAAATATGTAACATATTTAAAGAAATTTGAAAAGTCCCAAAAAACTCGAAAAAGTATGTATTTTTACAGGTTTTTCGATTTTCACCGAATATGTAAAAATATGTTACAAAATAAAAGAAATTTCAAAAGACCCAAATAACGTCGCAAAAATATGTATTTTTACCGGTTTTTTTAAATTTTCACCGACCGGTTGAGGTGCGTGTTGCCAGTCAGGGAATCAACGTTTTCGACTATTTAAACTTGATTTCGTATACCAATCGGGTCCAAAATTGGTCAAAATATGTTACAAAATTAAAGAAGTTTCATCTGACCCAAAAAATGTGGAAAAAATATGTATTTTTACCGATTTCCTATTTTCACCAACCGGTTGAGGGGCGAGTTGGGAGTTAGGGAATTTAAATTTTCGACTAGTTTAAATTGATTTCGTGTACCAAACGGGCCCAAAATTGGTCGAAATATGTAAAAATATGTTCCAAAATTAAAGAAATTCGAAAAGGCCTAAATAAAAAATATGTATTTTTACCGTTTTTTTTAAATTTTCACCGACCGGTTGAGGTGCGTGTTGCCAGTCAGGGAATCTACGTTTTCGACTAGTTTAACTTGATTTCGTGTACCAATCAGGTTCAAAATTAAAGAAATTCGAAAAGACCGAAAAAACGTCGAAAAAGTATGTATTTTTACCGGGTTTTCGATTTTCACCGACCGGTTGAGGGGCGAGTTGGGAATTAGGGAATCAACGTTTTCGACTAGTGTAAATTGATTTCGTGTACGGACACTCATATTTTTATTCAAACTACATGTATTATTGTCGTTATATTAAGTACAACAAAGTCAGGTTCTAGGAGTCTAGTCAGGTTCGAAATATTAAAACGTTTGTTCGTAGTCTGAATAAGTACCACACTGGCTCTTTTTTAAAATAAACTGTTATAAAATATTAATGACTGACGACCACTTTTTTAACCATTGCGTTAACTCACCTGAGGCAGGATTAAAATAAATCCGAAACGTGGATAAAAACTGGTTGTGTTTTTTTAGATGATCTATTATCCCACCTTCAAGAAGGAAAAATCATAAAAATTACAACAAACATATTTTAATATAAACCAAATTAACCGAGATCAAAAATTCGTTATTTTTTATTTAAAAAAAATTTAATGGTTTGGTAGAAAATTGATCAAAACACCGGAATACCATTTTTTGATATAATGAATTTACCTAACAATTTATTACACTGTTTTGGTCATAAAATTTAACTAACACTTTATTTCATGGTTTTGCTCGTAAAATTTCGTCGAGTAGCTTCAGAACAGGACACTAATTTTTGTAGTTTATTTCAAACGAAGTATATGTAATTTTGTCGTTACATTAATTATAACATTCTTATTTTAATATAAACCAAATTAAACGAGATCAAAAATTCATGAGTTTTTATAGAAAAATTATTTAATTATAACGGTTAGGCAGAAAATTTATCAAAACACCAGAATAACTTTATTTAAAACAATTAAATTTAACTAACAATTTATTAAATGGCTGTGCTCATAAAATTTAACTAACAATTGGTTGTGCGATTACCCTTCCAAAACGTGGCAAGGCGTCGGGTAGCGTCGCATAGCGTTGCATGGGGTGTTTTCCCGGCTTTTAACGGACGTGATTCGTCCCAGGAGTGTTATTAAAGGGTGCAAATTTTTTTTTTTATTTTTACATTTTTATTTTTTTTTTTCTGTTTATTTATTCTTTCCTCAATAATTTTTTTTAGTATTAAGTAACATTTTCTTTTTAAATGTCTTATTTTTACATGACTTATTTTTGGTATGCAAAATATGAATAAACTTAAATACATTAAAATTTAAGGGTGGTGCGTTTATTTTGTCCATCCAGGTATAAAATAATCGTTTTTTGAAACTCCAAGCCACATGCTTGTGTGCACTCGTAATCGGTAATTTTACGATGTGCCGTTTGGGCTTAAAATAAACGAAATTTGTTTATCGCTTCGCCTCGTCGCTTGTGGAATATAATAAAATAACATGTTTTTAAAGTAAACAACTGATATTAAAATATAAAAAACTCGTTTTAGACCATAAACGTAAATGTTTTGTTGTTATCTGACATTTGTTACCCGTGTGTGAATTTTCAAGGAGTGGGGAAATAAAATTTTAGGATTGATTCTAAAGTAGGACGAAGAGTCTGGCCGATACCTAGGATATAGGTAAACAAGAAATTATCGATTTCCAAGTGCATTTCTCCTAAACGCGAAGAATATGGGGAGTAAAATTTTGGCAGCAGAGCCGACTCTAGTGAAATATTCGAATCCGGTTCTTGTCGTGAACAAAGAAGGAAAGGCGGACAAGGTAAGACGATGAAGCCGTGCAAATAGCCTAGTTAAGAAACTGGAAACGTAATACTGCCAGTGCAATGGCGACACTCGTCTGTCTAGCTGTACGAACAATTTACTGAACAACTCCACCAAAACTTTTCAGAAGATTCTCATTGCTTTCTGATAGTTTTTCTACTAATGAATACACGATCGCCCAAATGTTTGAGATCTAATGTTGGTTTTTCCGTTTAGTTTACCAACCCTCCTCTAATCCACCTCTTTCACGAAAATATTTTTACAAAATCAATGTTGTTAAAAAAATATATTTTTTAACAGAATGGCAAACAGTTGGCTTGTGAAATTTTCTGAACGCTGTAAAACACTTTCCTAATTTTTAATGCCATTAGTAGTAATAAAATAATTTAGTAATAAAAATACAAAATGTACTGTTTCGTCCTGAAATCTGCTTTCTGTTGACCCTTTCTTAATTGAGCTGAACTGATGTTGAACTTTCTGTTGAATTGGATTTCTCTTTTTGCTTGTTTCATGCCTGCCATACATCCCAGTATTTTTTGTGTCCTTTAGTAACCCAAGATTACATTTATTTTTTTAATATGGCTATAATTTATGCTTCAAAATGGATTTAGAGCTGTGAGTTGTTCTAAGAATCCTTTTTTAGCCGGTTGCTTGAAATTTCCTCATGACTTGGGATTTCAGCAATAGGTTTTTTGTAGACCCCTGTATTTTTAACACATTCAGGCAGTTCCAAAGTTGATCATAAAGAGTTGGAGAGCCTCTAGAGCTGCCTGGTTATCTGGTTGCATAATTTTTTAACCCTTTGAATGTTTGTTAATTATTGCATGTGCACATGTTTCTAAGACTAACAATTTGGCTTGAAAGATGGTTGTGGTTGAATTACATATTTTCTAAATATTTTTTCCTTTTCCAGAGTGCTCTTGATATAAAGACCGAATCGATAGTGTATGCTAAAGATATCACATCGGACAGAAGTGTTTCAACTCAACAAGTGCTCGACTGTATTTTGCCTCCGAGACAATGGGAAGAGGATGGCCAATTGTGGAAGCAGCAGGTATTAAAAAAATCTGACTAATATTTTGATTCGGTTTAGTTTTAAATTATGGGATAAACCTGTTGAAATGTTCAGGTATCTCCAGAGCCGGCAACGAGAGCAGACGTCTTGAAGCTCGGAGAACAGCTTGACACCAAATTGCAGCAGAAAAGGGCGAGAGAGACAGGTATTTGTGGAATAAGGAGAAATCTCTTCACTCAAGCGTTTGGTACTTAATCTACGAATCCTTGCCCTTTTTTGCACCAATTGAATTTAACCCTTTTTGACTATTTTAGATCTTAGATGAAATTATTCGACAAGTGACAATCAATTGTGCAGAACGAGGATTACTACTGCTGAGGGTCAGGGATGAAATGAGAATGACTGCCAATGCATACCAATCATTGTATGAAAGCAGTATAGCTTACGGAATGCGCAAAGCCCTCATGGTAAAGATCAACACCCACATAGTATTACATAAACCTAGTGAAAACTACGTTATATCATAAAACACTGAGTGGATATGTTTGGGCTGTTTGATTGGCTAAATTAAAAAAAAAAATTATTATTTTATTATTGCCTTTACTTTCTAAAGGCAGAGCAAAACAGGAGTAACCTCGAAGAAGAATTGAAAAGACTCAGAGATGAAAAATCAGAACTGAAAAAAAGGCTACTCGAGTTGCGAGCAAGATATGAGTTGATGGACAGGAGAGCTGCTGAACTAAGAGCAACAGAAGAAAAGAAGCACAACGAAGAATTGGCACAGTTAAGAAGAACAAATAACACATTAAAGGTAGTAGTTATTTTTATTTTGTCATTTCTTTTTTTTTTTACTAAAATAAATCTGTGTTTGCAGGCCCAACTGGAAACGATCATTGCACCTAAGAAGCACATTGATATTCATAAATAATACTGATGATAAACACAGAACAATTTAAGACAAAATTACTTTTTCTTTTTTCAAATAGAAAATTGAATAATTGGATTTTATTTTAATCAACAAACAACCTTTGTCTTTCACCGTTTTTCATTTATTCCATATTTTATTAAAATTATAGCAGACACTACAATCCTCTACTTATTTCCTTTAATCGGTATCTAATTATTATTGAAACTGACTTTTAGGTTATGTATTAAAGAATTCCTAACTAAATAGGGGATTAGGTGAAATGAATAAATAATATTAAAAAACAATTGCAAGTAATGAAAATAATGCACTCGTGTTGGAGTTTGTTATATTTTTCTTTGTATTAATATTGGTATAACTGACTACTGATTAATATCAGCTCAAATATGCACATGCGTACTAAATTAACTGATCACTTCTCACAGCTCATCAGCAATTCCAGCTTTTGAAAATTACAAAAAAAAAAAAAATACTGGCAGTTCTTGAGAATCCCCCTTCCCATGTTGGTGGGCCAAGCCTTGGCCTTATCCGTCCAACCTCTAAATTGGGCCCAAGGACTACTGAACAGCTAGGTGATTCCCCAACAAAATCCATTCTCACTCACCCTTAAATACATTTTACTTATTTACATATTATTCAATCAGGGTATTAAGAGTATTCGATATTCCTCTATCGCCCATTACACCTATATAACCTATCTATGCTTATCTAATCGCTAACTAACCTAATTGAAAATCTATGGATACTCAATATTTCACCATCGGCCCTCTCACAATACACATTCATACCAATAAATACATTAACTCCCAACACATGCTAGGGACACAAAACAACTCTTTTTTCTCCAAGAATCAGAACAACTGAATTACTTGCTGTCCTGCTCTAGTCCAATTGTCATTTTATGTGGCATTCCTGCATGCTCTCAACATGGAGCACCTTTCAGCTTGGTGGGACACATCAAGCAACCTTTCGTTGCATGCTGGACTTTGGCCTAAAAGCAAGTGTCTAGGTGTCAACCTTGTATTAATCAGGTGAGGGGATGACCCTTCTTTTATGAATCAGGTCCTCCGAGGGCCACCTATTGACAATGCTCTTGACACATATTCTTCTTCTTTCTAGCTATATCTGTTGATTGTTTGCTTCACTCTGGTAATACATATTTGGCCTGTGGTGTCCAGTTGGCTGTTATTATTATAGTTATGTGACATAGATTTAGTAGTTATGCTATTAGTTTCTATGATGGTCCTTTGATGAAATTTTTTGCATGCCTCTGTCCTGGCCTACATTCCCATTGAACGGAGACCTTATTTTTAATTAATTGTCTGATGTAGCCACATTTTTGGCAGTTTGATTTGCTACTAAAGGGTTAAAGGGCAATAGGTCTCATTGAACTTTACTTGGCCTTAAAATCTATCGCCATCTTTGGTGCCCTTCTGCCCTATTAATCCAGACAAGGGTAAATTTATTTTCTTTAATATCTGGCAAGGCGTGTTTAAATATTGACATTTGTCTGTAAGTTCAATCATCTTAAGCAAAGTTCCTACACAATGCGGATGGGGACGAAGTGATTGATTCATGTTTAGAGGTTTCCATAGCATTTTCAAAACTGTTGTTTCTTCGCCTAGAATCAATGTCACAAAAGTTAATAACCGAAGAGCAAACACTTTTAAAGTTTAGTGAACCATTTATAGTGAAAAATGAGAATGAGGAAAAACAGAATAAATGCCAGGATTTGGCTGAAATGGAGGGCACGGATATTTTAGAACCAAAATCTAAGTGTTTCCTCAAGTCAAAAATGTTTAGCGACAAAGAATTCAAGGTTTCTTGTGCAATCCTTACCTTTTAAACAAGTGTGTTTTTATTTATAAAACAGTTTTTTAATCTATTGACAGTTCCCTCCGTTTTGGAAGAAAAAGAAAGTGTCTAGCTTAGTCACGGATATCTCTTCAGAAACTAGACCGATTTTAGATGTAATCGCATATCCAAGGGAATGGAAGGAAGGGGATCTGACATGGAGGCAAGAGGTAAAATAAATTCTGAAATTGTAAACTACTTTTGTACTATATTTTCGTAGAATGGGCTGAATTGAATGACATTTGTATCTGTAAGGTGTCAATGGATCAATTCACAAGAAGCGAGGTACTGAAACTACACGAAAATTTGGACTTGCGTTTGAAAGAAAGATGTGCAAGAGGCAAAGGAATCTGTGCTGTTAGAATGGAATTATTTGCTCAAGTGTTCGGTAACTTGTTAAAATAACAAATATACATGTTCACAAATTTGTAATACAGTTTTGTTTACTTAGACGAACTTATACGACAAGTAACTTTGAACTGTTTAGAACGGGGGATGCTACTGTTAAGAATTAGAGACGAATATAACTTAACGCTATCTGTACACCAAGCTTTATGTGAAGGGAGTACTTCATTTGGAGCTAGGAAGGCAAATTTGGTTTGTGTTTGTTCTCAACATTAAAATTGTAATTTGTACGTAAATGTCATAATATAAATTCATATTAATTTTCAGGCGGAAGAAGATAAGAACAAAAACCACAATGAAATTGAAAAGGTGAAAGCTGAAATAGCGGCCATAAATAAAAATATTCTAGATATGGACTCCAAGTTTTTAATGCTTGAAAGAAGGGCAGAGGAATTAAGAGCTACACAAGAAAAAAATCACATCAATGAAATTAATTTTCTTAAGAAAACAAATCAACAGCTCAAGGTGGGCATTTGTTTGTTCATGTAGTTAAAAAATATATAATTTTTTAAATATTATTTTCTAGGCACAACTTGAATCTATTGCAGCACCAAAAAAGTAAGATGGATTAATATTCTATCTTCATGCTTACTATTTGTAATGAAGTATCCTTTTTTAACTATACTTACTTTTGTAATAAGAAACTTTGATAATATTTAAGTTTACACTAAGTTTAAAAAAAATTGATTCCTCCTTTCTCCATTACAATTATTTAGTAATTAGTGTGATTATTTTGTTATAATTAATAGTCTACTTTGTAACAGGAATTGAAAATTATAAAATTGTTTTAATTAACTTTTCCCTTTTGGTTGGTTTATTTGGATAGTTTTATTGGGTTGTACAGAAAACATGCAGGTTTTTATGTGTTCTTTCATTTACCCCTCTATATAATAAACTGTTATGTTTATATGTTTGATAGTTTATTTTTTTTTACCGAATGTCAATATATTTTAATCCTCTTCCAATCAATTTGTTTACCTCCATAGAATTTTGTTACCTGGAAATAATTCAGTCTTTACTAAAATGTTAATGCGTAATTTTGTGTTACAAGTTTAAACTCAGTCGGAACAGTAAAACAATCAGGAACGATGGTAGTGCAAATAAGAGCACTGATCAAAGATTGTTTAAAAAATTTCAAGAGGGTTATGTTAGTCCTGAAGGTAAAGAAAGTCGTGGAAGGATTTCTTCCCTTGATGATGACGTTCTGTGAGCGATGGTCAAAGAAATTCCAGAACCGCTGTTTGCAAACTTGCAGAGAATCTTTCATTTAACAAATTGACTGTCGCTGACTACCATGAGACAATTGGAAAGGTGTAAACGCATGATAGTTGAGTTTCTCATGAATTAAACAACCGCCAAAAAATCGTTGCTATATAGTTTGCACAATACTTCTTTGCTGAAATAGAAACGATTATTTTCCGGACAACCAATATTATGGGATTTTTGGCCTAAAAAAATAGTGACACATAGCTCAAGTGGTTAGAGCAGCGGTGTTTTGTGCTGAAGGTCGTCGGTTTGAACCCCGCTCGTGACACTATCTTTTTCACCTCAATTAAGACCTTATATAAAAAGTATAATTAATGTATCATATGCCTTCATTCTAACACAATAAAATTTAAGGGTGCTGTGTTTATTTTGTCCATCAGTCTACATGCCCAGAATTTATACTTGGGCTGTTAAAGAAAACCACAGACTGTTTTATCTCAGGATGGTTCCACAAAAAACACTATGAGAAGGGGACGAACTCAAGAGGCCAGAAACAGTAAACGTATGACTAAAGACCCTCACCAAAACTGGCAAACATATTGGGGGGTAAGGGCAAAACTCATAGGAGCGATATGACTATACATCGGTCACTGGCATTTGAGAAAACATGTATAACATGGGTATATTCATTGGTGACCCCATTTGTAGGTTATGCAATGAGGAGGAAGAAAAAGCCACCCATATCTCCACCTATGTTCGAGTGGTAAGCAACTTTGCAAAGGAGACATAACCTAGGATATCCAGAAAACACAGGGAAAAGAATTGTAGCAATGACGATCAATGACCAAGCACTCCTTAGGAGAAGAATTGATCGATTACATTGATCTAAGGAAATAAGAAAGTACAAGCCAGAAGGCTTGGGGAACAAAAACTCAACTTTCTAGTATCTACATTCATCATTGTTATCATCTCAGACCAGGTGATCATCCATTTTTGTTCAATTGAATAATAGTTGCGGCCAATTGAGCCTAAGATCTTAACAAATAAATTGCTTGATTTATTGAGTTATCTTGCAGTTTACCTAGGTTTCCATTGCATGAAAAAAATGAAAACTAAGTGCGACAATTACTCATGAAATACTGTTTCAAGCCTACATAAGGCGAAACATTTTACAACGTAGAGGTTAAACAATGTGAGCCATCAGATTGCATGAGACAAGTGTGCTGTTTAAAACTTCACCAACTTCTGCATCTGAGTTATTTTTTTTATGGTGATACTTTTTGTTGTACCTTTTGTCTTTGTCCCATTTTGATGCTCATTTCCTTCCACGTGAAATACTGTTTGAAGCCTACATGAGGCGAAACATTTCACAATGTAGAGGTTAAACAATGTGAGCCACAGATTGCATGAGACAAGTGTGCTGTTTAAAACTTCACCAACTTCTGCATGAGTTTTTTATCATGGTGATACTTTTTGTTGTACTTTTTGTCTTCCTTCTGTCCTTTCTGTCCTTCCATGCATCCCCTCTCTTGTTCTTGTTAGGATGAGTTTTAGCATTCCACACAAATCGGTAGCTGTGATACATTCGGATAAATCGAATGCAGTCCTCCTGGTTCATTCTTATACTCGAGAGAAATGCATTTACACGGAGGAAATAAACAATGCGAAAAACTTTGATGCACACTAAAAAAATTGACACAAAAAAATTGCAACACAAGTTTCGTAACTGATTTAGGTTTGTGACTGCCCTTTTCACCTGTTTGAACTTAATCAACAATAAATATATTATAATTCTCACTTTGCAATGAGGACAATGATAGAAATAGTTGGGAAATGACAAAAAAACATTTCAAATACAAAAGGTATATATATTAATATGAAAATGCCTATTACAAATTTTTAGGCCACATTACCAACAAGTGTTTCAAATGACTAGCTTTTAAAAACCACTAACATTAATTACTAATATTATAATACTTCTCTTTCGGTATGTATATATTGTATTATATATACGTATTAATAAATGAGTACTTACAACCTTTAATTTATAATAAGTACTTTTTATGAAAGTCAAATTTTATTTGTTATACATTGTTGAAAATAATAAATATTTACAAAAGCTGGAAGAACTATATCAGTAAAAAGTTTATTTTCCACATTTAAAAATAAACGCTTATGTAGTGATGTTGATCAAAGCATTCTTTTAACACTTCATTTATTTATGTATTTTTTTACAAATACCACAGAATATAGATTTACAATGAAATCTTCAAGTCTTTTTGTTATAAAAGTTAATTATTGACTGCAGTTGAAATGAGAATTGACAATCGAATGGCGGCAGGTAAAAAGTTTTGATTCTTCCACCAAAGAAAAATACTACAAATATTTACAAATTGCTATAAAACTAAAACAACACATTTTAATTTATAAAACAATATTTTATCGCAATCATAATAGAAAAAATGTAAAATTCAGTCCCTTTTTATTAACGAAATAAATTATTGTTTGTCTTTCATCGGATTGTCATTCAACCAGAAATTTTGCCTCATTCTTTCTGTCTTTAAATCTGTGTCATTTTTAAAACTATAACTTACATTGCACTTGTTTTTTAAGTATAAAGATTTTATTTACATTTGATTATGTATTAATTTTAATTTAATTGGCAGGAGAACTGCTAATGTAGCCTGGCGATGGGGATTCAGATTTTTCTGGAACAGTTGTAATCCCTGTACACATAACCTTTCCCTAAAAAATTAAACAAAAATTAAATAAAAAAGGAATTTGCTATACAAAAAAGAAAAAAGAACCTTAATATCTCCTTCTATAATGTAGCGGTCAATTTTGTGATATTCCTTTCCTGATCTCGGCCTCAAAGTGGTGACAGCCACCCGCCCAAGTCTGATACAAATTACATAAGAAAAAGTGTGTTTTGGTTTATTGTTTAACGCCAGATACACACCTTAGACTTTCTGGAGTGTCCGATGAGCTGTGCGAAGACATTGACAATGTTTCGATGTAATCTGACATGTCTGATGTTCCACTGCTTGTGCTCCTTGAATCTATGTATGGCACTATGATAGCTCCATCTCCATTAGGACTGTATTCTAAAAAAAACCCACAATGAATATGTGTTTAAATCAACTGGATAACAATATATTGTAAGTATAAAGATAAAATGTAAATGAAGTCTTGTAATATAAATGTATATAACAATTCAAAAACCTTTAGGCTCTCTTTTCCCATGACATATTGGTATTTCTGCTTCAGCGGAAGATGATTTTGCAGGAACTTTGACTTTTGAGAATTGGAACGAAAGCTCTTTCAAAGGATCAGAAGACTTAGATCTTCTCGGCAGAGATGCATGAAGGCAAGACTCGTGGGAAGCGTGAAGCGCCTGGGTCAGTAGTAGCCTTCTTCCTGACATAGAGGTCGTCAAAGGGAGTTCAAATTCTGCAAAATCGGCCCCTCTATGTTTCAACGAACCCGTAGAAACTCCAGAATCGTTTGAGCTCGAGGAATCCCTGTTTGAAGGCTTGCAAGGTACACTTGAAGATCTACGGACATGGATGGATACGGCAGATTCATGCTGTGATACTGATATTGAACTGTTTTGATCTACATCCTCTTCACCCGGCTTCGGGACGGCTTCTTCACTGTCATATCGAGCTGAATCCACAGAGCTGCTGCGTTTCCTACATGCCATTGCATGCCTCCTTAGATAAGGGCTGGAGTTGGCCGACTGGGGGTAATTTAACCTCATCAAAGCCGACCCGGGGATCCTTGTTTCTGATTCATTCCTCCTTTTATCAATCAAACTTGGTATGCTAGCGGATTTGTCATTAAGTCCCCTACCAAGCCTCCTAAGCTCTGACTTTACCTAAAATCAATCTTAATAAAATACTGATATAATAGAAGGTAACAATGTAAAGACAGAATTATGGAATTTCATTTATCAAATTTATAAGTAAACAAAATCAAATGTTACACTTTTTTGGAACCTTTTCAATAAATATACGACAATTTAATAGTTGTTGATAAAGTTTTTTTTAAACCTTAAACACTTACAGTGGGCTGCATCGGCAAATATCCAGGAAATTTACTCTGGGCGGGTTTTTCTCTCAGCTGAGGTTCCATCATTAAATAATCATCCGACTTGTTGTCCACTGCAGAACAAGCATGCCCACACTTTGTACAAAATTTGACTCCATTCTTGTCTGTGCAGTATCCTGGAACCTCTTTATTTAAACCGGCTCGAATTAAAACGTCCTTCGAGTTTTCATAATATTCGAGGCTTTGGGCAAAATCTAGATTTTCGTAATTGATTGTTGTAGAAGTGCTCTCTTTTTGTATTACTTCAGGCTCAATGTTTACGTAATTGCAGTTATTTTCGCCCTCATCGGCCTTTCCATCAATTTGTTCTTTGTCTTCCTTTTCCCTAATATCATCTTCGTCTTTCTTGTGTTTTGTCTTTTTGGTTTTATCTATTGTTGCATAAATGGCGAGTTCTCCACATTTGTTCATGACAGGCATTTTTCCCTCGCCATTTAATTTGACCTGAAATAAAATTGCATTAAAAACCTTACTTGCAACTACCACTGTATAATAATGTATCTATTATATTTTTGACATTTGGCTTGGAATATTTTTTTTTAAATTAAATTAAATTTTTTATTTTAAAAAAGCTAGTGTGTAAATTGGTCAATTGGTGTGAATTGGTCTGTCGGTGAGCCCAGCTCGAATATCCTATAACCTGTACAAAACAATTGTTTATTGAGAGATGAATGTACCTTATGAAGGTGTACTGATGTATTTTCAATGCCGGCCCCCCTTTTGCAGTATGGGAGGGATATCCAGTTAGAAGGCCAGCATACTAGGCGACGACAGGGGCAACTTGTGTCTTCTTCGAGTACGACTCTTGTTTGATGGTGTCTTGGTGTCATTATGATACAATGTCCAGAAGATTGAATGAAACAACGGTTTCCGCTTGAACCATTTACCATTTGAGGCGTATCGTAATTTGAATAGGCAAGGCACTCTTTTATAGCTTTCGGTGTATCATAATGCTCTTCTGAGGGGTTGATTCTCGGAGTGCACTCCTCTTCCTGAATCTATTTCAAGGAAGTAAAAGGAAAGAAATTACATCGTGCCATTTACCCAATCAAGTATGTACTCACAGGCTGAGGAAAAATCGTTTTAGGAACATCATAATTTCCATAAGTTTGGTTAGGCAGTGGCATCGGCGGTTTCTTTGTATGCCTTTGGTTATTGCTAATGTTTAACCCTTTTGATGGTTCAGCAGGTTTGGGAGGTCTTGTCGGTGGATATTCACATTCACATGGAGATGTTCCTCGAAAACTCCTAAAACATGGAGTCGTATGAACAAATGTGAGAGTGAGTGTAGTGCACACATGCATGTGTGTGAGACATGGTATGATTTACATTGTACAATCTTTGTACATACCAGCAATCATTTGGAGGCACACGGGGAACAGAATAATCTGAGCCACTATCATGTGATGAAACAGACATGGCACTACAATTGACTACACTGGACCTTCCTGAAATAGAAAATATAATGATTGTACTACATTTATTGACACTTAAAATATATTCTGATTGCATAAAGTAACTTAAAAATGTAATAGATAAACAATTATGGCCAACAGTTGTTTGGAAAAGAATACTATTAAAATTTAAATATTTTTATAATTTTGGTGCAGACATTTGAGGTTAAAAATAAACAGACCTCCATGTGAGGCCGAGTCCATAACCCATGCTGGGTTGAGCCCTGCGCCTCCTGGGGTGTTAGCAGCAGTCGATGATCTGGACATAGCTCCGAGCTTGCTTATGCAACTCGCACATCTACCAATCCCTCTATCGATATTCCATCCTCCACATTCCTGCAAGTGAAAACATGTAAGTATGCAAAATTCAATTTTATATTAGACTTCAAACCTGGGGTTTATGATCGTGGAAATCTCCAACAGAAGCTGTATCTCCTAAGTCGGAGACGTCAGTCCTTGTTTCTGATGAAGGCCAGATGGAAGATCCATCGGGACAAACAGAAGGACAGACAGACTGACAGTCCATTGTGTCGGCGATACTCCTTTGACACAATGACATGGTGTCTCCACCGATTGATGACATTCGTGTTGAACACTTTCTCGGTGAATCCATTACTGTAACATTTTTGTGAATTGTGTTAAAAACGAACACATTGCAATTAAGAGTTTAAGCCGGAAATAGTGCAAATAATATTAATAGAAAAGAAGAAATGACTAAAATTTTAAATTTGTCTAATTGGAAAATGTTTCTAAATATTTTTAAAGAATTTTTTTTAATAGGACCACCAACCGGACATATTTCTGGAAGCTGGCCTTCTTCTTGAAGCCAACTTTCCTTCTGAAGCGGCTTGGAGAGTTCTCGTGATTTCCTCTCCTTGGTCGGTGATCATGACATAAAGGCCTTCACCTTTACCACACCTGGAACCTCCTTCAAAGCAAAATCTTGCCTCAACAACACCATATCTCCTGTGAAATCAGTTACAGTTGAAACTCTTATGAATTACTAAATAATTCATTTTACCTTAGCTTTGATATTTCCCAAATGCCGATCAGTCTTGGTGGTACTCCTAAGGTCATGCAGAACCTGTGTTCTTGCACGTGCAGTCTTGCTGGTCCAGGTGCAATCTTTGCTTTCGAAGGTGCTGAAGAAATCTGAACTAAAAATTGTTGATCTGAAAAAATAGTGGGTTGCGATGAAAAGTGAATATTGTTTGTAAATATAATTTTAACCAACCTTCTCCTAGGTTGTTGGCAATTTTGACTTGCCATTGTATCAGTCTCTCTCTGGTATCAAAAGCCAAGACAACCGTCACATCTTGGCATAGGATGGCTATTGTGTTGGATTCTTTATCCAAGGTAAATCCTAGCAATGTTAATTAACATTTGTAAATGTCTAATATATTAAAACATCATACATGTGGAGTTTTTTTACAGTTCAAATTTACTACCCTGCCCAACTATGTTATAGTGACCTGGAGCGCATTCCCTGTTAAAATTATTCTGTTTTCTCAGTTGTCAAATGTAAATTGCTTTGTAAAATAAATTTATCTATCTACAACTTCATACATTACAAACTATATCTGCACCCTCGGGATAAGTCGAATTTTTGTCAAATGGGATAAATGTGTATTCCAATAAGTCCTAGGTGTGATGGACTACAATATTGATTGCCCTTCCACTTCTTTTTAAAGGCTACAATAAGAAGGGTTCTTCGGTACTACAGAGAAAGGGGGAGGGCTTCACACTAGAAGGCCAGGACAGGGTCGACCTAGGTCCATGAACGAGAGAGACAATAGGTTCATCTGTCATCAGTTTCTACAAAACTGCAGCAATACAGGAAATAAGATAATAAATCTCACATGACAAGTCCAAAATGTCTTGATTTTCTTCTGGACTGTAAAAAGAAGGCTCAGTGAAAATACTCTGGACCCAGCACCCGGCTTGTGGAGCTCTTCTTACTACTGATTAGAAAATGGCCAGGTAAATTGTACACTGGAAGATTGGGAATGAGTTCTCTTTACTGATGAGGTGAGGGTAGGCCTCAAATTTTCAGATAGGTGTAATTTCATATAGACGCTGAGAAGAAATGTACGCCCCATGCATTATACTGCCTCAGGTGGCATTCCATGGTGGGTCATTGATGTTAGAGTGGTATTTCCTTGGAAACCTGCACCAATTCAGTTATTGTGCAGGAAAGATGTCTAACTTCACAAAGGTATTTGTAAGACATAATTGAAGAACATAAGTACCATCCCCCCTTATGGGTGAAAGGTCTTGCTAATGCAGGATATGGCAGTCCCAATAGAGCACGTATTATAAAACCCAGGTCTTAATACCCTTGAAGAATTGGAAATAGCTGTTTTTGATCTTTTCCAAGGAATGCAAACATGTTTAACGGACATGATTCATGCCAGTGATGGAAATACTCAGCATTAAAAAGAACCAAAATTTTTTTAACCTTTTTATTTATTTTTGAATTTTTTAATGATAAACATTTTCTTTTTAAATGTCTTATTTTTACAACCAAACCTATTTTTGTTATATACAAATTATGAATAAATCTAAATTCATTAAAATTTAATGGTGGTGCATTAATTTTGTCCATCAGTGTACATGGCAACTCACTAATGACAAACTGTTCTCCAGAAAATCTTTAAATGCATATTTAAGCAAGTTAACATTAGCAGAGGGTCTCTTAAAAATATATTATATTTCATTATAATTATAATGGTAATGCATCATATAAGACGGAATAGATATTATTTCTACCTGTTTCAACGCCGAGGAAATGTTGTAGAGATAAAGAAGCTTTGGTTTGACCTTGTTTATATCTGTCTTTACTGTCTCTGTACAGCTGCAGATGAAGACAATCTGAAACAAATGTTTAAATAAATTCTTATTGTTATAATGTCTATGATCGTGGATTGGAATCCCGCTCGTGACATTGGCTTTTTCATTTCAATCAATACCTTACATAAAGATTAATTAATTGAAAGAGGTTATTTGGTCAATCGGACCACGAAATATAATGGATTGGTTTTAACGTTAAATAATTTTGATATCTTCATTTTATAGTATAATTTTCTGATCCTTAAACAACCAATTAATTTCTATTGAAAATAGCTGTAATTATTGTTTTTATATTTCACATTTGTTATAATTTACGTCCAATGCTTTTGCTATCTGACTTTCAAAAAAGATAAATATTCCACTGTGTGTATGACATCGTAAATTGAACTTAAATAATTGTTATCATGCCCGTAATTGTTCAAAGTCTTCGGTAAGTCTAACAGTCGAAGGGTATACGAAAATAACTACTTTCCGTCTTTACTTGTGGCACACTCGGGGAAAAAAAAAAAAAAAAACAAAAAAAAAACATGGAAAATAAAGACAATTGTATTTTGGTGTGATTTTGTTTAATCGGCTGTTGGCCGAGCCAAGAATTGCTCGAGCGTTGCTCAATAAAATAAGATTGGTTCGTGTATTTGCCCCGATGAAATATTTATTTTCACCTAAAGCCAATATTATGTGAAACTGGGCTTTATAAACTTCGCGTAAGATATATACGCAAGTTCTACCTGATTGCGTTTTGGGCTTTTAATGACAAAGTTAGTATTGCCTCTGTAACAAATCCCGTCATTAATAATTAATGCTCTCAACAGGACACACAAAAATGACACATCTACACGGAAAACGAGCCCTGAAGATGATCTCAACAAAGATCGAAACGTTGGCATGTCAAAGAAAATGTTTTTCTAAAACCTACGCCACACTAGACCGCTCATAGGTTTTTCATGTATCTTAAAGAAAAAAAATCTCTCCAGGACTTATGTTTGAATAAGTGACTAATAAATCTATAATTATTGCTCTTTTATTTGATACTGTACAAAATAAACATCAATTATATTCTAAATATGTTTTCAAAAAAATCCTCTTTTTTTTCTTTCACTTATTTCGTAAGGAACCCTATACCGATTTTAATGAACAAAATGATATCTATTGCTGAATTTATGTAGGTGTGCTCTTTGGGTGTGAAAGAGATAAGTCAAATAGGTTGGTTTCGATAAGTGAAGAAGACCCCCTTCGAAACACATTTCCTCCTCTTATCTCGCTAACGGATCGAAAGAATCGGACGAAATTCGGCTGTGGTATTGATCCGTAGAAGAAATCGATCAAGGCCGGTAGTAAGATGATTGGATCTAGGGATAAGCTTATTTTTGAGGTCCCCTTTCGAAATGGTTGATCTTTTAAAAGGATACTGCCTCGTAAGAAGTCACAAATAAAGAAGTATTGACAAAGGAACACTGCGCAGATACTGCCAGGAAGAGGAGGAGACCGCAGAACACATTTTATATTTTTGCGAATGCGAACAGGAAAAGCCACAAGCAAGATTCTAAGGAGACCCTGGTAAAGGCTATGGGGGTTGATTAACAACCTGAAGCTGGCCATTGAGTTATTAAAAATAAGGGAGCACAGTAGGTCTCAGGCATAATGCCTTGTGGCCGCCTCTTTTAACCCCTATCCTTATCCCTTTTCGAAAGAAAACATTTTATAATTCGCTACCTAATGTGCAGGGTTTGTTTTGTTAAAATTGGAATTCACCCAAATTGCCAATCGAGTATTTTTAACCCCACTACGTGGTCAAGTTGATGTTGGGTGTTGGTCTGCGAATCGGTGGACTCATGTTGATCCGGCACTGAATTACTTATTGGGGTCCGTGTTTATTCACTTCAACAAAGCAGCGAGTAAAGACGGACCCAATAAGTAAACCAGTGCCGGTTCAACATGACTACACGCCCTGGTTTATGTGTTCACTTGCAAAACGTTGCTTTTAACTTAATTTTTTAATTGGTTTATCGGCCTTTGCATTTCAGTGTATCTTAGAATATCTAGGAACGCATATAATATCAATAATTTAATAGATTAACTATTTAAATTCCATATAGATTTCTTGAATTGCCGAGTTAAGGCTGTATTTAAAAAAAAATAGAAATTCCTGCTTATTTACAGAATAAGACGTTTGAACTTTCATAATCTTTGCCAGTGAAAGGTTATAAATTTTGAGTTCGGTAGCATCTTAGATGGAAAGGAAGAAACAACCAACTATTGAAATTTGGGAAGCCAAACCAATTGATTGCAGTATGGAGGAATTCTTATAGTAATGTCATTCGTTTGCTTAAGAACACACACAACAGTGTTAACTATTCAGAAGAAAATGATCTACGGATTTTGGACAGTACGTAGACCATAAGGTAGGTGTCTGCCCAATACAACATTTCTTGTATTATTTCAATATAATATACATAAGAAGGATGCATGTATAAGGAAGGCAAACATATGTATTTACAAGTTAGGTACAACTTGGAAAAAGCTGAAAGTTGTATTTCCGTGAAAAAAAAAGTTAATGGCGAAAAGCTTAATCGACTTTACTCAAACAGTACCGGAAAATTATATTTTAATAGAGTTTCAGAATAGAACTTGATTGCCCTCGAGGGTAAATTATAAAAGTCTTAGGGGATTTGGAAAAAGGCCGCGGGTAAAGAGGCGTTGATGAAATGGGTTTAAAAATTGAAATGCCCCTCATCAAGGGTTATGCTTCTTTTATGAATTGGCCCACACTGAAGGGGCGTAAGACGAAGAAACGATTCAACATCAATGTACAATTGCCCGCCTATTAGAACGACAAATTGAATCGAGCTGGATTTATGTCTTTGATATGGACTCCGAACAATCCGGTTTTCCGTTCGACATTGTTACAACGTTGACTCTATCCAAGACAGCGGATATCCGAACAAATATCCATTTCTTTAAGTTATTAAAAACAACCAAATTGTTATGACTACTGGACTTATGGCTTGAGGTGAGAGATGGAGAAAGTATTTTCGATTTTCTAGGAAAAAGTAAAGTTGTAAAGATTTATCAAAGAAATTAATTATACTTTTTATCTAAGGCCTTGGTTGAGATGAAAAAGCTAGTGTTATGAGCGGGATTCGAACCCACGACCTTCGGCTCAATACGCCGCTGCTCTGGCCATTTGAGCAATCGTGACTTCGAGCCACTCGGGCACCAACTTCTCATCTCCCTTTGGAAATATGGTAAAATCAAGATTCGATTCTCGGCGCCTAATGAAGTCCATANATATATAGTATAGTATAGTAGTCATAATTGACCTATTAATTATTGAAATTAATTATAATGTTTATTCAGGAAGAAAAAGCGAAGTCACAACACAGTATCTTAAGAGCAGCGTTGTATTGAGCCTAGGAATGGCAACGATATATCGATTATCATACGTATCGATATATTTCTACATATATCGAGTATATTTTTATCAATATATTCGAGTATAAATACATGAAAGATAGTGATACATTCGTTTTTTATTTACAAAAAATTAATTTAAAAAAAATTTTGACTATGAATTTTTCTTATTTATTATTGGATAAAAAAAAAATATATCCCTGTCAAATTGGGTTAGAGACTGCCTTCTGGTATGAGACATCTATGTATGCATAACATTTTGTGTCTAAACCGTGGTTCGTGGGTAAACCTAACTTACCATTCTGCCTTCTGCGTCGGCATCGGCATCTGTATGTACGTTTCTGTGTACAATTTTCATATACGTTTTTATGATGACACCTTCCACGGGAAAAGTAAAAAAAAGTGTTGTTTGGCAATATTTTAATGCACCGGAAAAAAGGGAAACAAGTGGCAACTTGTAAAACATGCTCGAACGGCTTATCTGTTCTATCTTTTTTTATTACTATTTAATAAGCATTATATAATTATTCACGACCGTGTGTATATTTTTACGGTTACTAATATCGTTCTATTCTTCCAGTTGGGCTAGTTCATATAAATATTATAAAATAGTCGTAATGTACCAAAGTTAAATATATCGATATTTCGATATATTTTTCACTATATCTGATGCCGATATGGAAAAATCGATTTATCGATACTTAGATTAATGACTGCCATCCCTAATTGAGCCTAAGGTCGTCGGTTCGAATCCAAAGTATAATTAATTTCAATAAGTAATACAGTCAATTATGACTACTAAATATATATATTTTGGTTATGTAAATGTTTAAGTGTTCTAATGAATACTGGGAAATTACACTAACGTAAAAAATCTCTTTAATCACCTTTTTCATCATCCATAACTATAATTATTAAATAATATTTAGTCTTTCAATTAATTAATCTTTTTACGTAAGGTCATGGGTTGAGATGAAAAAGTTAGTGTCACGAGCGGGATTCGAACCCACGTCCTTCGGCTCAATACGCCTCTGCTCTCACCGGTCTCTAACGGAGTTAAAGGTTGAAATGTGTAGTTGGTGTCCGAGTGGATGGAAATTACGATAGCCCAAGTGGTTAGAGCAGCGGCGTATTGAGCCGAAGGTCGTGGGTTCGAAACAGCTCGTGTCACTAACTTATTCATTTCAACTAACACCTTACCTTAAAAAGATTAATTAATTGAAAGAAGTAATTTGGTTAATCAGACCACTAAATATAATGGATTTAATAATATTTATTGTTAATAATATAACATGTGACATTTTAGCAAGTAAAAAAGAGAAGATAATCCTGTCATGGTTTAAGCAACGTTTTAACCCGTCATGCTATTTCAAATAGACTTTCATGTTGTTTAAATTGTGATTTAAAGCTAAAATCGCACACGTTACATTTATTTTAGTTATTTTTGTTTAGTTACTTTTTGTAAATGATCAGTGTTTTATCATGGATCGCATCTCACATCTGAGTACGCACGCCTGCTTGTTATGCCCATTTTACAACTTCTAAGTACTCTTCGCGGCCCGATGATAAAAAACATAAATCTTTCCTTGTTTTCATGTCTAGCAGGGTGT